GTTTTTCTAGTCAATCTTAAATTCTTTATTGGTGCTGCTCGCTGCCATGCTCCTCCTGAACTTCTGTCACCTCATGTGGCAGGAAACTCATATTCCCATAATCCTCTGTAGCGGCGGGCGAGAGCGCCGCAGAGCAAATATGTGCGCTCCGATCAGCTCTGACAGGACGGCGTTCTGTGGGACAGAGACGTCCTGACAGACAGTCGTTATTGGGGAGTCAATAGCCGTGACTGATGACAGCAGAGGTCAGTGAAAGGAGCTGGAGCGCCGCCTGCTTCAGAGCTTTCACAGCAAACGGGCAGCCGTGGAAACAAGCATGTCGGATGATTTCACCTTTGGCAATTCGCACAACGTCTTTGCTTGTTTCATCATCAACAAATTTGTAACAAATTGGCCTCGAGGAGGATAAACTGCAAAGCAAAAACTTCCTTCTCCCTCTGTTGCTGCTTTGGAACATCTCGGCGCTGAGTAATGGAGAGTCGCAGCGTATTGTGACTTTCTGTGGGAAAAGTACTCGATAACACGGCCCGAGGAGCTCGGCATTATCAATTAAACTATCATGAAAACATTAAGCATATTCTGAGGGAACACATATTGTACTTTGATGTTTGTGTTACGTCCACGGTTTTGAATTAAGACTGTCTGAAAGGCTGACTGCAAGAAGCTGTCCACCAGGAGATTAACTAGAGTTCCTCTGATGACTTTTAGGTTTTTCAAATGAAGACATAAAGCGTTAAACATCCTCAGTGTCCAACACTTCTGACCGTCTTCTCACGCTGATCCAGCTTCATCTTTACACCCGTCTGCTCTCTGCAATTCAATAAAACCCATCTGCTGCATTTTCTGTCGTCTTTTATAACTTTACATTTTCTGTTTTATAATTTTATTGTATTTGTTAAACATTTTTTCTTGTCTATACACCTAAACATAACAATTTGTTTGCTTTGCTAAACTCTTTAAAGAAACTTTAAATGTGAAAACATGTTAAACTAGAGCAGGGGTGTCAAACTCACTTACAAAAAGGGGGCCAAAATTAAAAACTTTTTCAAACCAAGGTCCAATTTCAGAAACTACATTAACTCAAATCAGATAGCCGACATCTTTTCTTGGTCACAGGTTCCTCAACAAGAGTTTAATTGGTCTCATTTGATGTTCTCTGTTGTGCTTTGTTTTGACGTCATATTCAAAGATTACTGAAAAAAATTCCAGAGATAGAAGTATTTTATGTTTCACATATCATCTTAGGGGCCAGATAAGATGTCAACGAGGGCCACATTTGGCCCCCGGGCCTTGAGTTTGGTGCATATGAACTAGAGAAATGGCATTTCCTGCGAAAATGCAGTGTGAATGCTTATTGCTGAAGAACTTGCTGAAAAACAGCTGAAATTAGCTTAACACATGCTGAAATGTAGTTGAAATGGAAGAACAAGCCTAAGTTAGCAGAAGAAAGCAGAAAGAACACATATTTGCTAAATTAGGTTTAAATAAGCAGAAATTAGCACAACAATTGGGAAATTAGCTCAAAAAGCTGAAATTAGCAACAAATTGGTGAAAAGTAGCTGAAAAGAAAGAAAGAAGCTTAAATTGCCAGAGCATAACAAGCTGAAATTAGAAGAAGCACAAAAATGTTGTAGTTAGCAAAAAGAATCTGAAAAGATCACATAACAGATGAAAAAAGCAAATTAAAAAACAGCTGAAAGGAGCTGAAAGTAGCAGAATTTTTTTTAAAATTTGCACAAGGAAGCTGAAAGAAGCTGAACCAGAACAAAATGTGAAAGGAGCAGTAAAAGGTTGTAAACAGACCTAAAGATTTGAAGGATGTAAAATGAGCTCAATTCATTTTCTATGAGGAAAAAAGTGGCAGAAAAGGCTAAATATTTCAAAAAGCTTTGATTTATGATTTGTTGAGATAGCACAAAAGCTGTGGAATGAGAAAGATGCCCAGAAATGTAGAGAAGAAAAATGGATCACAATAGTGTGAATGCTTCATAAACGTTCATTAAAAGCCGAGCAATTCTTGAAGGAATGCATATCACCCACCGCCATTCAGGCCACGGTTTAAAGCCATGGCAGCTGTCAAAATATGACATTTTTCAACGTCTGTGATTACATTCATTGATGAGTACACTACAGACAAACCCTGGATTATAAGAGTCAGAGAACGATGGAATCAGAGACGTCAGGTCGAAAGAGAAAAATTAAAGTTCTTCTCTTCTAAAAAAGAAACGGCGTCTAAGATGAGAGTCGACAGAAGCGGAGTCATGTTGGGAGAGGAAATCAGGCAGTAGAGAACGTAAAAGCAAAGTTTGGAGCTAACATCTTATTTTGATGAGCTGTGCTGAAATATTCTGAATTCTTAACAGGAGAGTTTTAATGGCTGATCGCTGAATTTATTCGTAAACAAAGGGGAGGAATATTTGCCGTTTTCTAACGCAATGTAATAGTAATTGTGTTAGAAGCACAAAAATTCAAACCAAAAACACTGAAAATTTAGTTGTTGTTTTTGGTTGAACCTTGTGCATGACATCATGCCATATGGGGGAGTGGTGGCGCAGAGGTTAGAGAGGTGGGCTTGTGATCCGAAGATCGCCGGTTCACGCCCCGGCCCCGACAACATCAAAATTGTGGGTGGGGTAGGTGAAACACCCACACTTGCCCCCACCCTCATTCGCCCCACTCTGGGCCCATGAGCAAGGCCCTTAACCCCCACCATGTGCTCCCTAAACAGGTCTCTCTTGAAAATGAGTTCTCGTGGCTCAATGAGACTAACCTGTATAAATAAAGGCTAAATGAAAAAAAAAATATATGTACCTGCAGTCTAAATATTGTTGTGTTGGCAGAGGTCAGTTAGCTGTGGCAGCCATCTTGAATTGGGTTGACTTTAAAAGTTTCAGAGTTATAAATGCACATCCAGTGATTGTTTTGTCAGAGTGTAAATTCTGTCCAGTGGTTCGTGAGATATTTTGCAGGAAGTCATGCAGCTGCAGCATCTCAGTTATAGATTAGAAACTCACAGAGAATTAATCTAATCTGCTCCACGTGGACGAAGTTTAGTTGTGATGATCTGAGCTGAAATTTAATCCATCCTGTTTCCCTTTTTGTGTTTTTGTTTTAATAAACCTGTTAAAAGGTTTAAATCTCAGCTTCTCTCCAGCTGGGTTGTGTTCATATGACTGCATCAGACTTTCAAAATAAAAGCAGAGCCATCAGGATGTGTTTCAGAGTGAAACCCTGATGTCACTCGTGTCTATAATCTGTGAGACACGAGATTAATTCTGTCCGACCAGCTGACCCGTTTAGTGGTCCGGCCCAGTTCTGCTCTGCTATCAGCTTGCGACACCAGCTTGGCCCCACACTTAATGTTAATATGAGCTCTACGTGACCCCGGAGAAGCTGGCCTGCGTGTGAAGGGGTCACGACCTTTCATTGACAGGATCATCAGTCTCCCCCCGCAGGCCCCGCCTCCTTTTGTTGCCACTGATTACTCTGATTTTTGTTGTTGACGGAGGGTTGGGGGGGGTCTCCTGTGTGTCTGTCCTCCATGTGGGGTTCAAGCTGCGACCTGAACTGATCGGTTTTTGTTTTTGCTTTAATTTTTATGAAAATCTGGATCATAAATCTTGGTTCATCTTTTCACAGGAACAGATTTCCACATTCAGTTCACTGCAGTTTTATGTGTTACTGCAGCGCTTTTCATAACGCAGCAGAAAACTGAGCTATTTATAGCATTGGGAGTTTTATTAATAAATAACCAAACAAAAGATCAGTGTATTAAAAATAGCAACATGTGTATTGTGTATTTGTATCTCTCTATTTTCTCACCATCTTTGAGATATTTCAGGACTAAAAGCTTCTTTCATCTGCTCTTTTGTTTTGGACTCATACTCTGCTTCATGTTGTGGAAATAAAGACTGATCTGTCCTCATGAGGAGTAACAGAGTTGTCATGTATTGCATCAGTTCTCCGTCACGTGTCCACGAATGATTCAGCCTTCCAGTTTTAACACGACTGGTGTTGTTGTTGTTGTGTTGGTTCAAATCAACACTCTGACAGTCTGAGGTCGGACAGACTCTTCCGCTCGATTGTTTCATCCCTGGGATGTTCTGCTCGACACTTCCTTTGTAAAAAGTACCGTAATTTCCGAACTATTGAGTGCACCTGACTATAAGCCGCACCCACTAAATTTAAAAATGAATAAAATTGTACATATATAGGCCGCACATGTGTATAAGCCACAGGTGTCCACGTTGCAACATTTACATTGAATTTTTTTAAAAACTTTTAGTTAAATACGTATCAGTAACATACACATATACGCTCAGTGAATGTTTTTTCTGAACAGTGCCTTTAACACTACATTTTTTTATATACAGTACCCTACCAGGAAAAGTCATTGATCGCTATCTTCATCTTCCTCCTGCGCACTAAAACCCCTAAAGTCATCTTGTTCAGTGTCAGAATTGAACAGCGTCAGAAAAACATCATCACACACATCAGTCTCTCTTTCATTGTGACTCAGTGTCACTTTTGTCTCGAGGCAAATTCACCATTTGATTCACACTTATTTCGAGTGGCTGCAAATACCTTGTTGTGTACAACAAGGAACTCCCTCAGGGAGGGGAGGAGAGAATAGGGAGCGAGGAACGAATTTCTCCCCCCCCCTCCATAGTAGACCATGTCGCCCGGGTGTGACGAGGCTAAATGTTTTGGCGGCATGAAGCTTGCTAGCCCATCCCCCCAAAAATCCATAAATTCGCCGCAGCATTGTATAAGCCGCAGTGTTCAAAACATGTGAAAAAAGTAGCGGCTTATAGTCCGGAAATTACGGTAGTTAAAAATCCACCAGCTGGGTCTTCCTGTTCTTAACTTTTTGCCATGACGCTTCAAGCATCATTTAAGTTTTAGACGACGCTGATCCTCCGTTAGACCCACTGTTTTGACTGGATTCTGCTCTAAAGGTGCGTCAGAATTCATTTTTGTGTTTTTCCACTGCCCTACAGCCAATCCTGAACCAGGCCGGTCTGCCTCAGGGCCCCTCGGACCAGAAGATTGTTGTTGTGACCGTGGACGACTGCGACACCTCGGTGGCGCTGAGATTCGGCCTCATGATAGGGAACTACTCGTGCTCAGCTCAGGGCAGCCAGACAGGATCCAAAAGGTAAGTTTACACCAGAGAGGTTGACAAAGAAGACTTTTGCATAACAAATTCCAGAAAAACTTTTAACAATTTCTTTATGTGGTCTCAGTAATTATTTATAAATATGATTATCTTTTTGCAATCAGACAATGAAGACAAAGCGCAAACTTGTATTAGAATGAAGTTTTGTTTTTCCAAGTAGAAAAGTAACAACAGAACTACCTGGAGTATCTTTTAGTACATTGTTAATGAAGTGTTTTGCATAAATGGGTTTCTTTACTGGGTCAGATCTCTGGACCTGACTGGGCCCCTGCTCCTCGGAGGAGTCCCCAAACTCCCAGAAGACTTTCCCGTCCGAAAGCGGCAGTTTGTGGGGTGCATGAAGAACCTGCGTATTGACAACCAGCACATAGACATGGCCGGCTACACCGCCAACAACGGCACTCTGCCAGGTGAGCTCTCACAGGAGTTGGTCTGAATGCTGAGTCAGCGTTCGCGCCGTTGTCTTCTGGTTCTTTATTTTTCTTTATGTTTTCACAATCTGAATACTTCTGCACATTTTGCACTATTTTAGCCATTCTTAAATCAAAAATATTCAGCTCATTCAGGAGATGAGTGCTGCGGCTTTTGGTTTTTGTAACTTTTATACGTTTCACAATATTTAACATTATTTAATTCAATTCATTTCAGTTTATTTATATAGCACTAAATCTTTATAAATATTTGACCTGTAAACTTACATTGAGACATTTTCAGTTCCTTCAGAAACAATGAGTATCACTGACTGTTTGAATCTGTGGCTAGCCATTTGTTACTAATACTTTTACATTTGTACATTTGGCTTTTAGCTATTGTTCATTACTTTTAGCTTTTAACATGTTTGCTACTTGTAATAAATAAATAAATAAAGTGCTATGTGTTGTCATCAATGTATGTTTCCATACAAAGATGAAATTGGTTCTCTGCATTTAACCCATCGCACCTGGGATACACCCAGGTGGAGCAGTGGGCAGCTATGTAGGCGCCTGTGGAGCAATTTGGGATTGGGTGTCCGGCTTAGAGACACCACGAGATGTGCAATGACAGGGGATCAAGTCCAGGACCTTCGGGTCCTGGGTCGGCCACCATCTTGGTCCCCTTGTATCTATCAGTAAACAACTTTTAACTTGTAGTGAAATATAGCATTTGCTACTTTTAGCTTTTAGCTAGCATTTTGCTACTTTTAGCCTGTAGCTTGCCTTTTGCTACTTTTAGTTTTATCTTTCTGCTTCTTTTATTTTATTAACCTTTATTTAACCAGGCAAATCCCATTGAGATCACAGATCTCTTTTGCAAGGGAGACCTGGGCCTGAAGCAGCCTAACATACATGTTTTTGGTCTGTGGGAGGAAACCGGAGTACCCGGAGAAAACCCAGCAAGCACGAGAAGAACATGCAAACTCCACACAGAAAGACCTCAGGTCCAAGGTCTTTTAGTTTTTAGCTAACATTTTGCACATTTTAACTTTTAGTTGCTGTTCTCCTATACTGTTCTACTTTTAGATTTTAGCTATCCTTTTGATACTTTGTTAGCTTCTAGCTAGGCTTTTGCTATTATTAGCTATCTTTTTATACTTTTTTAGCTTCTAGCTAGCTAGCTTTAGCTTATTTTTGCTAATATTTGTAGCATTTTAATACTTTTACTTAGCATTTTCATACTTATGGCTTTCAGCTAATCTTGCTTTTTTTCAGCTATTGTTTTTCTACTTGTAGCTAGCCGATTGTTACATTTAGCTTTTAGTTAGTCTTTTGCTATTTTTTTGCTAACATTTTGCATTTTTAGCGTTTAGCTAATGTTTGCTATTTGTAGCTAGCCGATTGTTACATTTAGTTTCTGGCTAGTCTTTTTCTAACATTTAGCTTTTTTAGCATTAACTAGTGTTCTGCTTCTATTATGGGGGCCAAGATGGCGTAGAGGCAGGGCAGCCGGCTTGGGACTCGAAAGTCCCAGGTTTGATCCCTGGTCACTGCATACCTTGTGGTGTCCCTGGGCAGCACGCCCCATCCCCAAAATGCCCACCCCCCCCAATAGCTGCCCACCGCACCACCCACTGGTGGATGGGATAAATGCAGAGACTAATTTCGCCATTGTATGGAAACATACAGTGATGACAATGTGATGACATTATTGTTATTATTATTGTTTTAGCTTTAACAACTCAGTTTCAGCTTCTTCATTGAACATCACCAGGCCTTCTGCACTCAACATTCACTCCACGTTTTTACAGAAAATGTATTTCCTCCAGTTAAACTTGATCGTTTGTCAAAGAATCCATGTTTACTGTTCAAGCAGCCGAGTGACAAAAACCTGCAGAGAAAAATAACTCCGACTATAATGAGCTCAGCTGGAAGAAGGCTCAAATAATAACTGTGCCTGCTGCGAACAGTTGATTAGCTTCTGCTTCGGCTCCTGTGCTGAAATACTGAGGTGGGACAGAACAAACAGCTATTCTCTTCCCTTCCCTCCCCAGGATGCTCTGCTAAGAGACATTTCTGCAACAACAGCCCGTGTCTGAACGGAGGAACCTGTGTGAACCTGTGGGGCTCCTTCAGCTGCGACTGTCCGCTAGGGTTTGGAGGACAGAACTGTGAAAGAGGTGAGGGAAGTAAAAAAACACGAAGCATCACTCCGGAAACACACGTTAGACTCCAAACTGTTCCTCCTTTGTAATTAGAGAGTAATGATGTCATTCAGTGCACAGCTGAGATCAAGAGCGATATAAACAGAAAACTGTTTTCATTGAAAGGTGTTTTAAATATTGCAGAACAGCTGCAAACTTGAGAGGCCTAATTTAAACAAACCTGGTGATGACACCACGTTTGTTTAAATGTTGGATTTAGGACAAAGTCAGGGTGAAAATAAATCTCTGAGGGTAAATGCTCTGGTTTACATGATGTTGGATCTGGTGCTTCTCCTGTTTTTGTTCCACCTGATCTGCTGCAGCTGTTGTTCCTGCTGATTTATGATGATGTGAAGAAATCTGACAAGAAGCAGGGAAAAGAAGACACAAAAAAGACTGTAGGAAAAACAGCAGCTTGGGTTTTAACTTGAGGTAAACAGAGCGAGAAAATGTTTCCGTGTGTTTTATGCAGATCAAATAAAAAAGTGAGATGCTCCGACAGCGGTGGGTGTTGCACAAAACACAGGAATAAAGAAAACGTCTTTAATTACTGGCATAGCCCTGAGGGTCAAACAGAAATGCATCAGAAAATACAACTTTTAAAATAAAATGAATACATGTGAACAAATCCATAAGAGCTTTGATTTTTTTTTAATGTTACAAGTTGTTTGTGTTCAGCAAAACCAAAAGAAAGACAAGGTGCAGAACCAGATAGCATACATCTAAAACAATCTAAACACAAGATATAAAGCATAACTATCTATTATTAGTAATATTTTGGTGTTTATCAGAGACACAAAAACACATAATCTTCATTTATACTTCAGGTTTGTTGCTTTTAGTTTTTATTATTATCGCTCAGTGCTGAACAGAAGCATTGCTCGGCTGCTGGCTGATAAAAATAATTAAAAAGCCGTGCTTAGAAACGTGACAAGTGCTGCCAAACGAGTCACGATAAGGATTTCTTTTAATATCGGGTTTATTATTTTTAAATTCTCCATCTCAAAAGCGAGAGATACGAAGTGTGATTTATCTCCTGATAACAAACTAGTTTTGTTTACAAGAGTGCCGGTTTGAAAACTGCATTTTTATTGCTCTAAACTGGAGTTCACAAGCTTCACTGTGAAGTCTAACGTTATACGAAAGGATTTCCTGGCCACACAGCAGCCGACAGAGAATAAAGTTCAACGTCAAACTAAAAGGTTAATTTCTGCACACATGTTAGAAAATTTCAGTGTAGAGTTAGATTAATAAAATGTTTCTTAGTAACTGGCACTGCTTGTTGGTGTTTTATGGACTCATTTTTGCACAATTTTGGCAATTTTATTTATTTTTTTACTGATTTTGCACTACTTCCTGTTCTCATTCTGACTCATTTTAGCAGCACGAGTTAATATTGTCAGCCTAATTAAATTATACAAGCAATACTTTGTTATAAATTGTAGCTTTAGGACGGTTCAGATTACTGGTTTTTGACCAGTAAATGCAACAAATATGACTTTAAACTCTTAAAATACGTTTGACAGCATTTTATCCTCCACACAGCAGCTGCAGTCGCACTGAGTTTTCTTATCATGACTCACTCCTTTCAATTTGCACTCAGACTCGGCTTAATGAGAGCGAGCTGCTGGACATCACGCAGGAAGTGCCCTTTAGTGTCACTTCCTGGTTAAGGAAAGGAACCTGAATGCTCCAGTTTCAGAATGAAAGAGCTGGTTTCATGTAAGATTTTACAGTTTTTCTGGACACGAGAGGTTGAGATGAGAGATGTTTAAATCAATAGTGTGTTGAAAAAGTAGCAGTAATAACATAAAATAGCATTTAACACCAACAGTACAGTGACTTTTTTTTTTTTTGCTTTGGCAGCTTTTTTGCCCATTTTTTTTTTTTGATTTTGTTTAGTTGGTTGTTTGTGAATCTACCTAAAATCACTCATTGCAGAATCATAAAAAAGAAATCCATAAAATAAGAAACAAAATCCATGCGTTCTCCCCTTATCCATGGTTTATTTGTCATTATATTATAAATATGTAAGAAAAAGATTTGATCAGCTGCTAACGAGTTGTTTGTTTAGCTACGGAAACAGCCGAAGTGACTGAAAACAGGCCAACAGTGGTGGCGTCTGTGGAAGAGCCGTTTGAGATCAAGTCTGAGAATTTTTATGTATTTGTATGTATTTATGCTCAGATTAGTGGGGTAAAATATATCAAATTTTAGAGATAAATTAGCGTTTGATCAGACTAAAGTCACACAAATGTTGAAACGGTAAACCTGCTGAAGAAGTTTCACTGAAAGCTGCATGTTTGAAGGACGAGCTCTGTTTTTATGGAGCTCCATAAAGACAGCGTTTAGCAGCAGGTTATTTTATTTCCTCCTAAGCATCTTCTCTTTGACTCTACTCTTCCGCGGCCGCCATATTTGTTTACCAACAGTCTACAGCCAGCCTGATGTAGGTCGATTACATATCTCAAGCTTCCACCTGGTTTCATATGTTTGATTTCATATTTTTTCAGTGAACACCTTTAAATTTAATTTAGTCAGACATAAAAGTACTTCTAAACTAAAACTGTTTTGTCTGTTACACAACGCTTAGAAAAATTGTTTAAAACTGAATCTATCTCGTTATCAGCCAACGTACTTTCTGTTTAGTAACCTTGTTGCTATCAGCTTGTTTCAAAGACACAATTTGTTTCTAATTTGTTAAGCTATGAAAAATACTAAAGATAACACAGTCTGAAGTTCAAGTTGTGTTTATTTGTCATATGCAAGGTTAGCAGTACAATGAAATGCTTAGGATGAGAAGAACCGATTTCTAAATAAGAAGCGGTTCGACTTTCGCGGACTCGCTCTTTCGCAGTTTTTCAAAGTAAGAATTGGCTGATTGATGGATGAGCCACACGAGCAGCATGGATTGTTTATTTAAAATAAATTATTTTAAATGATTTAGCACCTGCTGCACCTGTATGCAGCCCACAGGTGCAGGGAGAAGCTCCTTCTGCAGCCTGTCATGATCTCCTCTCTCTGCCACCCACACATTTCAGCTTCGTGAAGTGTTAACCCTTTGCTGTCCAGCTGCACCGATAGACTTTTGTCTTCCAACTTAAAATTCAAAGTATGTCACATCGTAAAATCATCATAATCGCAAAATATAAAAGTGTTCAAAGTTATTTTTAAGTATTTTAGAACTTTTGTGTTCAGTTGTTACAGTGTAATTGATGAAGAAGTACATTTCTGCTTCGTGCTGTAGCTGCGCGAAGAGTTAACCCGTTGCTGTCCCGCTGTGCTTCTCTTCTCTACAATGTAAATTAAAATACTGTAATGTTTTAAATAAACAATCCACGCTGCATGGATTGTTTATTTAAAATATTACAGTATTTAAATTTAAATTGTTTCTTTACACAGAAGGAGGGAGATTGGGAGTGAAACTTGAACTTGAACTACTGTATCCCTTCACGGTTTTTCACTTAGCGCGGGGGGCGTGGTCCCCTAAACCCCGTGATAAACGAGGGACTGCTGTGTTTTTACACCATCAAGGTGATTTTAAAGAGCTACTACAAGCTGAAACTCAACACACAGCTGATACAGGATGAAGCACTTTTGTTTTTGCTGAATCTTTTTTCCATTTCTTCCATTTGCACACAATGTTCATTTACTAGAATTTATTTTTACTTCATCTAGTAGTTTTCTTTTCACTACAGCAGCCATAGTCCAAAGAAAAACTTTGAAAAACGGCAGGAAAGCCTGAAGAGCTGTTGATTAGAATCAAGAAAATCTGTCTCCTTGGAATCAAAGCATAAAAATTGAGGGGGTTCCAAACTTTTGCACAATACAGTATACTGATAAAATATTTAAAAGACAAAATAAAAAAATGGAGGAAAGGTACTTCATTTTGTTTTTGTGTCTGAATTTCATTATTTCTATAATTCTCTTCCTCATTAGCCATGTTAGCATCAGTCAGGCGTTTTAAAGTCTCTTCATGCGTTCGTATCTTTAAAACGTGAGTTTAGCTGCGGTGAATTGGACAAGATAAATGAACATGTTGGACTCTCCGGTTGGCAGGAGTCTCCACGAGAAACTCTTCTCCTTTTTTACCTCTGTCGCTTCTTCCTCCCTCCATCGTTCGCCCTGTTTCTTCAGGTTCCTCTGTGCCAGTTCTCAACCCTTTTTTTGGTTGTTTTTCTGTAGTCATGGCCAACCCGCTGCGTTTCCAGGGTAACAGTCTGTTGCAGTGGAACAACCTGGAGGCGGCGACGGCGGCGGCCTCCGTCCTCTGGCACGTCGAGCTCATGTTCCGCACTCGTCAGTCCAGCGCCACGCTGCTGCACGTCTCCTCCAGCCTGCAGCACAACCTCACTCTGCAGGTGAGAGCAGATGTAGATCAGTCAGGACGACGACACTTTCTGGCCTCGCTCTGACCTGCTTGCATCATGAAGGATGTTCAGACAACGCATGCTGTGAAAAAGAAGCAGCTCCTTCTATTTTTAACTCGACTGCACTTTGAGCTTTTCTACACCGGCGACTGTTTGATGTTAAAAACTCCTCCAGCAGTCTGCGCCGGCTCCACATGCTGAAGACGTGCAGCAGTTTGAGGTTTGAACTTTTGAACCTGCAGAGCTGATTGTGTTTTTATCCTCCTTGGCCCGCCTCCCTCTCTTTCTGCCTCCTGCAGCTGCGTGGGGGGAGCGTGTTGATGGGGCTGCACAGGGGGGAGGACTCCACTCTGTCCCGTGTAGAAGAGGTGCTGGCAAACGATGGAGACTGGCATCATTTGCAGCTGAACATCAGCAGCCAGGGAGGAGCGGCGAGCCGCCACAAGGCAGCGCTGGTCCTCGATCATGGACTCTACCTGGTCAGTCGTCCGATTCTTGAATCTGTGAAATGATTTAGTTTAAGTTCTTGGAGTTTTTAAGATATAAATTCATCAACGCTGTTAATCTTCAGGCCAGCATGGAGGTGGATGGAAAGCTGCGGGACTCCAAGCTGAAAACTGTGAGCGTTGGTGGTTTGGCAAGGCCTGATGGGAAAATTCAGCATGGCTTTCGTGGCTGCATCCAGGTTTGTCTTCTCTGAAGACTCCACACGTCCCAGAATTTGTAATAATTTGATAGCAGACAATAATTTGTTTATTTCAGTGAAATGCTGCCAAAAGACAAAGGTGGGCGATAATGTTTTTACCTGATCAAGTTCAAGTAGGTTTTATTGTCATTTCATCACATGTGGTACATGTGGTGGAATGAAACTGTGTACACAGGGTCCCAGTTACATCCAACAATAGTAAAAATATAAATTGTAAAAAGAAACTGTAATAAGGATCTAAGATATAAACTAAGAATACGTTAAGCACTAATAGTGCAAAAACAATACGCTGAACAACAGCAGCACAAACATGAGTCTGTGTGAGCAGGTGAACAAATGGATACAGCAGTATGAGATAAATCAGCAGCGTGGATCAGCAGCACACATCCACAATCAAAGTGGCATCACAGTGATTCTGAACCAACTGATCTTAAAAAATATTGCTAAAACGAGGAAAATGTTACTAACTTTGACCAAATGTTTGTTTTGGTAGTAGCTGAGAGTGATTCGCAGCACACAAGATCTTCAGCATATACTGCTGGAGCCAAACATTTTAAAAATCAGCAATGTTCAGTCAAGTCATCAGGATGATTTCTTTTTTTTGCTAAAACATTTCATCCTTCATCCAAAGGACTTCTTCAATCTGAGGAGCCACCATCCAAACTCATTCCCACAAACAGCATACTCCATAGTGAGAAAAAAACAAACAGTAGAACCACTTTGGCATGACTGCCCCAGAGGAGTTGACGGGGGAGAAGTCACCGGAGGCCGTCTTGGCACCAGCAAACTGTTTTTCCACTATGGAGTATGCTGTTTGTGAAATCAGTTTGGTTGGTGGCTCCTCAGATTGAAGAAGTCCTTTGGATGAAGGATGAAACGTCTCAGCAAAAAAAAAAAAAAAACATCCAGATGACCTGACTGAACATTGTTAGATTTTTACCCTACATTATTGAGCATGAACTTTGGTATTTTACGAACCACTGGCTGGAAATCTAGTGACATTCCATGAGACTGCTCACGTTATTTTCAAGGTTTGACCAAAACAGCTACAACTCTGTCATTTCTCATCAAATGAGTTGTCTCTAAATCTCTGGCATGACGTCAGTTCCTTCAGATCCAACCAGAGTTTAAACTAAGTCCAACATTGAGTATTTTTTCTTGTTTGATCCATTGTTTCTTGTCAGGGTCTGCGTGTGGGCGGTGCTCTGAGTTTGTCTCAGGCGAGGAAGGTGAACGTGGAGAAGGGCTGCAGCGTGCCAGACCCCTGCAGCTCCAACCCCTGTCCCGTCAACAGCTACTGCAGCGACGACTGGGACAGCTTCTCCTGCACCTGCAGCAGCGGTCAGTCCGCCTCAAACGTGATAAAACCTCACACAGATCATGGCGCAAGGCTATTTTTATCAGCTTCACTCCTCTACAGGTTACTACGGCACAAACTGCACCGACGTGTGCTCGCTGAACCCCTGTGAACACGCATCCACGTGCACCAGGAGGCCGAGCGCCTTTCACGGTTACACCTGCGACTGTCCCGGAAACTATTTTGGCCGATACTGCGAGAAAAAGTACAGACATTGTTCACATTTGTTATTTTCTGTAGATCCAGAAAACTTAAAGAGTGTGTTTCTACAGAACGGACCTGCCGTGTCCGAGAGGTTGGTGGGGTCACAAGACCTGCGGTCCCTGCAACTGTCCAACAGACCGGGGGTTTGATTCCGACTGCAACAAGACGAGTGGAGAGTGTCGCTGTAAGGTGAGTCTGCAGCCCTGAATTATTTATCTGCAACAGACTCCTTTATCTCCAACAACCCAATGCAATACGAAAAACTTTTTGTTGCGATCAAAGAATTCTGTAAAAACATGTCGGCTGTGGTTTTACATCCTGAATGTCCAGAAGACGTGGTTTGATGTTCCTAAACAGCTTGACTTGTGTTGTTTCTGCCAGGACAAGTCAGATCCTGGGCTGTATTTTATGTTGTGCTTTTGTTATTGTCACCTGCAGCTGAAAGGCAAAAAGGTGGGCAGTGATGTTATTTGCCCGTGTGTGAGTTTATCTCTAGTTTTAGTAAAATATCTCTTAAACTGCTACATTAACTTTGAAATAAACCTAATTCAAGATGGCTGCCACAGCTACATGACCTTAACCAGCACAGAAATGGCAAAGCTGTGTCGTTTTTACAGATATTGAGCTCAAACTTGGTGTGTGGTAGTAGCTGAGAGTCACTCACAACACATACTTTAGATGCTAACAGATCTGCTGTGAGATCATGAAGATTTTCTGTGTTTCACGGTTCACCTGGTGTGGAGTCTGTTTGCTGTGCAGCTCTGCAGACAGAAGAAGACTCCAGGCTGAGAAACTAACCGCGAAGCATCAGGAATGAATCTTTTTTTAGCAGCTGGAGCTCGGTGTCGTCTCTCAGGACGAAACTTGTGCAGATGTGGAGGAATATAGGCCTAAAAACAGTCATTAAAATCAGCTTCTTGTCTTTTCTGCCTTGTTTCCAGGACAACCACTACCGACCTGAAGGCAGCGACACCTGCCTGCTGTGCGACTGCTACCCGGTCGGTTCTTTCTCCAGAGCCTGCGACAGAGAGAGCGGTCAGTGTCAGTGTAAGCCCGGCGTCATCGGGCGTCAGTGTGATCGCTGTGACAACCCGTTTGCTGAAGTCTCTCCTAACGGCTGCGAAGGTTTGAATGAATCCATGACAATCAAAGCAAGGCTTTATTTTAAAATGTCATTGTATGGTGATCCTATTTCTCAGTAACTACGGCTTCAAAATGTCCACTATGTTCAAGACATTCCAACTCTGAGTTTTGTTTTGTGTAACTTTAATACTTTTCAAAAAATTGAAATTTATTTACATAAAGGTCCTCATTGAAAAACATTGAACTCTCTAATGTTTAATCTTTTAAATTTATTTTGGCAGACCTCCTTTGTTTTTGTCTTCTTATGCTACTTTTAGCTAGCATTTTGCTACTTTGAACTAACCTTTTACTACTCTCAGCTAGCATTTTACTGAGCTAGCATCTTACTACTTTTACCTTTAAGCAAACATTAAGCTACTTTTACTTTTTGGCTAGTGTTTTGATACTTTTAGGTTTTAGTTAGCTTTTTTTGGTACATTAAGTAAGCTTTTAGGTACCATTTTATTACTTTTAGCTGAAATTTAGCTACTTTTACCATTTTGTTAGTATTTTAATACTTTTACTTTTTGGCTCGTGTTTTAATACTTTTGGTTTCCAGTTAGCATTTTGCTAGTGTTAATTATATTTTACTATTGGCTTGCCTCTATCTGTAACTAGAATTTTGCTATTTGTAGCACAGTTTGCTACTTTTAGCATTAAGCTAATGTTTTGATACTTTTAACTTTTAGCTAGTGTAATTTTCTTAATATTAGCTAGTGGGTTTTTTTGTCTTTAACTATAGTTTTGCTGCTTTAAGCCAGAGTTTTGCTCTTTAGAGCTATTAGCAAGTGTTTAGCCAGATTTAGCTTTTAACTTATGTTCTGCTTCTTTTAGCCTTAGCTAATATTTTTTTCTTTTTTAGCTAATATTCAGCATATTTCTTCAAAGTCATTCAACAAACTGCAGTTTAACAGAAAATGTTGTTTCCATTCTAGATGCATAAATATTAATATATATTTAATTTTCTCTATGCTCCTTCTCTCACAGTAATTTATGACAGCTGCCCTCAGGCCATCGAGGCTGGGATATGGTGGCCCAGGACTAAGTTTGGTCTTCCTGCAGCTGTTCCCTGTCCCAAAGGAACTATTGGTATGATGTATTATTTTTTTGACAGATCACCAAATTTCCATAAAATAATGGAAACTATCTGTTGGCAGCCTGAAGCCATGTGTCAGCGCGGCCTGTTTCTCACCTCTCCTGTCTCCACGTTTTAAGGCACAGCCATCCGACACTGTGATGAGCACAAGGGCTGGCTCCCTCCGAACCTCTTCAACTGCACCTCTGTCACCTTCAGCAAACTCAAAGCCCTGGTGGGTCGTCTCCTCCTGCTCGACAACTTCATACAAACTGCCTCACACACGTTCGCAGGAACGGGGAGATATGAAATAATTGCTGTAGTTTTTCAGTACATCTGTTAGTGGGTCTGTCTGTTGGTAAAATATCTCATGAACCACAGGACAAATTTTAATGAAACTTATAGAAAGCAATTATTTGATTAAATCTACAACCGATTACATTTTGAAATAAGTTCAAGTTAAGATGGCCGCCCAAGCTAATTGACATTAGCCAACACATAAAAGGTTTTAAGTCAGTCGTTTTTTACTCTTCATCAAAGGCGGGACTTATTCTGGCATAGTCTCCGTTTGCAAACTTTCTCTTGTCCGGTGCATAACTTCTGAAACTTCATATGTATCATCACTAGATGAAGTGTTACGTTTACTTTTCATGACCCCATCTTCAAGGTCACAACCAAGGTCAAATGTACAAGTTCTTTGCTTGTTCGTGTCATTGCTATAGATTGCTGTATAATGTTTATGATCTTAGTTTCAAACTCTGGCCTGAAAGGCAGTAGACTTCCTTCAAGGAGGCCGTTAGCTCATCTGTTGTTGTTTTTTCACTCGGGGAATCTTCATAACGCCACAAACTACAAGAAGATTTGAGGAGATTTTAAAATGTTTGTCTGATTTTTTTCCTCCTCCAGTCAGAACGGTTTTCCCGTAACGCGTCACTCCTTGATCCTGGGCTCGTTCAGCAGACGGCAGCCATGTTGGCCAACGCCACCTCGCACACGGAGCAGTTCTACGGCAGCGACGTGAAGGTGGCGTACCGGCTCGCTCTGAGTCTGCTGCAGCACGAGAGCAACCAGCAGGGCTTCAACCTCACGGCGACGCAGGACGTCCACTTCACTGAGGTCAGTAGTCTGAAAATTCACTTTGCATGTTGTGTCTGCTGGAAGTACATTGTACTTTGGTGCCTTCAGCGTTGCGGCATCCCGTCATTCTGAAATCTTTTTTCATCTGACAGAATCTGATCAACGTGGGCAGCACCATCCTGTCTCCAGATGTCCGGCCGCACTGGGAACTGATCCAGCACTCAGAGGGCGGCACGGCGGCTCTGCTGCGACGCTACGAAGAATACGCAAACACGCTGGCACAGAACATGAGGAAGACCTACCTGAGCCCCTTCACCATCGTCACACCGAACATCGGTAGACGTTCAGTCAGGCATCAGATGAAGTTGAAGTTTGCAGATGAAGCACAAACCAACATTGTTGTTTTCTTTAATAATCTCTGCTTGACGTCTCTTAAAGCCCTGACCTCATCTACGTTGTGTTTTTTCAGTCATTTCTGTGGACCGTCTGAAAAAGATGAATTTCGCCGGAGCTAAACTACCACGGTACCAGTCCCTGAGAGGTCCGCGCCCTGCGGACCAGGAGACCGCCGTCACTCTCCCCGATTCAGTCTTTCAGCCGCCCACGGACTACAAGGGCCACAGACTCCAGGACGTTTTCTCAGAATCCTCCCCGAAGAACCGCTCAGGCAACAGGAGGAGGCGCCACCCGGAGGACAGCCAGCAGGAAGCCATCGCCAGTGTGATCATCTTCCACAGCCTGGCCACGCTTCTACCGGAAAACTACGATCCAGACAAGAGAAGTCTACGGTGAGGGGTCGTTGATAAAATTAAAGCGTTTGTGTGAGGTCACAGCATCCTGGTTAAAGTTTCTTCTGTATGGTTTTTGCAATCAAACTATATCTGCTGCATAATTTACACTATTTTCATCATTTATATTTCAAAACATTCAGCTCTGTCTGGAATAGTGGGATAAAACTTTTAGTTTCTGTAACTTTTATACTTGTACAAAATGCACCACGGTAGTGAAGCGGTTAGAGCTGATCTCCTTTCTGCCTGGAGCCAGTTGTTCCAGAGTCTGGGGTCTGCCACTGCAAAAGCCCGATCCTTTCTGTGCCCTCGGCTGCACCCCGAGCATCTGGCTGGAGGATCTCAGTGCTCCTTGCATTAACTTTATTTACAAAATCTTCTCATAGAATTACATTAAAGTCTCCAGATTCATCGTTCTATAAAAGCTACCTCAGTTTACTTGCTCTGGTTTCATCTTCTTTTTAGCTTTTAGCTATGGTCTCAATGTTTTTGGCTTTTTAGCTATGGCAAAGGCAAAGCAGAAGGCGTATGATAAGTTGTATGGGAGGCTGGACAATAAAGAGTGAAGAGGGCGAGAAGGACTTGTACTGATTGGCAAGACAAAGGGATTAGGCTGGAAAGGATGTGCAGCAGGTTAGGCTTGTTAAATCATTTTAGTTTTAGAGGCTGTTTTGTTCTATTTTGCTTTTAGCTACTATTTTGGTAATTTGACCATTTAAGTACTGTTTTGCTACATTTAGCCTTTATCTTCTGTTTTGCTATTTTAAGTTCCCCCCACATTTAGCTATAAGTTATGATTTATTTTTAATTTAAAGTTTATGTATTTGTCCATTTAACATTTAGCTAATATTTTGCTAACATCACGTCTGTTCAGACCTCAGCGTTTTCACAGGAAATGCAGATTTCTCCAGTTTTTTTGTTGTTTTTTGTAGTTTATTATAAACTAAACACTTTAAGGTAGGATTATATGATTCCAGGAGAACGTGCGGCTGTAATCTTTTTGAATGTGATGTGAAGATTTCAACATTTCAGCCTCCATCAGCTGTGAGCTTTTAGATCAGGGGGTGGTGCGTCTGATTACCAAACAACATATCATCAAGCAGCTTGAGTTTGTGATTTATTGCAACCCTTAGTGATATTGATATTTTAGTGATGATAACAGAGCTGGAAGAAAAGTGAGTGGAGGAGAAGCTGTCAGACCAGCAACACTTTAATTATTTTAATGGAAGACAATAAAATCTATCATAAAAGCACAAATAAAACTTATTTATTGTCTAAAACTCAATGAATATTCACTCTGACGTTTGAGTAGATTCATTTCAGGAGGGAAAAGGGATTTCTGCGACCTCACTGAGCTTGTTTTCTGCTAATTTTGTTTTGCTGTCAGCAAAATATCTCATGAACCACTGGGCAGATTTGAATGAATCTCTCTTTAGATATTCAAATACAATTAATTTACCTTTGGAGTTATCCTGATTCAAGATGGATGCCACATCTAATCGACTTTAGCCAACACAAAGATCGCTTTAGCTCAGCCAGTTGTTCAGATCTTGAGCTACAGTTTGGTGTGGTAGTAGCTGAGAGTCATCACAACTCGTACTGTGAGCACTAACATAATGTGGAAGAGACTAACTGTTGGACTAAACCTGGTCACTCTGTTAGCAAAATATCTCATGAGCCATTAATTTTATTTGTATGAAAGTCTCACATCAGTAAACGTCACAACAGAACTCTCCTCACATTTAGTTTGACATTTGTTGTTTTTCTGAAGCGTTATTTTTCATTTTATTTTCTTGTTTCTTATTCCCCGCTCCCAGCGTACCGAAGCGTCCGGTCATCAACACGCCGGTGGTCAGCATCACGGTTCACGACAACGACGAGCTGCTGCAGCACCCGCTGGACAAACCCATCACCGTGCAGTTCCGGCTGGTCGCCACCGAGGAGCGCTCGAAGCCCATCTGTGTGTTCTGGAACCACACCATACTGTGAGTCCTGGACACACCGAACTGAGAGGCTCTGTGTGTGTGTGTCTGTGTGTGGTTCTGAGGGTGTGTTGTTGTTTCAGTTCCGGGAATGGCGGCTGGTCGGCCAAAGGCTGCGAGGTGGTGTTCAGGAACAGCAGCCACATCAGCTGCCAGTGCTATCACATGACCAGCTTCGCTGTGCTGATGGACGTCTCCAGGAGGGAGGTGAGGCACTCTGAGGGTCTCACACACACACACACACACATCCTAACACACACGTTTAACTGTTGAACCTGATGTTTGTCTCAGAACGGAGAGATCCTGCCCATTAAAATCCTGACATGGAGCACGGCCGGAGTGACGCTGGGCTTCCTCTTCCTCACCACAGTCTTCCTCCTGTGCCTCAGAGCCATGCAGAGCAACAAGACGAGCATCATCAACAACGGATCCTCGGCTCTCTTTCTGTCCGAGCTCGTCTTCGTCCTGGGCATCAACCAAGCCGACAACCCGGTAACCTCTGACCTCTGAGCTTTCTTCTCCTGAAAGGATTTCCAGCTCAGTTTTAACCGTTCTTCTCGCCGACAGTTTCTCTGCACGGTCATCGCCATCCTGCTGCACTTTTTCTACCTCTGCTCGTTCTCCTGGCTCTTCCTGGAGGGGCTGCATGTTTACCGCATGATCAGCGAAGTGCGAGACATCAACTATGGACCGATGAGGTTCTACTACCTGATCGGCTGGGGAGTCCCGGCCTTCATCACAGGTCTGCATGCTCACCTGATCACTTTAAAACAAAACAAGGTGTTTGCTGCACTGAAGGAGAGTCCCGCATGCAGTTTCTGTTTTATTCTTATTTAATACAATTAAAGTTCCCAAAATCCATGAAGTCAGTTTGTTCAGACATAAAATCTGACGTTAAAGCAAAAAATAAAAAATAAATGTCTGTATCTGTTTGTTTACCTACAACTTTTGTGTTCCTAATATAGACAGATTTGAATGAAAAGTCCTTCTGAGGTGGTGTTTTGGCCTTAGACTCAAAAAATGATTTTGAATTAATTTCTCAGACTTTATATACGAGCCATAACACCAACGAACCAAACATAGCTCAAATAGATCAAAAACAAAAAGAAAAGTAATATTTTTACTGAATAAAAGTCAGTTAAAAAAATAAAAGAGAATAGAATCAGGATGAGCCCATTTAGGCCACGTTATTCTTCTTCTTGTTCTTTTTTTCTCCTCCTCTCTTCAGGGGTCTTCACAGTGAGTCATCCTCCTCCATCACTCTGTCCTCACTCCAACCTCCATGTCCTCTCGAACTGCATCCATATGTCTTTTTCCTGGCAGCTGCATTTCTAACATCCTTCTACCAGTATACCCACTGTCCCTCCTCTGGACATGTCCAAACCATCTCCCAGTCCTTTCTCACTAGCATTTCAGCCAATCATTCAGCAGCTTTTAGCTACACTTAACTGTTCAACAAGCAGCGAGAGTTCAGAGACTGAAGATTTACAACTTTATTTTCAGCGTCTTCAGCAGCTTTCAGCAAAATCGTTTACCGATGAGCATTCATACTGCATTTTTGCAGGAAATGCTCATTTCTCTAGGTTAGTATTTTTTTGTTGTTAGGTCTAACTCGCTGTAAATTCACGCTTCTACAACCAGCTGGGCTCAGTTTTTAACACTGCAGTTCACTGCTTCTTCAGTACTGTACTGGGAATTTAAACTGGGTTTCAGCAGAACCTTGTCAAGTTTATATTTGATCTAAAAGGTTTTCAGTAGACGTTAACAGCTTTAAATTGTCACACAAATGGGGAAAAAAAAGGTTCTGTCTGTTTTTGTTGTCCTGTCTCCAGGTTTGGCGGTGGGTTTGGACCCCGAAGGCTACGGTAACCCCGACTTCTGCTGGCTGTCGATGTACGACACTCTGATCTGGAGCTTCGCCGGACCCATCGCCTTGGTGGTGTCGGTGAGTCGGCTCGTCGTTTTACAAACACAAGAACGGAAGTAAAACAAACACAAAGGCGTGCTGCGGCGTCCACAGTGATGCAATCTGGTGTTTCCACAGATGAACATCTTCCTGTACATCCTGTCATCCAGAGCCTCCTGCTCACTGAAGCACCACGGCATGGAGAAGAAAGAGCCTCGTTTGTGAGTCAAGCCCATCGTTCAGACTCCTGCATACAAATATAGACGTTAGTTTGGCTTTCTGAAGGACTTTTAGCTTTTTTAACGCATTTTCACCCAGAGAAGCTGAACATTTTCAGAGCAATGTTTGCTTCTTAAGACATGTGAATCTTTCAGGTATTTCTTTATTGGACTTTATGAAAAATACCAAAGAAAACACAGTTTCACACAGAAAACAGTATTTTAGCACCGACAAAATGAATCCCAAACGACTTTTAGCTGAAGCTTTACCAAACAGTCGATGGTCAGATCTTTTAAAGCTCAACTTTCAGATACGGTTCATCTGCAGAACATCTTTTTGTCCTCCACTTGTCCATTTAAGACACACTAAGCTTTCAGGGTGGAGTAGAAGAACTGTACAGAAAATTATTTTAAAATATTTCCTTTATCTCTGTTTCTGTAATGAGAGTTTATTTTCTGTTCAACTAAATGATGGAATGAATGTCATTGTTCTTATTCGCGAAAAAAAAAGAGCAAAAAATGACAACAGTGAACGTCATGTAGGTTATTTTGGTGCATTACTGGAGTTCTGATAGAAACATGATTAAGGGGATGAAGACTTCTGAACAGCTCGAGGGATCTGCAGCAGTTTTTTTTATTCTGAACGTTAAACATCTGAATTTTACGCACAGTTTTGACAATTTACTTCTAAAAGCAGCCACATCTGACACACATCTCTGCAGTAGAGCGTTAAAAAGATGTGTCTCGACATCCCTGTGCTCTTTTTGTGAGAACAGCAGATAGCTTCTTTTTTGCAGAGACCCAGACAACCCCCACTCTCAGGAGGCTGTAAAAACAGTATTTGAAGCTAAATGTGTTGCTGAGCGTTGAGAATCAGACACTTTTTGCCTGGCATTGAGCTCTTTTAAAATGCTTTTTTAATCTATATGCTTTACTTCATTTAAATATGTGCAAACTGTCAGTCGGAGTAATTTGTGTTAATATTTAAAATTAAACAATATTTATTTTCCTACTGAAACAAACGGTTTTACCTCCATTAAGAGGCATTTTAATTTTAAAGCACAATACTGTTGTGATTGAAGGTTTTAGAGGCAGAACCCAATGGTGCAGGCAGGACTCAGAGACCAGATGGTTAAATGAGAAACACTTTAATAATACAAAATAAAGAGCTGTCAAGGCAGCAAAACTTACATTACGATAAGACACGTAGAAATCTCAAGGAAACACTAGGAACTCCGGACGTTTACCAGACGATGCCCAGACAACAAATAACACAAAGACACAGACTTCTATACAATGACTAATGAGACATAACACACAACAGCTCACGGGTGTGGGAAAATAGAAGTAATGAGACACAAGGGAGCAGGATAGAGACACAACACCAGATGGAGTCATACACTAGGAAACCACAAACCCTATAAAAACAGAAACTGAGGATCAGGAGAACACAAGGCATAAACACAACACAAGATGGGGTAAGACACCAGGAAACACAAACCACAACCCCTACAAATACACACAGCTACTCAGATTAAAGTGCTGAGACATTAAGTTAAATATTTTATAGAGGGATTGCAGTATATTCATGACTGTGGGGTGTTTGCTCTGCTCTCCTAGTTTTGGAGCCTCATTGCTTTGTCCGTTCAGCTCAGGACTGATCCCGACAGCTCCGTTAACTCGTCTGTGACATTTCTCCTGCAGCTCCGGCCTGAAGACCGCAGGCGGCGTCCTCTTCCTGGTTTCTACCACATGTTTTCTGGCTCTTCTCTCCGTCAACAGCGACATGATCATCTTCCACTACCTGTTTGCAGGTTTTAACTGTGTGCAGGTGAGCGCTCTCTCGAACGCTGAAACAAACTGTTTCTGGTTATTTTACTGACATTCTCTCTGTTTGTCTTGTGCAACTCCAGGGTCCGTTCGTTTTCTTTTTCCGTGTCGTCTTCAGTAAGGAGGCGAGGAGAGCGATGAAGTACTGCTGCAGCCGAAAGCGCCCAGATCACATGATCAAATCTAAAGCCTTGGTGGGTTCATTACCACAAACACTGAGGAGGAGTTTCTCTCAAACCTGCCGCTAAAAATGTTGATTATTAAAATTCATGATCGCCCACCGCCAAAAGGCGAACACCCTTAATATCTCATCATAACTGGGCAGATTTTAATAAAACTCACAAGTGGACGTCTACAACTGATTAACTCTTGGGCTGAATCAAATTCAAGATGGCCACTACAACCAGTCGACATCAGCCTATATAGAAATGGTCATAACTGGATCAGTTTTACAGACACTCAGCTAAAGCTTCATGTGGTGGTAGCTGAGAGTCGTTCATCACACGTACTCTGACATCTGTTTTATTTTCAAGGTTTGACCAAAAAGGCTCCAACTCTGTCATGTTTTATCACTAAATCATTTAAAGCTTATAGTCGCTTTTTATCCCCTTGCAATGAAAATGTTCATTTTTATTGATTTGTTTCATTATTAAAACACTTTTTCTTTGTCTGTATTTCCAGAACTATAAGAGCAACACGAACTACATGGACGGCCGGTTGTATCATCTCCCGTTCGGTGAGTCCAGCGCGTCTCTGAACGGCACCATGCAGAGCGGGAAGAGCCAGCAGAGCTACGTGCCGTTCGCCCTCCGGTGAGGAAGTCTTTCTAACTCCAGATAAATGTAGGGTTTTTTACGTTTGGTGTCAGCTGTGCTCCCTGCTCCTTCAGAGACGATGGATTAACCACCAGCCAGGCGCACATCGCTCTGAACGACCACACATCGCTCTTCCACGAAACGAAAGAGCACATGGACGGTACGGCCGTCGACCCGTCTGTTATTCGCCTGGTTTACACCGACTCTTTCACTTAGCTCTGTCGCTGTCGGTTTGCAGATCACGACAGTGACTCGGACAGCGATCTGTCTCTGGAGGACGACCAGAGCGGCTCCTACGCCTCCACGCACTCTTCTGACAGCGAGGACGTGGAGGGGCCCCTTCCTCCAGAGGAATGCTGGGAAAACCTAGTGTCCAACGGTGTTAAACGACCCCAACCACACGGTGAGGATGCACTTTGTTTTGGGTGTATGATCACAGTCAGCTGTTACTTTAGATTTCTAAAACCCTACAAACCATCATCTGCAACCATCAGAGTGTCTCAAGATCCTAAATAAAACTGGTTCTTTGATAAACGTGACTCACAGATTGAAGCCGTATTCAACCCTTTGTGCAAGCTCAACACGTTAAGCTCAGATTATGCGTCGTGAACGACTTTCAGCTACTACCGCGCCAAACTTTAGCTCAACATCAGTTAAACTGACTGAGGTGGAGTCATTTATGTGTTGTATAATGTTGATTAGCTGTGGCAGCCATCTTTAAATGAATTGACTCCAAACAATAATCAGCTGCAGATGTACATCTAATAATTATTTCCTTTAAGTTTTCAGTAAAATATTTTGCTTACAATCAAATGAACACAAATGTGAATAAAAGCCTCCTTTAGGCAATGAGTACTGGTAAAACTGGACTACGGCTTTGAAGCTTTCTAGTGTCCAAAAAATATGTTTTGTCAGGCAAAAAATGAAACAGTAATATAAATAATTATTAAACATTCATAAATATTAAACAACGTTCTTTAGTCATCAACATGGAGGATTGGCGTCGCTCAGTGGCACATTCTGGAATTACAGTCAATGTTGGGGCACATTTCCCAGTCGCCATGTTCTCGTTAATCAGCTGCTTTATGATCAAAACGTTCAGAAAGTGATCCCTCTGCAGCTGAATACGTGTTGAGTATGTTTACAAACACTTCTGGTAAATATTTGTTTGGTCGTCATCAAAGCTGCGTCCCGTTTCTGCAGCGCTCGTCTGATTCTCTCTGCTCGTCTGAACCTTTCAGACGACAGTTCGGGGCCGGCGCTCTGGCCTGCAGATCACTCGTCCGGGGTCGGTGACGGCGAGCTCGTTGGTGGAGACAGAGGGAGGACGGAGGCTCCAGAACCGGTCCTCGGGCGAAACATTCGGCTGTTATCGGACGACCGGTCGCAGGAGTCTGCGGCGACGCTGCTGCCTGTTCTATCAAACCTCAGCTCCCACCCTCACAAAGGTTCAAACACAAGCGTTGTTAACACAACGGACTTATACACGTTTTCATCAGTGATCGTTTCGAATGAGTGGCTTTCAGTCACACATGCTGTTTTTGATCCTGTCCAGGGATCCTGAAGAGGAAGCAGCTGTCTCCCATCGTGGAGAGGAACAGTCTCCACCGCGTCCACAATGAACTCAGTGAAAACTGTCCGGGCTCGGCGCCTCAGCAGGGATCCTCCTCCTGCCAGGACCGAGCCGGCCCGGCTAAACCCGACCTGCCCGACCGGCTGAACGGCGTGGCCCTGAGCGTCAAGGCGGGGGCGGTGGACGGCGACTCGTCAGGGTCCGAGTGAGTATCAGCTGTCAGATCCAGACCCTGTGAGGACGAAGGAGAGGGGTTTGTGTCTGTCATCCTCCCCCCACCCGCTGTTTTAGTGTTGGTGTGTGTCATCATCTTCAGTGATGTTTCAATCCCACGTCTCATTCCAACATGAGGTGAAGACGGCCCCCGAAGTGTCGAGAGCTGAACCTCTACAAACATCAGCCTCGTTTGTTCCGCTCGGAGTTCAGAAACTAACGAGGAAACTAGAGATGCTCCGATCAGGTTTTTTTCCTGCCGATCACAAATCTGATCACACATGGTGCCGATCACGATACCGATCACATGGATTGGCTGTAAATCTTTTGATTTAGTTAAGATGAGTGCTACTTGCTACATGATCTGGGAAATAGGAAACATAAAATCACCTTAATTTGGACAAAAACTAGGGGTAAATCAATAAATTGGCCAGCGGCCCTGATTTGCTTAATTTTGGGAGATCGGCCGATACTTAGAAACCGATTTTACCGTTTTTTGGTTTTTTTTGTAGTTTTAACAACAAATGTCTAAACTTCATTTATATTTCAGAGCACTACCTCATGGCCAGTTAAAACAAGTTTGTATTGTTTCTAGGATATTGTTCAAAGGTATGTTTTTTTAATAAAATAAGATTGGAAAATTGAAGGTGCATTGTGACCTTATAACACCAGACAGTGTTGGCTATAAAACAAAATCGATATCAGCCAAAAGCAGAATCGGCAGGTCAGACTTTTTAGAGATCGGTGATCGGCCAGAAAACTGCAATTGGTGCACCCCAACAAAAACGTGTTTTATTTACTTTTTCCAAGACAAAAAAAGATTAAAATAAAAACTTGCAGGCACAATACAGCAACTATTCAGTCAAAAGGACAACTGAAAAACATTTACCTGCTGTCAGTAACAGAATCTTTAACAGACTGAAAACATTAAGGCTCTCAACAGGCTATACAGGGCAGAAAGTCAAATAAATCTCAAAACATTGATTAAATATATACCATATATACCACCGGACCTCTGCAGGCTGCAAAGTGTTTTGTGATCGGCACTGAAAGGCATTGATCAGTATTGGCCAGTCATGATCCGTGGCTGATTGATCGGAGCATCTCTAAAGGAAGCACGTTCAGGCTGCGTACAGATGCTCCTGTTTACAGCCAGAACATCTGTTTGGGTTCAGACGGTTTAATATGTGTCACAACGTCAGTCTACAGTTCATCATTTTAATCCAATATTAAAACCTCAGACTCATTAGAACAACTCCACACCCACGAAAAACTTTTGATGAATATTACCTTTATACCATCATCTGGTCTTTAAAAGTTTAACAAAATATGTCGATAAATAAAATACTGGTGACAAACTTTCACCCACTTTATCATTCAAAGTGTATAAAATGCAGGTGTTTGAGATTAAAGGTCAGGTAATGTGGACTAAAATCCAGGCTCTGGAGAGCAGAACTTTTGTGAACTCCTGAATCCGAGGTGTAGTATTTTTTTTTCCTCCTAACTTTTCTAACAAATTGAGTTCGGTTTGTTTCGTCAAGCTAAACACAATCCTCTAATTCACAGCCGAGTTAAACATCACCCACTACTTTTCAAAGATTGTCTGTACTGTTAGCAAAATATCCCTGGTTGAACCACTGGTTGAATTTATAAGTTCCCAGAAAGTAACATTTAGACTTACATCTACAACTTGTTGAGTCAAACTGGTTCAAGATGGCGACCGCCTTTATAAAAATGACAACTCAGTCAGTGACACAAAAACTGAGCTAAAATTTGAGTTTAAAGTTTTTATACGTTTGTTTTTATTTCCAGTCAGTTGGACAGGATCACTGAGATCACGTTTAATGTGGAACCATCTGGACCTCAACATCTGCAGCTACATTCAGTTGGCAGCAGTCGCCTTACATGAACCTGTATTCATGTTTTTACTGACGTTGTTGTCAAAAACGAACTCTAGATCAAAAGTCGACTTCTTAAAAAAGACACAGCTCAGCCTCCCGACACGCGTCTGTTTCTGACCAATATAAAACACGAGGTCACTGTAAGAAAATACGTTTTAGAAACTAATCAACACTTTTTGCCATGAATCCCATGAAGCTCTGGTCCTGGATCAGGATCACCATCTTCAGACTGGTTTCGGCATCCATCTCCCCCACTCCCACCTTAAACCCCTCTCGGTCTTCATCACCTATTTGTTTCCATTCACCTTGTGTTGGGCTGCCTTCATCTCCTCTCCTCCTCCTCCTCTTTGCATCACCCTTTGTTTCCCAGCAGCCACTGCAGCACCTCCATGTGACCTCGCTGACGGAGGGGTGTGTCTTTGCAGGTCATAGAGCCCCCACCCCCGCAACACTTGACGACAGCAAGGAGCGCCTGACGTTCTGTCATCAAGAGGAAAGAAGAAGTTCATCATCCTCGGAAGGAGTGTGTGTGTGAGAATGTGTGTGTGTGTGCCAAGCTTCAGGAGTCACACAGAACAAGTCTCCCTTTAAATTGTTTTGTTTACATACTTGAAGAAATGCACTTTTTTTTAATCTACTGCCCAGATTTGTTTTTATTTTTCAGGATTTATGTTTGTTGCGAACCGTGGGAGCGTAAAGACGTCATGTTTTTAGGTGGCTCATTTCAAACATCAGGGAAATTTCCTTTTTTTTTTTTAAAGAAGTTGTTTATATTTGTGAGTTTTGTGACATTTCTCGGGTTGCTGTCGGCTCGAGGGGGTCGGCCTCAGATCACCGACGTCAGGAGTCTGCGACGTCAAAGATGCTGGCGGCGCTCGGGCTCGGGTCGTGTCTAGACGCCGGGACTCGTCTGAACTGAACTTGAAAACTGGAGGACGGCTCCGCCTGTTAAGGGACGCTCCATATAAGCTACGTCTCGTCACTGTCCGCCGGCGTCCAGCTGATCCAAGCTGCGAAGCCTTCAGAGGGTCAAATCTGCTTTTAGAGGACTAAAAGGACTTTTTGTATCATTACATTGTTCATCATCACATCTGAGAGGAAAAGCACTTGAGTTCAGAGACTAAACGGCTGAATTTTATAGATTAGAAGCAGATCTTTTGTAAAAAGAAGCAAATCGGTGCAGATTTGAGCTGTAATTTTATTTGAGCTGTAATCATTTTTTACTGTACAGAGTGGCCTGGAAATGAACTTTTCTTTAATGTTGCCTACGACTGATGTACATTTAATAATGACATTAAAAAAAACAAGTGGTTTACTGTGTAAATACATCCCATAATAAGTCACTGATGTCCAAACGATTTGACTCCACCGCTCCTGTTTTTACCAATTAAAACTGTTTTTCTACCAAATCCAGTTTAAGACGTTTTATTTAAATTACTGTCCTCTTTTCAAACTATAGCCACTTTTTATTTCTTTATATTTGCGGTTTTTTGAAGCAGTGGTTCTGAACTGGTGCAGCTTCGAGTCGGGAACAAAATCCAGGAACACTTTTTGAAGAGGTTTGAAGCCGAGAGAGCAGAGAAGATTATCACAAGTTTAACGATAAAAAAACAAACAGACCAACAAATGATCAGGTTTATGCTCAATTCAACTTCAGCCTTTTTATTTTTAATGATTTCACACTAACGTGAAATAAAGTCCAACTCCTGAGACGTAGTTACAAAACGACTCGAGCAGCTCGCAGCTTATTAAAATTATTCAGTCACTCACTCAAGCTACAACCATAAATCTCACAATCGGAGTGTAGATTTTATTTATTTATTCTTTGGCCCAGGTAAAGGCCCATGAACCACCAGTTGAGAAGCACTCCTTTAACGTGGTCTTTGTCAGTACTTCTTCACAGACTTTTGAAGTTTTTTTCTTTGGACTTTTTGCTTTTGTACCTGATAATGTCAAACCATGCCGATAAAAAGTATTCACCCCATTTAATGTTTAGTTTTACTTTTTCCCAGCAGCCTGCCGAGCTCCTCATCATCGCGGTCGAAACTGCAGGTGCCGTGGGATGATTTTGGTCCTCTCGCTGTCATGAGCAGCGTTTCCCGCCATCTCCCAAGAGCTTGGTGGTCAGGTACTAGGCCTGGTAGACGGGAATGCATCCACGGCGCCTCCTTTTCAACTCATTTGGGATTTGGTGCTGTAGTTGAGGTATTATTTGAGCTTTTGAGATGTTAGTCAGCAGCTCCTGGTTGTAAAAACCACCTTGTTGATATTTATTCATCATAACAAATGTCCAAAAGTAAAAAGGTTTCAGTAAAAAATCCTTCCAGTTGCAGCATCTGATACCAGAGAAAATAATCATCCAAAAAAGTGACTTGCATCCAGAGAAAAAGAGTAAAGTTTTCAAAAGCAAAATCTCAGAAAGCAGCATGCAGCCACCTTGAGCGGCGCAATTCTAGAACCAGTGTCATGAATAATGAATCAGAATGTCACATTAAAACAAAAATATTTGGAGATTAAAAAAATGAAATCTCATTACCTGCCTGCCCACTTTCCTCCCAGTCACTCAAACTTTAAATTGTATCCATCTTGTTAATAAAACCAAAGTTTCTTGAAACGAGCTTATAAATATTAACAATGAAATTATAAAAAGATAAAATGTAAACTTTGATTGTAGAAAACCTGAGTGAAACCTCAAACGACACAACCGTACGGTTGCAGATGTAATTACAAAATAAACCGGGTTTATTTCAAATGTCTGTTTCCAAAACTTGTATCAATAAAGCTTTTTTTATTTTATTCATAAAACTCTGCAGTTTAGATAAAAAAAACAAATCCCATCTATCCTTTTATGTTAAGTAAATAAATAATGAACTGGGTTAAACTCGTCACAACTGACGACGTGCTGCTGGCAAGCAGAGGCTTTGGAGGTCAAAGGTCAGCCAAACACCAGACAGTCCTCAGAGATAAACTAATAATCTGGTGATTTTAATCATGTTTACGACAATCGTTTTGTTGTAACAGATCATTTTATTAAAAAAGATGTTTTGAATACACACAGACACGTTCAGTTTAAATACAATCTAAAATTAATCTGATATATTTATAATTTTTTTTATAATACTGAGAATGCGCTACTCTTTAAAACAATTTGCATTTAGTAACAATTCTACGACGAAGGAGCGATTAGCACTGCAGCTACCAGAGAAGCCTAGTGTGGAGTTTGTATACAAATACACAAAGCACAAACAATAAAACACACACCTCTGCACACGCCTGGTGTCTTTCAGCTCCTCATAAATTAAAGCGACTCCAACAGCGCCGCTCTGTCGGTCCGCTCTGCTCTGTCGGTCCGCTCTGCTCTGTCGGTCCGCTCTGCTCTTTGTAAATCTAAGAAAAGAATCGTCCTCTTCCATCTGTGAGTTCGTCTGGAGTGTTTTCAGCTCGAGTCCTCAAGGCTGCTGCTCTTCTGCTCCGAGCCGCACAGACGCTCCATGATGCTTTGCAGGATGGGCTGCACGATGCCGAGCAGCGGTCTGAGGGAGGGGTCGCCGTTCCAGCAGGCCTCCATCAGCTGCCAGCACTCCTCGTCGAAAGCAGGCTGCCGCTCGGGTCTGCAACCTGAAAGGGCGACGGACAAAACTGAGTCCCTGACCATGGACGGGAACAGAGACTAAACAGAGGAATGGTTAAAAACTAACATTTACCGTATTTTTCGCTGTATAAGGTGCAGGTTTTTTGCATAAATTAGCATGCCTGTGATTTATACAGTGAAGCAACATATTTATGTTTTTTTCCCATATTTATAGCCCAATTTTTGGCTGAGATCTGACAATTTCATTCATTCTGACATGGAAAACATTGAACACTACCATTGACATCTTGACGGTTGGATTGATCATTACCATTTTCAGCCACTAGAGGGCCCCGACTAATATGGCAAGCCAAGTGTCCCATTAATAGGTAAAAGTGGCTATTAATGAGACACTTGGCTTGCCAAACCGAGCCACCTTTGTCTTGCTCAGGAACTCTTGGAGCAAACATCAAATTCAAACCTCATTCAGAATTATTTAAACTTTTTCAGGCCAAACCTCCAAACAAAAGTGTTGACATCATTATTAGGCCTGTCACAATAACAAATTTTGCTGGGCGATTAATTGTCTGAGAAATTATTGCGATAATATTGTTTGAAATTGGACAATAATTAGTAATTATTGTCAAATTTAAGGAGAAATATTGGTTAATTTTTGTGTGCAATACCTTTTTTTGACCAATGGATGGCAGTATAAGATTGTTTGAACCAAAGGATGGATAGTGAGGGAGCGAGCAGTGTCTCTAAGAAAAATGGGAGGGAGGCCCCTTGACGTGACACGGGCCGTCTCTCGTTCCTGTTTTTGGGTTCTCAAAGTGGCGGACGCTCGGTGTGGTTTGAGCTCTTTAGCATAGAATTTCATACAAAGATTTTAATTTTAAAAAATCAGTAAACAAGTTCTCATCTTCTTTTTGTAGAGAAAAACTACTTTTTACACAAAGGCACGGGTTTCAACTGTGAATTTTGGAGCTTTGACAAAACTGTTTTTTTCTCACCAGGTCAGGGGCCTGTTAGCTTAGATTAGCTTCTCAGCTTAGCTGCTTTTAACGATCCAAAAACGTGATTTTGGACGATTAAAACTGTTTTTAAAGAGAAAAGAGAAAGGGAGGGGTCAGTGAAGAGCACCAGAGTTGAGCCTTTCATCATCCAGTGTCTTCAGTAGAAAGAAACAGACACGAAGAAACGATACAGCCAATAAATGAAAATGAGGTAGATAATTTCCATATCATGTGATTAATTGATTTATTGTGACAGGCCTAATCGTTACGCCTCCAGCTGCGTCTCTTTTTAAATGTTGCTTCAGAAAAAAAGAAAAAAACACTGGGAAGGATTTCCATCACCTGTTTATAACTCCCCACAACCCAAAAAGGAAGAAGCGGGTAAAGATGGATGGATGAATGGATGTTTATAAGCTAAAAATAAACTAGATATTTAGATGTCATCTAACCTGGGAAATCCTCTAAAAAATATAAATAAAGAGCAGAAACTGCATTGAACAGGTGACTGAACAAGCATCTTTTTTGTCAAAGTTAAGCCAACAAGACCTTCCGCCACTCAGCTGCCAGCAGGTGGCAGTGTACGGTACAATATGCAACAAAGTTATGAGCTTCATTAAAACCAGGAAGTCAGGATTTCTTCACTTCATGTGGGAAAGTCAGAGTCTGAAATTTACCTAAACTTCAGCTGAGTGCAGAACATTTGAAAATCTTGCATTAAACAAGGCTTTGAATTAACTACTTTGTGTCTTCTTGAAGGCAGAATCGTTCTAGTGAAACTGTTGCCTTACAGCTCCCGTTTTACTTTAGTCATAAAAATGAAGACTTCCTGTGTCTCAGTGACCCGAGAGGAAGCAAACGTTTACTGTCAGCCTCGATCCATGAACACTTGATAATCAGAGTCCGTCATCGTCTTGTTTCTGAGGGCAACCTTTACCTTTTTTAACGTTGTTCCAGAGCTGGTCCTTGCTGGAGCATTTCTCAAAAGCTTCCGGGAGTTTGACTGAACCGGTGCAGAGGTACCAGAACAGGATCCCAAAGGCGTAAACATCAACGGAGTTATCGTATTTTCCTGTCAGAAGAAACGTCACATTAAAGTTCGTTACGTTGAACTTCTCCCCCTAAAAACTAATTGTTACGTTTTCGCTGCTTTTTATAAAAACTTGAGAGCAGTTAAACATCTCAGAGATCGAACCTGTAAACAGTTCTGGAGCCATGTGGATCGGCGTTCCTACGATGCTGCCGGACATCATGGCCTCTGGTTTACAGAAGCCAAGGTCAGTGATCTTTGCACGGTTCTGTTTGTCCAACTTAAAGATAAAAGAAAAATAAACATGAGAAAGTTGCTTCAGCTTTTATATTAGTGATCATAAATACGTCTTCTTGGTACAAATGTAAAAGTATTTCTAAGAAATCTGACAATTCAGGATGAACACAAAAAGAATCACACTTCAAATAAATGCTCAATAATATACGTGTGTGCGCATCAGTGAAAAAAATAATTAAATGCCGACGTTAAACAGGACAGACGAATCAGATGTTTACAGAGGAAGAGTCCTATGATGAATAATTTAGGAAAAGAAATCAGACATAAATAAGAAAAGCTTTGCAGAGAGTGGTGAAGGCTGCACAGAAGACTGTTGGAGTCAGCCTCCCCACCATCACAGACATCTACACCTCCAGATGCAGGAAGACGGCCACCTGCATCATGAAGGACCCCACTCACCCAGCACACACACTTTTTGCCCCGCTCCCATCAGGAAGGAGGTTGAGGAGCATTAAGTGCAGAACCACTAGACTGAGGAACAGCTTCTACCCTGAAGCTGTTAAAACTCATGAATCTATAACCAGGATAATCACTGTAATGCCACTTTAATTAGCGATATGTGACTTTATATGTGCTGCTGATTATCCATGCTGCTGATTTCTTATCCCGACGCTGCTATATTCATACCCATCTGCTCACAACAATCATGTTCAGGCTGCGGTTGAATACACCGTATTATATTATATTATTATTGTTTAGTACATATCTTAGATCCTCATATACTGTTTCTTTTTCTATACTTTATATGTATGCTATTTTTTGGTGCAACTGGGACCTTGAGTACACAGTTTCATTCCACCTCATGTACCACGTGTGATGCAAATGACAATAAAGAACTTTGAACCTTGAAGTTTGATGAAAAGACAAACATCGCCCGCTGATGGTCAGGAGGAAGAAAGCAGGTTTGAGCTGCCATTTTATTTTAGGTCACACCTTCACGTGTTTAAATAAGTAGTTTAACGGGCAGTTGGTCTGAACGTACCAGAACATTTTTCAGTTTTATGTCTCGGTGCACGAGACCTTGGCTGTGCAGGAAGCGAATCCCCTCCACCACGTCCAGAGCGATCTGAAGCCTCTCCCTCAGCGATAAACCGGCCTGGCAGACACACGAAACAAAAACAATGAGGACAAACCTGAGGAACCGCCTGGTTTGTTTTCATGTTGCAGAACGAGGTGTGTCGTTTTGTGACTGCAGCCACCTTCAGCCCCGTGTAGAGGTCTCGATGCAGCCGCTCCATGATGAGCAGCACGGCGATGCTGGAGCCGCCTCCGTAGGTGTAATCGATCACAGAACCGTGCAGGTTGACGAGCCGCTCGTGTTTGGGCAGAGACCTGACACGGGGGGAGGGAATGTCGAGTTCATCACAAACAAACCGTTAATCTGAAGTGAATCTCTTTGTTTTCAGCGATTCTGCCTCGGTGCAGTTTTAGAAAGCACCAAACGTTCATGGCAGCATTAACGAGCCACTTCCCACAAATTAAAACAACACAGAAAGGTCTGGAGCGTCAACAATCACAGGTATTTTCACTTCGGTGCGGGTGGAGCTCCTACAACAGAACAATCCTCTGCAGCTGCTTCTAAAACTGCCCCGTCATGTTTCTCCTGCTGCGTGTCAGGGAGCCATCAGCGTGCTGACTCACCTCGTGTAGTGAAACTCTAAAGCCAAGTCGTTCCAGTGTTTATCATCAGGCGGGACCACGGACTTCAGGGCACAGGGGTAATGCCCCCCCCAGCTGTCACACAGGTACACAACTCCGTACTGACCCCGACCCAACTCCGGCCCGAGCTTCGGCTTGCCTAGGAGGAAACAAGTTTCACAAAACATGAAAAACTGTTCAGAGGTTTGATGACCAGACAGATCTAGACGTTGACTTCATATTTGTGCCTTTGAAATCTGGATGTTCTTCACCAAAAACAGTTTACAGGTGAGCGACAGGCGGACATGCAGAAGATAAAGGTTGCTTTGCAAAATATCCTGAATCTAACTTTTAACTGCACGACGCCTGAAGCTGTAAACTGAACTGAACTATCATGTCTGGCTCCTGCACCTAACACACAAAGTTCACTCTTTTCAGAGCAGCAAAAAACTTCATTTAACCCAGTTTAACATTTGGAGTAAACAGCAGGACTTTGCAGCATTTCAGAGCCTTTATAATAGTTCACGGCTCTCGTTGGGTTCAGCTCCAGCCGTCGGTGAGAGGATTTGGTGATGACTCACCGTACAGCAGCACGTCCCTCAGGGAGCGGCTCTCCAACGAGAGTCGGGCCAGCCGAGGGGCGTGGTCCTTCCTGACGCGCAGCCACAGGTCCTCGGTCCGCTCCAGACGCCCCGTGTGGCCCTCTTCCAGCTGCAAAACACAACCGTACAGCTCATGCTTAGCATTACGAGCACTCAAAGTAACAGTCTCTGGAAAAGTTTAATTTTGTAAAATTACTCACTTCTCTACTTTTTCCTAACAAGTCGTGTTTTCTGGGTTTTTTTTTTTTTAAGTGAAAAATAGACGTTTTCTCTTCACAATTAGTTGGCATTTTCGTGTTTAATGTTTGCACAGCTCAGTTCATTTTATAAAAAATAAAATACAATTTCAAGTCCATATTACCGTATTTTCCGCCGTACATGTCGCTCCGCCCTATAAGTCGCATCAGTCCAAATATGCCTAATAAAGTGGAAAAATCCATAAATGTCGCTTCGCTGTATATGTAACATCTATTATGAGTCACCGATGACGCGTCGCATTTGTTACGCGTCATCGCTGACAACCAGGAAATGTGGGCCGGTGTTGTGCCAAAAATCGATCGTCTGCCAAATGACAGCCGCGGGAGCGTGCACGGGAGGACTTTAACAAGTCTAACTTCTGCTTAATAAATGCACTTTAACGGTCAAATCAGAAGTATTTCAAAAGCCGATTCGTGGCCGCGGGAGTGTGCATGGGAGGACTCGCTGTGCATTTCTTCGAAATTTAACGAGATAACCACCTAAAAACAATTGTTTGTTTGCGTGACTTTATATAGTACATGTGTGTTTCAGTTGAACTTTTAATAAAAGGAATTTAATGGTCAAATTATTATTATTATTATTATTATTAATTATTATAAATATTTCAAAAGTATTCGCTGCCTCAATGCTCTGGGAGCGCGCAGACAGGGACAAAATAAGGAAGGAGGAACATTGCGCATTTCTTCGAAATGTAACAAGATAAACACATAAAACAATTATTTGTTTGCTCGACATTATAGCAAAGGTGCGTCTCAGTTGAACTTTTCCTTAATAAATGCACTTCAGTGGTCAAATCAGCTGCTTTTCGCTGCGCCGCTCCGGCAAAATGAAGCTGATTTGACGGTTGCGCCACGCGAACTGGACAAAGGTGGCATTGTATAGCAAGCCGACTGTGTCATTAATAGCCACTTTTACCTATTACATGATACAACGGCATGCCTTACTACTCGAGTACCATCTAGTGGCTGAAAATGCTAGTGTTCAATATTTTCAGTCAGAATGAATGAAAGCGGTCATATTGCAGCCAAAACTTGGTTTATAAATATGGAAAAATCCATAAATATGTTGCAAAAAAAACCCGCGACTTATAGGTCGAAAAATACGGTAGTTGCATGTTTTAAAATTGTGTCTTTCATATTTCAATTTTAAGTTACAGTTACACTAAACTCAGTACCTAAACGACACATTTAGACAGTTTAAATTATTGTAACTGAGCTCTTTCAATCAGCAGCTTGTACTCATGACTTATTTTTATCTTTGTGCGTAAAAGATTTAGTAAAGTCGTTCTCAGGGTCTGCAGGTTTGGCCTCCATCGTGGTGTCATCATTTATCAAACTGATCGGTGCCAAGGTTCTGATCAACCTCGACCCGTTTCATTTTTTAAACCAGAGCGCTACAGGAAACAGACGCCCTCCGGCTGTGTGTAAATATTGACTCTGCTGACGTTTGAGGTTTTTAGTCTGAAACTGAGTAGAAAAACATGTCATAAATCACATCCGTCTGGGATAATGTGCTTTGGATTTTACGAGAAAAATAAAAATAAAAGCAACTAAAACTATTTAAATCAAGAAGCAAATTTCCACAGTTCAACATGATCTGCTTTTCAGGCTGGACTTCTGTTTTCATTTAATGAGTTTCACGTGGGAATAAAAGATGACCTGGTTGAAAAATAAAAGCAGCCGCATGATCAACAACACAAAGGGGTTTAAGAGCCATAAACTGAAACATGAAAACTGTAAAAATAATCAGTTTCTTTGAGCTGTGTCCAAACAAACGTAAAAAATGAATCGATTTATGTGAAAACATGAAGTCAAACAGCAGATCTGGAGGCTGGATGAGTCATGAAATGAACTGGAATGAGTCTGGACTAAAACTAAACTCTTTAAATATCGTTTGTGTAAAACAAAGATCCTCTTCAGTATCTGGAAATCTGACCCAGATCTGAACGGGTTTCACACCGACAGCTTTCTGATACGAGCTTTTGAAATCTGTAAACAATCGTATGTTTGGACTCTTTGCATTCACAGCATGCTTTGAATTTTTCTGTGGCACAACGTTTTCTTTATAATACCACACAGAGATAAGAAATAAAAGTGTTTTTATCTCCAATACAGATTCATATAAGCTCTGTTTGCTACTCTGATAGCTCCGACAGGACTGTGAAATCCTCCAGTTGTTGATTTTCTTCACTCTTTTTGCACCGAGGCACTAATTAAAACCTAAATGGATTCAGTTTATTTATATCCACAGAGAACTTTACCATCAAATGTTGCTTTGTCCATACGACTGTCACAGGTCAGTGCTGTATTTGTGTTATGACATCTTGAATAAAGCGTTAGTGAAGCTGAAGGCAGCAGTGCAGTCCCCTCCGTCATGTGATCGTTATCATTAAAACAATCTGACTGGAACCAGTTGATCAGGCTTTTGTTGGAATAAGGCGGCAGTTCTGCTGCGTGTCTGGGCTTCAAAAGCAAAACAGTGAGAGGAGAAGAGTTCATTTCCTGAGCTCTGAGCTGTGCAGATTTTAGACCCAGATGTTCCCAGCAGCCACTGATGCAAAAAGAGTCAAAAACCTTCAGGTTACCTGTCGACAATTCAAAACTGGTGCAGATTCTCTTGAGTTGTGGAAATTAAAGTAAAAATAATCAACCAATCATTTTTATAAATTTGCACAAGACTCAACGTCCTCCAATTTCAGGCGATACCCGGCTCCCAGTTTCTGCAACCGGTCAGTGGCAGCACATTCCATTACAACAGGAAATGAGTCAAACTGAAGGTTTGTTCATTCAACGCAACAAAGTCCAGCTAACACAAAATGTAACATCAAAGCTGACGGAAAACAAACTCAGAGTTTATTTTTGAATGTAAACTCGCAGGCAGCAGCGTGCACCAAAATCAATGCAAGAATGTTGTATTTTAACACTCCCACCACAAGTGGTGCTCAAACAACAGGAAGTGAGAAAGAGAAGAGTTTCGATCCGCTTCTGTACGACAGAACAAAAAACAAATATTGGAAATATTAAACTGAAAAGAAAGAGAAAAAAAAAAAACAGAAAAGTTTAAACTGCGTCATTAAGATTTTGCCACCGATGTAAATAAAGATGGATGAGCCATCCTTTAACCTAAGTTGTCCAAATCTGAAGCCTAAATGTCATCTGTTTTTGCAAAGTTATAATTTCAGAACTAAAGACTGCGTATGACAGACGTGGGACGGTACTCTCGATACAAAAGTCCCACAAGCTCACCAACAGGCTGTGAATCAGTGTAACAAGTGTACTATGACACTGTTTTTAGAGCATAAAATAATCAAACTAGACTTAATGTATGTAAAAATTAATATTTCAACATACGGAAGGTAAGAAATACAAGAATCAACAACAAACAATGTAAATATCTGAAGTGTATTTTTTACTTTTTAGTTTGGAAAACGCCCCATTCGTTTAAAAGGAGGGGCGGGGCTTAAAGATGCAGCTGGCCACTAGGGGGCGCCTGTGCTTTGTGGCTTCAACTTGAGGCTCCTGGCGTCTCTTTTTTAACATGTGGCTATGGTTTATGTTTGAAGAATCCACTTCATGTTTTGTAATCTTATTTTCCTCAGTAGTGACACCTTTTGTTCAGAGGGAGAACTGCAGAGAGGGCAGCACATCTGGAGCACAGATATAAAACTCATGGTAGCCAAACGGAGTATGATCTTGTTCTACGTACACATATAAATGATGTACTTTTAGTTTTCTCAGTGGCGACTCCTACAGTTTATGAGTAAGTCTGCAACGAGTGGGGTGTGTTTAAACTGACTGAACTCAGGTCTTGATTTGCTCGCATCAATGGATGCTCCATTCATACCTAATCCTGATGCGTCGTCATTAAATCTGTTGACTGCAGGAACGCACAAAACCACTTGAAGTTTTTAATAGCCTTTTCTTATTTACAGTATGTTTTGGTTAAATCAAATTTTAGATTTAGACAAATATACTAAACAAAACTAGTAAACCCACTGGAAGTAAAGTCGTTGGAACTTGATTGTTAGAATAAACCTAATAAAAAATATAAAACATTTTATATGTAACTAGAGAAATTGCATTTCCTGCTAAAATGCAGTGTGAATGTTTATTGCTGAATAACTTGCTGAAAAACAGCTGAAGTCAGCTAAAAAAAAACATTTTGAAATGTAGCTGAAATGGAAACAAAAGTCTAAATTAGCAGAAGAAAGCAGAAAGAACATGTTTGCTGTATTAGGTTTAAATAAGCAGAAATTAGCACAAAAATTAGGAAATGAGCTAAAAATTAGCTAAAAGTAGCTGAAAAGACAAAAAGAAGCTTAAACTACCAGAAAGAAGCAGAAAGAACTGAAATGAGCTACAAAAAATTAAAAAAACGAAAAAGTGGAATTAGATGAAAAAGCTAAAATTAACATCAACAGTTAAATAATTAATTAATTAATTAAATAGTAGCTGAAAGAGCAGAAAAAGTTGAAACTAAAAAAAAGCTAAAATAAGTGGATATCTGAAAAAAGCTTAAATTAGCAAAAAAAAAAAAAAACCTGTTGAAAAGTAGCTAAAAAGCAGAAAGCAGCTTAAACTACCAGAAGTGGAGAGAGCACATTTTTGCTGAATTAGGTTGAAAAAAGTGGAAATGAGTGTAAAAAATGTGGACTTAGCTGAAAAAGCTAAAATTATCATAAAACAGCTAAATAGTAGCTGAAATAGCAGAAACTTGCAGAAATAAGCTGAAAGGAGAATAAACTGAAATTATCAGAAAGAAATTAGAAGAAGCACAAAAATGTAGTTAGTAGAAAGAACCTGAAAGAAGTACAATACAGCTGAAAGTAGCTGAAAAAAAGTTTAAAATTGCACAAGGGAGCTGAAAGAAGCTGAACCGGAACAAAATGTGAAAGGAGCAGTAAAAGGTTGTAAACAGATCTAAAGACTTGAACGATGTAAAACGAGCTAAACTCATTTTCTCTGAGAAAAAAGTGACAGAAAAGGCTAAATATTTCAAAAAGCTAAAGTTGCACCAATACCAAAAGTCATAGCACCTTTCTCCTGAACGAGTTGAATGTTTTGATATATGAATTGTTGAAATAGCACAAAAATAGTGGAACGAGAAAGAGTACGAAAAACGTACAAAAGAAAAATGGATCACAATAGTGTGAATCCTTCATAAGTGTTCATACAAATATGTAACATTTTATATGTAAATATGTAATGAGGTTTAGATGATGGCAGTGTCTAAAAAAACAACTCAGTAGGAAACTAGTACCTGATTGATTCAAGTTTTTGGGAAATTGCATGAAATAATTTGTCTTAGTTTAAATTTTTATTAGTACTATTATTCTATTGGTATTTTACTGCAAATTTTATCATACTTTTATTTTTATTTAACGCAATTTTATTTATTTTTATCGTATTTGTATCTACAATGTTGCAATTCTTGTGACGCACTTTGGTCAGCTGTGGTTGTTTTTAAATGTGCTATATAAATAAACTTTGAATTGAATTGAATTGAGACTAAAAGAAAGAGAATAATTTAAAAGTAACCTGGCGTAAAGATGCAGCGAAGGCCTCGTGGGAGCCGTTCAGTCGGGTTCTGAACTGGGAGCAGATGCTTCGAGCCAGTTTGGCAGCGCTCAGACTTTCTATTGCATCCTGGGCGACTTTTCGCTTCCACTCGGGAGTGATGGCCGGAGGGTTTACAAACGTTATCCTGTGGATTATCTGTAAGGGAAACAGAGAAACGCATTACAGCTCCCTCAGAGTTCATCGATCGCTTCATGTTTTCGCGGTTTCCGTCCTGAAACCTGACCTGTTTGATTTGTTCCCACACGAATCTCGTGACGGAGGATCCTGAATGAAAGGTGACCTCCACATGATAGGCAGCATTTAATAACTGTGACAAACAAGAAAAGATGAGCTGAAGAGTCCAAACATCAAAGATATCCAGTTATCCACAGGCCTTTGACACAACTAATGAGAGTTTAATGGTTTGCCTAAAATTGTCTTTATTCAATTATTTTTTTATGATAGTGCTTTTAGCCAGTCTGATCGTTTTGTTTTCTTTTTTAAAGACGGAACAAACAATTGCTGGTTATGTCTGGACTGACGTTCCTAAAGGCACCCCAGACCCTAAAATATGACCGAAACTTATTTAAGGGCTTTCTCACTTCTTGAGAGCTACATGAAATCATTGCTTCTTCTCCACACACTCCCCGTCACCTGTTTTAGATGATCAGAAGTGATGTTGTGGACAGAGGAGTCGATGTTGGACTTCTCCAGACTGCTGAGGCAACGCTCCAGAGTCCCCACAAAACTCTCCCTCAGATAGTCCACGGAGCTGATCAGCTTATTCGCCACCGCCTGATTCAAACGCACCACTATCAGCTCCTGGATGGAGTGGATGCAGGATTTGATTTCCTTTGACGTAACGGGCTCTCCGTTAGTCGTTACGATGATGTCTGCAGATGAAGAGAAAATTATGTGAGATAATGTGCGACATGTGGAACCAGTTAGCACAGAGAAGTGTTACAGATGCCATGAGCCATTCATTGGATGTTGAACAAAATGTTTTGATGCTCCGTTTCCTTAAGAGAGTGAATCCGTGTACAATGAAGTGATTTATGCGGTTATGATGACAAAATAAGTAATAAGTAAGTTTGATGGTTTTATAAGCAATTTTATTGTCTTGCTGATGACACAAACAAAAGTTTATTTAAGCTTTTTTTTCCCCTCTGTGCTCACACATCACTGAACACATGAAACAATCTTGGGTTTAGTGACCTCCATTCCTTAAAAAAAAAAAAAAGAAATGTTGCCGCCTTTTTGCCAGAGTGTTAAACTAAGATCATCTTAAGGAGGATGGAGTTATGGCTGATTTGGTTCTGTGGGATCTGTTAGAGCTCAGTTTGAGATGAGGATGACTCCCAGCTACTCCCATATTGTTGTGTTAGTTAAGGTCGATTCGCTGTGGTGGCCGTCTTGAATTTGCCTGACTCAAAAGTTGATCGGTTGTAGATGAACATCACAAACTTGGTCATTTTGAGTTACAGCAGTCCCTCACTTATCGCGGGGGTTACGCTCCAGACACCCCTGCGATAGGTGAAAATCCACAAAGTAGGGGCATTATATTTATTTTAGTACTCATATATATTTCAAGCATTTATAAACCATTTCCACACTCTTGCAATGTTCTTTAAAATGTTCAAAACTATCTAAACAAACGGGGACTAAAGGTTCGGTTTGAGCTTGAATATTTTAAATAAACAATCCATGCTGCTTGTGTGGCTCACTCAGGTATAAGACTATGAACGGAGCTTTAGGGACACACAAAAAATAAAAAATGATATTGCCACGCTAAGAAAAATTTTTTTAAGCCACAATATTATGAGAATAAAGACGTACGAGACTTTTTTTTTGCATCTCTCGTTTTTTTTCCCCACGAGTCGGATCCACGATGCTACTTGTCAATCAATCCTGTAGGCGTGTCAGCAAGTGACCAATCCAAAGCTCGTTACCTGCAGAGAGCTGCTGCAGCCCATCAGAGCGTACCACCTTACTGTAAGCAGGTTCAAAGTCCTGATACTGATAATAATCTGATGCTGATGTGTTAACAGATTAACCATCTCCTTATTTGTAAAACCAACACTTAACAAGATGCTCAACATTCTTTATTTTACCACAGTTAAAATGCAGTAAACCTGCTTTATCGCGTCCGAGTTTGGATAATATTACGACTCATTTATTCAACCTTTATTTAGACAGGTAAATCCCATTGAGCCTCGAGGACTCATTTACAACAGATACCTGATTTCAACAAAGAAAGATGACAACAATGGACAACAGCGACAACAATAGACAAATATAAAAAGCCATACAGATTTTATTTTATTTTTTTACAAATAGGATGGCAAAAAAAGTAACAAAAAACAGCTAGATTATAAGGCGAATGTAGAAAACTAAAAACAGGAACATGTCTGCATTAGTCCTTGCCAGGAGCCCAACAGATTTTTAAAGCCAGCTTTTTTAGCTTCGGGTTAGTCATTTGCTGACACGCCTACTGGATTGATTTGCAGGTCACGTCGTGGATCTGACTCGTGGAAAAAATAAATTAATAAACGAGAGCTGCAAAAAAGAAAAAAGTCTCGTACGACTTTATTCTCGTAATATTAAGACTTCATTTGACTTTATTCTTGTAATATTAGGACTTTACTCTCGTAATTTTATGGTTTTTATTTTTTATTTTTCTTAGTGTAGCCTTAAAGCTCCATCATAACAGACACCCCCCCCCCCCCCCCCCCCAATCCGAAGCTGTCTGCTGTGTGCCCGCCTGTTGTGTGTGTCTGCTCTGCTGACTGGGACAAACAGTCTCAGAAAAAAGAGAAAGGCAGGGGCTGGGGGGGGGGGGGGGGTTGTCGGGGCCAGGGGGCGGCTTGAGTGAGACGCGCAAAGTCAGTTTTTTTTTTTAATCACTTTTTTTTTATCACAATACACAATTAGCAATGAGGAAAGACAGACCCCACCCCTCCTTTCTCTTTCCGAGTCTGTCTGTGCCATGACAGACAGCCTCAGAAAGAGAAAGGCAGCCTCAGAAAGAGAAAGTAGGGGCTGGGGTCTGTCTTTCCCCATCACCAATCGTGTGTTGTGTGCAATCTTAACATTGAAAACCCACAAAACTGTGATTCCATGAAAGATGTACCACAAAGAATCAAGGGACAACTGTATATCACCATCAAGGAAAGCAGTGTTTTGTTAAAGACAGTTTGTTTTAAATTATTGTTAACAATTAACGCATCTGCAGCTCCAACTGTAAAACAGCCTTACAGAAAACCTAAACATCACAGGAAACCAAGACGATAATATTTATATTCCAGAAGTTGGGTTTCAACTTGACTTTGCCATGACTCAGCACATTTTATGTCCAATTAAACAGGCTCAGTGGGCTCAAGGGCAGGTTTTGATTTTAACATATGCCAGATTAACGTGTCAGACTGTGTTTGAATTAATAATAGTTTATTACTTTAAGGAGTGAATGAGTTCTGGATCAGCAAACAAAAAGGTTTTATTGAAAAAGTTGACACCATGTTTGGCCTTTAAATCCAGGAAGTAAATTCAAAAAGTAGGCGTCCTAGAAAAAATGCATATTGCCCGCTGCCTTGCTGGACAAAAGTTTAGCTCAAAATCTGTGAAAATGAGGAAGTTAGATACATTTTTGTGTTTGGTAAGGTTGATTAGCTGTGGTGGCCATCTTAAATCATGCTGACCCCTAAAGATAAATTAGGTGCAGAGGTACACCTAAAGATTACGGTACTTTGAGAGTTTCAGTAAAATCCATTCAGCTGTTCGAGGCGTATTACTAAAAGACAGAAACAAACGCAGACACATGACCGCCTGACATGCATGGTGCATGCACCAATTAAAAAAGTTGAAAAAAAAAATTCAAACTTCAGATTTTCTGAACAAACTTGCTTTGCCTTCTTTGTTTAGTGGCTAGATGAGGTCATTTAAGCTGATCTAATGATGTAATCAATCAGTATCAGTGAAAAACTGCATTTGTCTGGTTTTATATACTGATGACGGTAAAACAAACCAAAGCTCAACCCTTAAACCGTGTTTTCACGTTTCAGAGAGTCACTCCAGATAACCTGCTTCTTGAACATAAACAGGAGTACTGACAGCAGCAGTCGATAAAAGAGGGTTTTTTTTTTACCCCCTCAGCTACTTAACTCAACAGTTCAGTCAGACGGAGCTAAACTTTGTGAACTTGTTGCAAAATCCAGAAAGCTCTGCCCCCCACAGATCAAAACAAAGTATTAAGTGTCTGAAATGGCTTCAACTCGGGCTGGAAACTGGAAATCTCTGGTCAGAATCAAACAGGCAAAATCCCAAATAAACTCAACAGACAAATAAATAAACAGCATCAGAGTGTTAGAGTTAGTTATGCTCCTATATGAAGGTATATTAACGAGAAACGTTTTTCTTATTAGACCATTTATCTTTAAAAGTAAACTAGACACATGAGCAACTGCTGAATAACTGTGAAATCACTGATTATCAAAGTCTTTAAACAACAAATCCATGCTTCCAAAAAGAAACAAAAACTTAAATACAATATGTAATAGGAAAGAACAAGTTATCTATCCATCCATCCATCCTTCCTTCCTTCCTTCCATCCTTCCATCCTTCCATCCTTCCTTCCTTCCTTTCCTCCCTCTCACTTAGGAAAAATTTAGAGTTAGCAAACAGCCTAACGTGCATGTTTTTGGTCTGTGGGAGGAAACCAGCGTACACAGAGAAAACCCATGCAGGCACAGAGAACATATAAACCCGAACAGAAAGGGCCCGAGCTGGGATTTGAACCGGCAACCTTCTCGCTGACAGGCAACAGCTCTACCAAATGAGCCACTGAACTGTCCCAGACAGACTCAGACTCATCAAAATATGATCAAATTGACCAAATCTAGATCAAAAACCTACAGAGTCTACAGGAATGTAAGCTCATAACAAAAGGTATACTAACACAAACTTTCTTTGAGATCTGAAGAATTTAAAAAAGATCTCATTTTTAAAACATGGTTTTTATTTTTCAATTGAATGATTAAAAAAGTGCTAAAAATGGTTTATGTGGAGATAAAAACTGAATATATGTCTCAGAAATCAATGAGTCAACTTTTCATATCGCTCAGACAGCACATACAAAATCACTCAGATAAACTACTAATCACCATTTAATTATATGAACCCATTTAAATTCCAGCGGTGAGTGTGCATCTAAAACAAATGTTTCCAGAAGAGTCATTTACTTTTTTACTTGAATTTGACACTTTATCTGTGCTGCTGATCACCCATGCTGCTGATTTCTTGCCTTTAAGCTGCTATAATCATAACCAACTTCTCACAGCAGACTCATGTTCAGGCTGCTGTTTAATACACCGTATTACACTGCCTGGCCAAAAAAAAAGTTGCCACCTGGGTTTAACTAAGCAAATGGGTACGAGCCTAGATCCATTTTCTTCCGCTTATCCGGGGTCGGGTCGCGGGGCAGCTTAAATAGGGAGGCCCAGACTTCCCTCTCCCCAGCCACATGGTCCAGCTCCTCCAGGGGAATCCCGAGGCGTTCCCAGGCCAGCCGAGAAACACAGTCCCTCCAGCGTGTCCTGGGTCTTCCTCTGGGTCTCCTCCCGGTGGGACGTGTCCAGAACACCTCACCAGGAAGGCGTCCAGGAGGCATCCTAACCAGATGCCAGAGCCACCTCAACTGGCTCCTCTCGACGTGGAGAAGCAGCAGCTCTACTCTGAGTCCCTCCCGGATGATCGAGCTTCTCACCCTGTCTCTAAGGGAGAGCCCAGACACCCTGCGGAGAAAACTCATTTCGGCCACTTCTATCTCGTTCTTTCGGTCACAACCCAACGCTCGTGACCATAGATGAGGGTAGGAACGTAGATTGACCGGTAAATTGAGAGCTTCGCCTTTTGACTCAGCTCTCTCTTCACCACGACAGTCCAGTACAGCGCCCGCTTCACTGCAGACGCCGCACCCATCGATCTCATGCTCCATTTTTCCCTCATTCGTGAACAAGACCCAAAGATACTTAAACTCTACCCTTTTCCGGCTCAAGACCATGGCCTCGGATTTGGAGGAACTGATCTTCATCCCGGCCGTGTCGCACTCTGCTGCGAACTGCTCCAGCGAAAGCTGTAGATCACAATCTGATGAAGCCAATAGGACCACATTATCTGCAAAAAGCAGAGACGCAATCCTCCGGCCACCAAAACGGATCCCCTCAACACCTTGGCTGCGCCTAGAAATTCTGTCCATAAAAGTTATGAACAGAATCGGTGACAAAGGTCAACTTTGGCGGAGTCCAACTCTTACGGGAATGAGCCCGACTTACTGCCGGCGATGCGGACCAAGTTCTGACACCGGTCATACAGGGACCGAACAGCCCCTACTAATGAGCCTCCTATTGGATAATTACTGCATGTGCAATTTTCTGTCAGCTGGCAACAAGTTATTTAACCCCAACTGGTGCAATGAGTTGCTTCTTATTTCTTAAACAACCATGTAGAAGAAATAAAAGACTGGTTTCCAGTTGCAGTGGCACTGAATTTTGAGTGTTTGTAACCAGCGAGTTCAGCGGATGCACCGCTGGACCACTTTTATTGCTCGAAAAAGGCGGTGAAATACACCTGCTCTATATTACAGTTCTACTTGTCTGGCAAAGCGAGGCCTGAGAGGCATTAAACACTCAACCTGTGTTGGTCTAGAGCAGACATCCAGCAATAAAAAAATAAATAAACAAGTGAAATTTGCAAAATAATGAAGCTCTAGAAGAACAGTTTGAGTGCCCAAGACTCAAAAGTAGAATAAAAATAAACATATAATTGTCACCCTGCCTGTGGTTTATGCTCCAAGTTTCCTCACTAACCTTTAAACTCTAAGTTGGCTGCATCCTCCAGCAACTGCTCCTTCATGCTGCTGAGGGTCTCCACGATCATCTCCTTCATCTCCTCCTGTTTTCTGTTGGCGATGGCCATCAAGGAGTTGAAGAGTTCGCCCTCTTTCTCACGGGTGTACTCCAGCCTGCGAGGGGTTATCTGCAAGTCCCTCTGCATGTCGAAGGCCTGCGGGGAAGTGAGGCAAAGGGGACAAAAGTCCGTTAGCGTTTCTGTCAGAAGGAGTGAGGCTCAAAACAAACAGAGACCAGCTAATCCATGCAGTGCCTGCAGCAAAGCTCACGTGATGGTGCTGAAGTAGGAAAATCAAACATTTTGTACGTCATCTTCTGACCTGGTTGATGAAAAGATCTAGACATCGACAATGAAGCTTGTTAAGCAGGTTGGCGGCCTCCACTTGTACGCTTTGGAGCACTTGGCGAGCAAACGGAACCAACAACCGATGCAGTCTTTCAAACGATTCACCCAGCATGCTTTGGGGCTTGGCCCCCGGGGTGGGGATCTGCGTGGGGGCGCCACAGGAACAGCTTCCTGTTTGATTATTTAAGAAACCGAGTGAGAGTAGCTGCTTGTGTAAGGGGCTTTTCTCCCTGTCCTTCTCCGCCCGGCGGCCGGGTTCTGGAGAGGCTGCCAGCGTGGTGTCGGGGACACGAATGAAACAGATGGGAAAGTAGATCAACTCTTTGACCTTCCAGATCTCAGCCGCCTGCTCTGAGGTCAAGGAGTCCTGGTTGATGGCATAAAGAATGATGGGAATTGCGTTGACAGTGCAGTCTTCCAGAGCTTCTTGTATGGGCTGGACACTGGAACAGGGCACCACCATCACCTTCGCCTCCTGGTGACAAACCACAAACAAACCTCAGAAATATGATTCTCATTTCAAACATATACAACTGTAATATGGACAACAAACAGTCCAAATTAATAAGACTGAACAATATAGTTCTTTATTTGTCCCTTGGCACAGAAATATATATTATTGAAGCAGCAAAAGGGACGGATCAAATAAGAAATGTAAATAAAAAATGCTCAAAAACGAGAAAAGATGCACAGAAATGGAAACGCAAAATAGAGTTACTTAAAGACAGCAGTGAACAAAATCAGCAAAATTAAAATTAACCACCTTATGTACAGACACATCAAACAGTGCCATTGGATTCATCTGCCAAATGTTTACTGAAGTTAGCATCTCACTGGGCTGCAACAAGTCAGTGATGATCACAAATTATTTTTTAAAAATTGGATCAGTTTTCTATGAACACTAGGTATCTTTCAATAAACTGGAACAAAATTACACAACTCTTTAGCTCTATGGCGCATTTAGGCCATTAAAACATAAACATAACTTTACTCAAAGCAACTATGTGAATGAATAATAGCCCTTCCAAAATGTTATGGTACTAAACCACGAGATTTATTTTCAAATAAAATCATTGCTTCACATTTGCTCCAAGTTGTAAACTTGTTTCTGTGTTCAACACTTTCTGTCAGGATGATTATGAGCAAATACAGAATATTATCATAAAAGAAATGAATAAAGTAAATTAAAAATGATCTGTGCATTCATTCCAATGTATTTCTATATTACACATGAAATCTTACGAGGTCAGCAAGGTCAAGTTTAACTGCTTTAACAAGTGTTTGTTCCAAATAAGCTCTGTGCCTTGTGATAAATTTACACAAAAGCTCTCATATAGATGCTCACTGAGAAAACAACAAGTGTTTAGTCTCTACAACACATGAGAAAACCATGAAAGCAAAGATGGTCTCACAACACAAACAGGTTTTTTTCCATTAAATTTTCCAGGAACATTAATTTGTCAGGAGGTTTTGTGTATATATGCTGACCTCTTCACCTTCACCCGAGGAGTTTTTGTCTGCAGAAGAAGCTGCCATAAAGATGAAGCGCAGGGAAAAAAATAACACTAAACCTCAAAGCTAAACCTAAATTTCCTCTCTAGGGCCACAGATCTGCTGATGACTTTTTCCACTCTAAACAAAAACCTAATTATTTCAACCGACAGCAAAAGAAGTAAACTTTTGTGTACAATGTTTTACAACAATTAGATAAACTAAAAGACATCATGGGCTGTCGGGAGATGAGGTGGCGATTCAAAAAAACAGAAGCATTTTCAGTCAGTCACTGATTTTTGTTCGAGCGACCGGAGTCATGGGAAAAGGTTTTGAGCAGCTAATTTTGAAAATCATGAGCTATTTTTGCACGCATTTTGGTTTGAAGAACTGTATTCTTGGCCGTGCGCATTATTTTGCTGCCCACCTCGGCTCGTTTTGTACTCACCTTGACAGCTAATTTGAGACAAAATTGTCCACACAAATCTTTCAAACATATTCATAACTGAAACGACAAGGCATGCTTGGCTCAATGAAGAAAACTGAGAAACTCTTCAATGTGCCTGTCACAACAACAAATTGTGCTGGGCGATTAATTGTCTCAGAAATTATTGCGATAAACAATAATATTGTTTGAAATTTGACAATCAATAATTATTGCCAAATTTAAGGAGAAATGTTTGCTGATTTGTTTTGCATGTACAGTGGTACCTTTTTTCAACCAACGGATGACAATATAAGACTGAACCGAAGGATGGATAGTAAGGGAGTGAGCAGCGTGTCTTAAGAAAAATGGGAGGGAAGCCCCTTGACGTGACATGGGCTGTCCTTCGGTTCTCAAAATGGCGAACGCTCTGTGTGGTTTGAGCTCTTTAGCATAGCATTTTTCACACAAAGATTTTAATACAAAAATCAGTAAACAAGTTCTCAGCTTCTTTTTGCAGAGAAAAACAACTTTTTACACTAAGGCACAAGTTTTGACAGTGAATTTTGGAGCTTCGACAAGAGGTTTTTTCCCTGATGTCGGCCTGTTAGCTTAGCTCGTAGCTATGTGCCTCTCATTTTAGCAAGCTGACGTTTTGATAACCTAGCCTAGCATAGTCTTGTAAAACTTTATCCAGAATAACAAATCTAACATAGAGGTAAATATGTATAAGTGTTAGTAAAGTTATCTTTGTTGTCCTCAATGAAATGCATTGTTTGTCTGAAATCTTTGCTCTTCTGCCAAAAAAAGAAGAAAAAACGCAAGTACAATAAGGTCACAATGCACCTTCAATTTTCAAATATTATTTTATTGAAAAACATACCCTTGAACAATATCCTAGAAACAACACAAACTTGTTTTAACTGGCCATGAGGTAGTGCTCTGAAATATTAATGAAGTTCAGGCAATTGTTGTTAAAACTAAAAAAAAAAAAATTTTTTAATCGGTAAAATCAGTTTCTCATGCAAGTATCGGCCGATTTCCCAAAATTAAGGAAATCGTCCGGCCGATTTATCAGTGCACCCCTATATTCAAGACGCCCTCTTGAACGCTGTTCGCCATGTAGTCACCAACTGTTGCGAGTTCTGAGTGAGATATGAGAGATCCTTCAGTTAAATGAGCACGTTTTAATCACCAAGTACTGTTCCCGTTTTAAACAGCTGCTCAGACAGTTTTAAATAAAATTCAATCACATGCCTTTTCTATTTCTGCACACATAAATGCTCCAAAATATTTGTGTTGGTCCTGGGAATGTCTGCGATGAGGCATAACAAATTAAACTGCCCGAAGTGAATAAATGTTCTTGACCCTTAATAAATATCAACAAAAGTAAATCCATAAATAGTCCCGCGAGGGAAACCATGACAGAGAAGACAGCCAGAGAAAAGAGGCAGAAACAACCAACACCCGAACAAAGGAGACCGTCAGTCCTGTCTCCAAGAAACAAGAGGCGAGTCCGCCTAAAGAGTGTCTTTGGAACAAAGATAGCCTGCAAACATTCACTTACGACCAACCAAAATCAACGCAGTGTTTGAATTCATGCAGCCTGTTCCCAATAACAAGTCTGTGGGTTGAAGTTACTGCTCTGTTTATATCTTTAAAGCATGGCATTATTCCTGGGACCAAATTCTAAAACAACAGAGAAGATAAATGATCTTTATAAAAAAGAAGAGCTTTCTTCTATCTGCATATTTAAGGGGTGACTGTTAACATCACAGCCCTTTGTTAACAGGAAGACGGACTTATGCGACCTTGTGGAGCGGTCAACAAACATGGAGCATATAAAAAAGCATTTTAGACACATGGTGATAGTTATGGCCCCTTCATGTCTTCACAGCTGAACTGAGTTTAAAGGCAACGTAAACTCCAGGATGATGAAAAAACTAATCAGGAGGCCTCTAAAGCACAGCGCTGTGATTATAACAGAACAGTGTGAATACCACGGCGAGCAGAGAGATTCTGTGGGTTTACTTTTTGCTCAGTGATAACGGCTCTGTCTTATGCATTCAGCAGGAGCATAAAGCGCTGCAGCACACTTCAGCTTGTTCAGTGTCCAGTTAAAGGAAGAAGATCATATTCATCGAGTGCAGTTCATCAAACAGATTCAGAGAAAGATCAGCCCACTGTTTTTATATAGGACAAATATTGAATTATGATTCGCACAACATCTAAATAAAACTAGCATCTGTTTAAAGAAATGCTCGTCAACTGCTGCCTTGCAAACCAAAGTTTTAAAGATCTTGAATGATCCGTTAGTGCTTGGAGTACATGACGAGGATGACAACTACCATCACACTGAATTTTCTGTCAAAATGATTGAGTAAGACATTTTTGTGTGTGCTAAGGTTGATTAGATCAGGCAATACTCCTAAATCAGGTCACCAAAACTTCAACGTGTACAATGAATGATTTTGTTTAGATTTTCATTAAAATCTGTCCATTGGTTTATGAGAGATGTAGCAAACAGAGAGAATGGGTCAACAGGGGTGAAAAAGATCTTGTGCTTGGTGTAAGTACCAGTAATGAAGATGACTGACCGCTACTTCCATTAGGGCTGGGTGATTTTATCGAATATACTCGATGTACCACAAGTTATTAAATTTACAATGGTTAAAATGGCTCTATCGCATGTGTCAAACTCAAGGCCCGGGGGCCAAATGTGGCCCTTGTTGACGTCTTATCTGGCCCCTAAGATGATATGTGAAACACAAAATACTTTTATCTCTTGAATTGTTTCAGTAATCTTTGATTATGATGTCAAAAGCACAACAGAGAACATCAAATGAGACCAATCAAACTCTTGTTGAGGAACCTGTGACCAAGAAAAGATGTCGGGTATCTGATTTGAGTTAATGTAGTTTCTGAAATTGGCCCTTAAGTTTGAAAAAGCTTTTAATTTTAGCCCCCTTTTGTAAGTGAGTTTGACACCTCTGCTCTACCGCAACCATTATTATTAGACTTGAAAATCTGTGTAGTTCTTTTTCTCCCGTCTGTGCCAACGGTATGCAACCCCTCCTTCTCCCTCACTGAATACAAACCCAGGCCCTCACCTGCTCCCCCCACTTCCTGCTTCTCCGGGTGGGCGGAGTTTAGCAGACGTAAACACAGGAGAGGATATCAAAGAGCAGCTTAGCTGCTGAACAAAAAGGAAAACAATGGCTGTTATTTGGAGATGGTTTAGATTTAAATTGTCAGATGAGCAGCAGAAAAAGTGTTTTCTGTAGACAATGCCGAAAACAAGTCCCGGCAAAAGGTCGGCACCAGGAACTTTTTTCACCATAAGTGGAGTATGAAGCGTGTGTGTAACTGCAGCTGCAGCTCCGACTGTTGACTGCAGCCTCCTTCCCCGAGACAAACTCATGCTGAGCCTTATGAGAGGAACAGTGAGAGATGCCGCAACATTAATAAAGCAGCAGCTTATCATATCGATAAAGACACAGTCCCAGTTTCAACTGTGGAACAACAAGATGGCTAACTTTAGCCGTCTTGTTAGCTGTTAAGGACCATGTCTTTAGGGATATAAGCTGCTGCTTTATTAATGTTGTGCTACTCTCACTGTAAGACTTGAAAATCTGTGTACAGTAGTTCTCCTTTTTCAGCCCGTCTGCGCCGCCATCTTCACGCGGCCTCGCCTTCTCCCTCACTGAATACAAACGCAGCCCCTCACGTGCTGCTTCACACATGCTTACTAACGTCGTGAAGGCGGCGCAGCTGGGGAGGATTATTATTTAATATATGTAAATAGTTTATTTTTAGACATTTGATTTGTACAATTACAGCTGTTTGTTAATAAATGTGCCTGTGTGACCATTGGGACAAAGCTTTGACTCAGAAATATATTTTTGTTATTACTTTATGGAAAGAAAAAAAAAATGATATACATCGTATATCGTGATTTATCTTGAAAATATCAGTATTAATTTTGGTCCATATCGTACAGCCCTAACTTCCATACCACATTTTAGCTTACGATCAGTGAAATTAGCTGAGCTGTAGCCATTTTTGTGTTTGCTAAGGTGGATTAGCTTCAGCATACTACTTTAACTTAAGCTGACTCAAATATTAAATCCATTGTAGATGCACGTTCAGTGATTACTTGATGAGATTCATTAAGATCCACCCATAGGTTCATGAGATAATTCGCTAACAATAACCTACACATGCACACAAAAATCCCCTGATGATTATCGATGAGAATAAAGTAAAAAGTAAAACCTTTCCACTCAAGTTCCCACATTTCAAAGACACTTTAAAAAAATTTATATCTGCGACTCAGCACCTTGTTTTTGTCTGAAAACATCAAATATGTTGATTTATTTCATGCGAGTCAAAAACTGATGCAAACTGATTTATAATACAAATAATAGTAATGACGGATTAATTACTTTCTAAATAAACCTTCTCTAATAGATTAGATTATGCAAAAATCTTGATTTCGGCTTTAAAAATGTTTCAAAATTTGTTTTGGTTGAGTCAGTGTCCTAGAATTACCAGTATTTGTAACCATGACGACTGTATCACAGCCAAGCGTTTGAGATCTTTTTTTTTGTTTTTTTTTTTACACGACCCAGTCATGTGAATCGCACCAGACCGGTGGCTTTACGTAAGGGAACCGGACGGGTGGGCCGCCCCGAGTCAGGGACGAACAAGCTCATTTTCTCGGACTGTGTGATGCTCGTTAAACGGCCTCGGTCTAAACATTACAGGCCCATTTTACACGTGTGCCACATGACAGGAATGACTACAATCCTTTCACACCACTTAACTTCAGAAGGATGCTGGGATTTTTAGGTCACAATGACTTTTGTTGTCCAACATTTGTTCTTTTGTCTTCACAACTTAAGTCTCTTTTAACAGAGTTAAAAAGACCGACTGTATAGGAGAGCATGTCTAAACAGCAGAGCAAATTAGGAAGAGAAAATATATTTTTTAACTCAGTAGCCCAGAAAATAATCCTCTCTGCTCTGTAATCTGTTGTTCTGAGCTGAGCCATGTGAGCAAAAATGTGTTAGACAAAAATTTTTTTTTTTTTTTTTTCTCGTTTGAGGAAGATTCGTCTTCCAAAAGATAAACAGATAAATATAATACATTATATAATCTGAATAAATTGTGATGCAAAGCTCATCATAATTTACATCAGAAGCAAAGTTTAACATTTTAAATTAAAAAAAATATATGCAATTACCAGTATATATAAAATAAAATTAACAGCAAATGAAGAAAAAATATGTATTTATGTAGAACACAATAGTATCAAGCCCATAATAACTCTAAAAATATAACTGTGGCAACTTTGAATGCCACTGAATTTAATTGTCTGATTATTTTTGTCCTAATATTTTTATTAATCTGTTTACAAAGTCTCCAAGCACATAACAAGGACTTTCTAAACAAAGGTGACACTTTTGTTAGCTTCTTGAGTTTTACAAAAATATTAAAATTCTGTTCATATTTTGTTTAAATATGGTTTAGGAAATTAAAAAAAAAAGTAAGTTCAAGGTTTTGTTGCACAAAAATAAATAAATGACAACAATTCTGCCTACCTGAAGCATGGGGTGATGCAGAGTGATTTCCAGCTCTGCCAGCCTGTGAGCCGGGTCCTCACACTCCTCGTGGATCTCCAGGTCCTCCCGTGGAACCGTATCCCAGCGGCTTCGGTTAGCAGCCAGCTGATGCACCAGCTCGTACTGACCGGGCAGCGCCAAGCTGAGCCGGGTCTGTCTCCCGTGGGTGAAACACAGCTTCCTCCTCTTGCAGACGATCCCGTGGACTCCCTCGCACACCTCTCCAGCCTCCGAGCCCAGCGGCAGCAGCCTCTCCCCCAGAAGGCAGTTGAGCAGCTGGTAGCGAGCGGCACAGTCCTGACCCAGAACCAAGATGTGTGGGGCAGCACCCACGTTGTTACGCAGGAACTCTTCTTCATGACTTGGGAAAGAAATGCAGCTGAGCTGACCTGTGGAAAGATTAGAAAAAAATGTGCATGAAGCAGACTTGATTATCAAAAAATCATTACTAGTACCGTTGAGTTTTTTATTGACTAATGGTCAGAACCGTGCAGTAAGAGAGGAGACAGAAGTATCTTTCTCATGAAGTATATTGTTTAGCAACACAAAATACATCAAAATATTAAGTATCCGTCATCATTCCTTGAGCTACATCAAACTCCATGACCTGAAGAAGCCTCAGAAAAATCCCTTTAGGCTCACTCATGCAGAATCCTTTGACACTAAAACAGTTGTATAACAAAAAGAAGAACAGTTGCCCCCTTCATACAGTAGACCGCTGCGTGTTTGACATTAACACCGTATTCTCTAAACCCACATAAAGATCCCACATGCTGAGCTGGTCACAACCTTTACCAAAAAACAAAAACTAAATAATGCATAACAGCATCTACAGGAAGCTCAGTTTGTCCAGATGAGTCCACCACCGACGTCTGATCCATGAGTCAGTTTAAAGACACTTCAACTGGTTTGGGTTTAAAGATTCAATTCAGCTAGTACTGGTATTAAAGAGCCATTTCTTCTGTTTTAATGTATCTAACAAGCTTCAATCAAATCGTCAAATAAATAAATAAAAACTGTTTTACTTCACTCGACTGATCAAATCTAGACTTTTTCTGAAATTCTTTAGATGAAAAAAATCTGAATGTTAAGTTTAAATCTAAAATGTATTAATTTTATTGGTGCTTTTGCATTTAAATAGCATTTTTTTTTAAAGTTCATATAATAAAATATAATTTAGTATGGTCAAATCTACTTGATTTTCTTTCATGTAGTTAAAACGTGGGGTTTATGTGGAAAAAAAAAAAGAAGATGATTTTACAGCTTTTATGGCAGCACAATCCTCAAGACTCGAGGTGAAAAACCTGAATAATTTCCATTACATGGTGGAAACTGTTCAACTCAATGCAAGCCTTCCTCACTTCATCAAAATGGATGAGAAAAGATGTTTCTGATTGTGGTGTGTGAAGCGGCAGTGACAAACATTCAGCTATCCTCTGTGCGGATGTGCATTTACTAGAAGGTTGGTATAGAGTCAATATAAAGCTGACTGAGTCTAGGACAAGCTGTTGGCAATAAAAAGGCGAATACAGTAGACCCTCGCTACGTCACGGTTCGTTTTTCACGGACTCGCTCTATCGCGGTTTTTCAAAATAAGATTGGACACGACAAACAATTGACTGATGGATGGATGAGCCGCACGATCGGCGTGGAATTTTTATTTTAAATAATTTTTTTATTATTTAGCACCTCCTGCACCTCTGTTCAGCCCACACTGCAGGATAAGTTTCCTTCTGCAGCTGCTCAGCTGATCTCCATGCAGAGCAGAGAAGTGGGTGTAGCCAAGAACGCTTGCAGGTGCCTGAGAGCAGCGGAGGAAGAGAGAGGAAAATCATGACATTCTGTGCTCTTTTAGAGCGTTAAGAGTTTAGAAACATTGTTTAGAATATTGCAATAGTGTGGGAAGGGTTTAAAACGCCATATATATATATATACACACACACACACATACAGGTCCTTCTAAAAAAAATTAGCATATTGTGATAAAGGTCATTATTTTCCATAATGTAATAATAAAAATGAAACTTTCATATATTTCAGATTCATTGCACACCAACTGAAATATTTCAGGTCTTTAATTGTTTTAATACTGATGATTATGGCATTCAGCTCATGAAAACCCAAAATGCCTGTCCCAAAAAATTAGCATATTTCATCCCACCAATGAAAGACAAGTGTTTTTAATACAAAAAACTCCAACCTTCAAATAATCATGTTCAGTTATGCACTCAATACTTGGTCGGGAATCCTTTTGCATGAATGACTGCTTCAATGCGGCGTGGCATGGAGGCAATCAGCCTGTGGCACTGCTGAGGTGTTATGGAGGCCCAGGATGCTTCGATAGCGGCCTTAAGCTCATCCAGAGTGTTGGGTCTTGCGTCTCTCAACTTTCTCTTCACAATATCCCACAGGTTCTCTATGGGGTTCAGGTCAGGAGAGTTGGCAGGCCAATTGAGCACAGTAATGCCATTGTCAGTAAACCATTTACCAGTGGTTTTGGCACTGTGAGCAGGTGCCAGGTCGTGCTGAAAAATGAAATCTTCATCTCCATAAAGCTTTTCAGTAGATGGAAGCATGAAGTGCTCCAAAATCTCCTGATATTGACCCTGCGCTTGATAAAACACAGTGGACCAACACCAGCAGATGACATGACACCCCAGTGACTGTGGAAACTTGACACTGGACCTCAAGCAATGTGAATTCTGTGTCTCCTCTCTTCCTCCAGACTCTGGGACCTTGATTTCCAAAGGAAATGCAAAATTTACTGTAACCAGAGAACATAACTTTGGACCACTCAGCAGCAGTCCCAGGCGAGATGCTTCTGACGCAGTCTCTTGTTCAAGAGTGGCTTGACCTGGGGAATGCGGCACCTGTAGCCCATTTCCTGCACACGCCTGTGCACGGTGGCTCTGGATGGTTCTACTCCAGACTCAGTCCACTGCTTCCGCAGGTCCCCCAAGGTCTGGAATCGGCCCTTCTCCACAATCCTCCTCAGGGTCCGGTCACCTCTTCTCATCGTGCAGCGTTTTCTGCCACACTTTTCCCTTCCCACAGACTTCCCACTGAGGTGCCTTGATACAGTACTCTGGGAACAGCCTATTCATTCAGCAATTTCTTTCTGTGTCTTGCCCTCTTGCTTGAGGGTGTCAATGATGGCCTTCTGGACAGCAGTCAGGTCGGCAGTCTTACCCATGATTGCGGTTTTGAGTAATGAACAAGGCTGGGAGTTTTCAAAAGCCTCAGGAATCTTTTGCAGGCGTTTAGTTACGTTGCTGATTCAGATGGTTAGGTTAATAGCTTGTTTAGAGAACCTTTTCATGATATGCTAATTTTTTGGGACAGGCATTTTGGGTTTTCATGAGCTGTATGCCATAATCATCAGAATTAAAACAATTAAAGACCTGAAATATTTCAGTTGGTGTGCAATGAATCTGAAATATATGAAAGTTTCATTTTTATCATTACATTATGGAAAATAATGACCTTTATCACAATATGCTAATTTTTTTAGAAGGACCTGTATATATATATATATATATATATATATATATATATATATACACATAATATATATATACACACACACACACACCACACACTAAAAAAACTACTACTTACTATTTGTACTACTATCTCTATTTTGCGGTTTTTCACTTATCACAGGGTTTCAGGGTACGGATAAACGAAGGACTACTGTACTGCAATAATAAAAAGACACAAGGCGAGGTCAGTGAACAAGGCCAGGCTGATTCTGGCAGATCCTGATCACCCACTCCATGGTGAGTTCAGGTTGCTTCCATCTGGACGCAAGTATCCGTAGGACGAGCAGACTGAAAAACTCATTCATCTCTGTAGCCACCAGGCTTCTCACCAAACAGTGATGATGTACTGTTATTTTAATGTCTTAATGTTATTTTAATGTCTTAATGTTTTGTCTAGTATGGATGTTTAGTGTGCTTACAGACTGTGAAACAAATTGCCCCTCGAGGATAATGAAAGATTCTTGAACTATAAAAAGGTTTGATTAACTTTTGGTAATGTTTAACCAGTTGCAAGTTGAAGAGAGAAAGATCTGTCTGAGGAAGGCTTTACGAGTTGACTTTTTTGTGTGTGCTTTTTTCTCCCTTTATGTTTAACTTAAATAAATTCTATTTTATGCATTTATGATTTACTCCATTGTTTTTTCTTTTATCCTGACCCCACCCAGGAGGGATGCTGAAATGCGCCATAAGGTCATCGTCAGAAAGGCACTGAGGCGGTGTTTTGTTTCCCCTTTCATTAAACTGTTTGAACTGTTCTTTTGCCTAGGGGGTTTCCATCACATGCATAAAGCATCCCTGCTTGTAAGGATTGATATTGATAATGTAATAAAAAAAATCCATAAACAGGAGGGGATGTTTGAGAATTTTTGGTATGAATATTTATATTATATTATGTCCTGCTTCTGAAATGCATGCCCAAAATATTCTCATATCTCAGGCCTGAAGGCCGACTCGCAGTGCCTCCTTGGCGTTGTCGCCATGGGAACATGCCCAAAACATTCCCTTATCTTCATCTGGTGGCCGACTCGCCGACAGCCATGGATTATGCGTGCGACTGGAGCTGGCTATGAGGGAACACCGCTGGATAAAAGTCTGCAGCAAACTCGTTCGACGCTCATTCTGTGACATGTTCCATGCATCATGTATCTGTGTTTGTAATCTGCTTTGAATGAGTGAGTAAAATGTTGGGTTAAAAATCTCCTGCTCTCAAGTGTGGTTCTTTTTGATTAAGTAAGATAAAGCGAGAATATTTTTCTCCAACAGGTAACAATTCCAACTGAGCGCAAAAGAGCTTGTCTTTAATTAAGGAGCAAAAATGATCATTGCAGTTAATTAATACACTCATGCACTGATAATACATAATATCAAAGCCATTTGTACAAATTAAGAGATGTGTGATTTATGCTAGAAATTGTCTTTTCTGCAACGTCCCAACATGGTCTCAGGTCAACTCAACCTTTTTCAACACCTGTAAGTCTAGAAAAAAAGACATTTCACTCATTTTTTTAATTGATTATTTACCGTACTTTTTACTAATATTAGTTCATGTTTCATTCAAAAATTTTTTATAGTTTTATAGACAGTAAAGGTAATTGTGGCTGCAGTAGCTCGGACTGTCGGTGCCACAGTTTGTAATCCCGAGGTTGCGAGTTTGAGCCCAGGTTGCGTCAGGAAAGGCATATGGTGTTAAAACATAATGCCGTATTGCGGCAGTAAATTACTTCTAGTAAATTGTGCCGCTCCAGGTGGCTGCATGTTGGAGCAGCTCTGTTACTTTCATTCTGAGATTTTGCTATTGGAAACTTTAATTCCTGGTTTTCTGGATGTAAATCACAATTTTTTGGATGATTGTTTCCTCTGATATCGGATGCTGTGCAGCTGGAAGGATTTTTACTGAAACTGTTTTTGTTTTGGACATTTGTTATGATGCGTAACCATGGCAACAAGGCAGTTTTCTACAACCAACAGCAGCTGATTAACATCTCAAAAGCTCAAATAATATCTCAACTACAGCCCCAACTCTCAAATGATTTGAAAAGGATGTTCTGTGGACGCATTCTCATCTACCTGCCAGCTGTGTTCGAGTGCCTGACCACTGAGATCCTGGAACTAGCAGGAAACACGGCTCATGACAGCGGAAGGACAGGATCGTCCCTCTGCACCTGCAGCCGGCTGTCTGCAGTGATGAGGAGCTCGGCAGACTGCTGGGAGGAATGACCATCGCTCTGGGAGGAGTTCTGCTCGGCATTCAGATGGTTCTACAGCCCGGGGGAACCAAGAGGCCAGCTGAGTCTGGGTGGACGGATCGGACGGCGTCTGCAGCCAGTTTCTTAGGATCCACTGTGGGATGGACCTTTACAAGAGATCCTTCCTGTCTACAGCCATCAGCATCTATAACATCTCTTAATGAATTGAGGATAACGAGTTACAACAACAAATAATTTCCCTTTGGGATTAATAAAGTATTTTTGAATTGAATTGTATATTTTAAGCAAGTGCACTTGCTCTGGCGTGCCCTGAAGGAGGAAGTAGTCAAAAGAAAAACACAAAGGCAGTAAAACTTTTATTCTACCCGTGTAAATGCAACCAAAGGTTATTTTAATATCTGTACAAGCGCTTTCATTTTTAAATGTAAATTATGAGCCCGACACGGGTTTAGCTCCAGATTCAGAAACTCATCAAACTGCAGATAAGGGTGTTTTGTTTGTTTTCCAAAAAGGAATAAAATGAATGAAAACTGGAGTTAAATTGCACTGATTTCATGTTTTGCTTAAACTCCCTCTGACCAAGAAAAACAGTTTTGTTTTAGTATAATTTTAAATAATGATGGAATTACAAAATGCTTGAGCTGGAATTATCGTAAATGGTAAATGGACTGTACTTATGTAGCGCCTTTCTATCTTATCAAGATACTCAAAGCGCTTTACAACACAATCTGTGCCTCATTTACCCATTCATACAGCACTCTACTATACTTGTGCAAAGACTAATCAGTGCTTTAGATCACATCTCTTATCTTATTCATACACCGATATGACACACATATGAGGCAATGAGGGGTTCAGCGTCTTGCCCAGGGACACTTCGGCATGTGACTGCTGGTGGAATCGAACCCCCGACTCTTGCATTGGAGGACGACTGCTCTAACCACTCAACCACAACCGTGTAAACCACGAGGGCTTGCCCTGGTGTGCAGGTTTGCACCCCGGGTTATGTGCCCACCAGGTTATGTCGTGGTGGACACAGAAGCCAAGGACAAGAGCCTGGTAGTTGCGGACACAAGTGCACCTCTCCACAGTCGAAGCAAAATATTCAGACGAGAACTTTGAAGGCCGGCGCTGAGAAGAAATCTATCATGACGTGGTCTGAGATGGTTTCATGTCACAATGTATAAATGTTTCCCTTTAAAAAAAATCTACCGGTAACCTGTTTAAGATAGACTCCACACAATGAATATGAACTGCTACAGCTTCAGGCGTAAAAACAAACAAACCAAAACATTTAATCTAGGATTTAAGATTGAAATTATCTCTTTCTTGTGTAACTGAATTTATAAAACCGAGGCTGTTCGGTGACTCATGTGCATTACCGGTAATTTGTAGGATAATCCAGTCCAGACTTGATCAGCTTAATAATCAGGGATGGTTTAAAACCTAGAACTATGGGTGGTGAATCTAAACCTTCAAATTGCAGAACTCGTTTGAGGCAAGCATCAAATAGGTCAATTTGATTGTTTCACAGAGTATGTTTGCATTACATGGTGAAAAGATAAATTTGGATAAACTTGGGAGGATCGAACATTTCCTGCGGTGTGGATACGCACCAAACGAGCAACTGCGACATAAAACTAAAAGCCCAAATAAAAAGGAAACAACTTCAGATTTTCAACAAGCTAGTGCAGAAATCTCAGCATATTTGGAGCACTTAGTCTGCTCATGCATTTCAGAGGGGCTTTAATCTCCTTCCATGACTCTAATGAATGGATTTTTTTCAGCCTGCCAGTTACAGAAATAATCACTTAACTGGTTACTCCTCTTTGCTTTACTTCAAGCCACAAAGGTTTAAACCAACTGCTCTCAGATGCTTCAGAAATGATTAAAAACAAATGCTGAGACTGCAGTTTTTGATGATGTTATGGGTGTCATGTGTGTTGAAACCTACCTGCCTCCAAAGAGACTGAATCCGAGCTTATTGTTGATGTGCTGGCATTGCTGTAGTTCTGCCTGATCTCTCGAAAGAAAGCATTAGTTTCCTTCAGGTTCTTCTTCAGCTGGATGGAGTGCTTGTTGTAGTTGCTGAACACCCTGGTTAGCTCCCGGGCTAAAGGGGTCCTCTGCTGCTGGACGTTTCCCTCAGTCATGGCGAGCAGGTTAATGCTTTACAGACTGGGGGGTTTAGGTCCCAAATGATGTAAGGACAACCTCTATTTTATCACACCGCCTTTGTTTCGTTACTAATTAGTTATCATGCTTGGCTAAGGCTTTGTTAAACAAGTCGATACGAGACAACTTCATTGAATAATTTGTATATCTTAACATGAGCGTATCGTTAGTAAACAGTACCTTTAATCTCTTGTGTCATAGAGTGGATGATGTTAGTTTAGCTAGCCTCTGTTTTTCATCTTTTCCTGGCTGTTCGTCCTCGTAAAAGAGTCAGTAGGAATAAATTAAACTTCGGCGTTTTAAAAGCAGCGGCTATCAATGCTGCGTTGTTTTGACCGCTGATGTGCTAAATGTTTGCGACGCAGCCGTGGTCCTCCTACGTTAGCTCGGTTAGCCTGAGGGCATCTCCTGTCCGTCCCCACCTTGGCCTGCCGCAGCAAACATGCTCTTTACGTTCAGATAAACGACCCGGAGCACGGGTGGACGGCCATGCAGACTCGTGTTGGAAAGGCAGAACCCAGCTCTTATAAACATACAGTCGGGCTACAACGTAGGTCCTGTCCAGGATGAGGCTCCGCAGGGGAAAACCGCGTCCTAACCAGGCTCCGTGAAGCCAACAGAAATCCTCCAACCCCGAAGAAGAGCGACGATAACATGCAACTAAATGCGACTCGCAGCTTGTTTTTCTTCCCCTGTTCTTTCTGTCTTTTAGTACCGAAAAAAGACGATGAAAAGAAGCAGTTGTGTCGCACAACGAGGCGTGTCAGCGGACCGAATCACATAGCACGGCTGAGAGCCAGGCAATCACAGCAAAACACAGTGAGGCGACCAGAAGCTAGGAAAATGATGGGCGGGGCTTAAAGGTGGCGCACAGCCGTCTGGGAAATGTAGGAGTCTTTTAGGCGTAACAATAACTACAGTGCAGAATGGAAATCTAAACATGTATTAATTTATATATATTTATTATTTATATATTAATTATATATAAATTTATATATATATATACATATGTATGTATATATACTTTCATTAAATTAGATAGACAGATAAATAAATAAATAAACAAATATTTGTTTGAAAGCATAGAATAACTCTGCCAGCAGTTATTGATTTTGATGAGATTTTCTGGAGAGTCTGTTACCTTGAGAATACCATTTATCTTGAAGTAATGCCATGAAAATAAATATTTAAACTCGGCCTCCTTAGGCTTCCATAGAGATTAAAAGTGCAACTACAAATAAATAAAAGCATCAATATTAATAATAAATAAAGTGTAGTTACCACAAGGACATTAATTTAAACAAGATCAATGCATGAAGAGAAGCGGCAACAACATTGAATTGTTAAAAGATGGGTTTGTTTGATTTTCATTGGAAGTTAGTCACATTAGGCACAAACCTGAAGCAATTAGCACGTCTCTATTCTGACTGCAACTACAAAACAAACCTAAAGAGAAAAAAATGTTTACAAATGATTTGTGTATCAGATTGTGCACAATTAAAAAATAGTGGTTGCTTTTAATAAGCAAACCTAATCAAAGATTTTCACATTTGTATCTGTAAAATAAAACTGTAACCTGATAAAGATTCACTAAGGTGAATAAAGTCAACAAGAGTCGAACTGGTTAGGACCAAAATTTAATTTCTTAGACATTAAAAATATGAACAATTGATTAAGAGTTTAAATCTGGTTTATGTCAACTGAACTCTTGTCAGCAACTGAGTTACTTTTTGTTCAGCTTTATTTTATATTTCCTCATGCAATTTTTTTTGAGCTTGTGTAATAACTTAGAGTTTCTAGGTCAATAGACTTATAAAATGTTGCTCAGACATCTGTGAGACGTTCCTCCAGAACCCTTTTGATTGTTCCCATTGTTTATTTTGTGCACAATGTTCCTCTTTCTGCATGAGTGGAAAAATCTCTCACTCATTTCTCTGCCAACAGAATGTAATACAATGGATCTGTCCCAGTGGGTGACAAGGCTAATCAAAAAAGAATCAGATGAAGTCTGGCCGACAAACCTGCTGTCTCATGGTAATTAATGTATGTGCACAGTGCACACTTTAACTGAGTGTAATAAAATGTGCTGTTACCGTATTATTAACATGCTGTTTCATGGTAAAAATTATTTAGATTATTTAAATTTTAAATAAAGTACTTTAGCTAGTAAACGTAATTTACAACATAGTCAAATTTGAACTGGGTTAACTATTCATTTTCATTAATTGCAACCTGAAGATTCTGATTAAACTTTGACCGAAGATATTAGTTCTGCTTTACAAGTACTCAACATTTACATCCTCCATCCATCATCTGCGGTGTCCAAAAAACAATAACGAGAATAAAGACAACTTAGTAAAAGTTAAAGGTAGGAACTGTCATAAAAAAACGTCGTTGTGATGGTGTTTTACGTTTAGATCCTTTACGTCAGAAAACTTGATGCAGTTCTCATAGCTGCCTAACGAGTTTATCTACTGATCACAAACAGATCCAAAGTTTAAGGATCAGTCGTTTTGTTTCTTTGTATCCACTTTTACCTGATCATTTAGGCAGAAACATGAAGAAATTCATGGATGTAATAACTGGTAAGGAGCTGGTAATGGTATAAACATTGTATTGTATGTAACTTCCTTTCAATAATAAACATTAATTGACACAGTAACTGTCTAAAATTTAGATTGACGTTCAAGCAAACTAGTTAAAATTAACCCAATTTCACTAAAGTTATTTAATTATTTTTTTTAGAAAGCCTAAATAAATATTGATTCAAATGGGGGCTGTGGTAGCTCAGTGGTCAGTGTCACAGTCTTGTGATCTTGGAGCTGCATGTTGGAGCAGGAAGGGTATTTTGTGTTAAACAATTAAGAAATATTTTATTTGAGTTTGCACATTGTGGCAACCCCTGCAGAAGGGAGCAGCCAAAAAAAAAAAAAAAAAAAAACTACTGAGTAGAAATTAACTAAAATTTACCTACCTGTTTAAAAAACTATCAATTTGATCCCAGAGGGTTAAAATTAGGTCAAGATTTAATTTATTCAGGCGTGATTTAACTGTTATATTTAAATAAAGTTAAATAAATTTAAAAAAAAATGGTTATAATCTAGCCAAATAAAATAAGGAAAAAGTGCAACATTGATTGTATTGGTTAACCCTCCTGCTGCACTTGGGTCAAAATGACCCAGGGGCCTTAGTTTTAACACAAGGGCAGCAGGAGGGTTAATCCAGACCAGTTTTTTACAGTTTATAACAGAGGGTGTGCCCTCTAGTGGCGTGTAGTTGTAAAGACATATGTTGTTTTCAGTTGTTCAATTCAATTCAGTTTATTTAAAATTTTCATTCAACCTTTGCTTATACAGGTTAATCCTATTGAGCCTCGGAGACTCATTTACAAGAGAGACCTGAAAAATAGTGCCAAATCACAACAGAAGTCGTCTCAGGGCACAGAAACATTCACCTACATATAGTCTGTTTATAACATTCTTTATCTGAGGAGCCAACAGATTGTTTGAGTTTTCACTTCATCGTAATTTCCCATCCTAAGCAAGCACAGAGGCAACAGTGGAAAGGAAAAGCTCCTTCGTGAGGAAGAAACGTTTAGCAGAACCAGGCTCAGGACAAGCGGCCATCTGCTTCTATCTGCTGGGTTTGAGAGGACAGGAAGGAGAAAACGAACACACAATGGCAGGTCCAGGATGGAGGCCATCAGGTTTTCTCAAGGAGGAAAAAAGACAGAAATCACATGTTAAGAAAGAATAATTATGAATATAAACTATTCATTTGTATGTATTTGTAACTGTTCATTTGATGAAATGAGATCATTTTGTCCTCCAGTAGTCTAAATTTATAGCAGCATAAGATAAGGAATGGGTCAGGAAACCAAGCCAACTAGAATTTATCAAAAAGGAAAGTCTTAAGTCCAGTCTTAAAACTGGACAATGTGTCAGCCCCACTGACAGAAACTGGAAGTTGGTTCCACAAGAGAGGAGCCTGATAACTGAAAGATCTTCCTCCCGTTCTGCTTTTGGAAACGCTAGAAACCAAAAGTATTTGATCAAGACTTTAAAAACACGTGAGTGCGTTTGTTTCGTACGTCCTCCCACACCGGTAGTAAAGTCATTGATCCATCCATGATAAAAACAAAAGTGCGTTTAATGAGACAACTTTAAAAAAAGTATATGATATAGTACAAAAAACATAAACAATGAAAAAAAAACCTAAAGATTAAAAAAGGTTTTGGGCGAGAAACTCTCAAGCGCTTTTTAATTCGGTGTACGCTGGTGTAACAAACCCAACGCTCTTCCAGTAGCTGAAGCTCCTCCTCGTAATTTAACTTGTCAGGCGGTGGGCGGTGCTTCGCTCCGGTCTCCGCCCGCTCGCTGTGTACCTGAAAGCGGTTGAAAAATGACCGATACGCCCCCCGGCTCTTTGAGCCTCCTGTTTTCAGTCTTCAGCCGCAGAATGCAAGAGAGGACGGTCTGGACCTCACAGCTACACCGAGCTGATTCCGCTTAGACTCGGGAATGTTTTTCTCCTAAGAGTCGACACCTGCCTCCTGAAAGTCAAGTAGCTGCAGCATGGACGCCTCGCTGCTCCTGTCGCGCTGCCGGCCGGCTGTCGGAGCAGTTTCAGCCGACGGGAGCGCTCCTTTTGGGAAAGCTCCGCTCCAGGCGGCCGCCAGGAAGCAGGCGGTGAAGAGGCACCACCACAAACACAACCTGAAGCACCGCTACGAGTTCCTGGAGACTCTGGGGAAAGGAACCTACGGCAAAGTGAAGAAAGCCAGGGAGAGATCGGGCAGGCTGGTGAGGAAACCTAACAGCCTTATTATTTAATCATTAATGGTCAGGTCTGCGGGGGGTTCATGTCACCTGCCACCTGTTCAGACACATAACCAGGTGTTTTTAGAACAACAATAATACAGCTCTGAGAGGGCATCGTTTTTCATTTAAACTGAGCCTTCACTTAATGATTACATAAACTGAACTGGCTTTATCAGAGGTGGATAAGGAGCAACAAAACAAGGCGACTCTCAGCTACTACCACGTCCAGTTTTAGGTCAGTAGATTTAATACCGACCGAGTTTATGTGTTCGCTTATTTTAATTAGCTGTGGCGGCCATCTTTGATTGGATTGACTGCAGAAGTTACAGTGACAGCTTCCTGAGAGTTTTAGTCAAATCTGCCCAGTGGTTCACGAGATATTTTGCTAACAGACGAGCAGGGTTGACTCCCAAGAAAACGTTCAAACAAAAATCTCGCACAGTGAGTAGCCCTCGGAGGGTTTGTTGAGAATGACTCTCAGCTACTACCACAGTGAGCTTTAGCAGACCACCTGCAAATCTGACAGAGTTCTAGCCGTTTACGTGTTTTATAAGTTCAGCTGGCTTTGGCGGCCGTCTTAAATTGTTTAGGCTGTGAAAGCGAACCAGTAGTAGCTGTACATCCACTGGTTATTTCTTGAAAGACTCATTAAAATCTGCCCAGCGGTTCATAAGATATTTTGCTAACAGACAGACAAAGTTGACCCCTAATCGCTAATGGTAAATGATAAATAAAGCTCTTGCGCCACCGGTAAGCGCTCTGAGCATGTGTTGAGGATGAGTCTCGGCTACTACCACAACAAATTTTGGCTCAATATTTTTGAGCTTGGCTGAGTTGTGGTCATTTTTGTGCATTTCTCGTTCACATGAAGCATCCTGGAAAGTTGTTTCGTTGGAATGATGAAACGGAGTTTCACAGGATGTTTAGACGGGAAAGTAGAATCATTTTCTTTCCAAGTTCCCGCTGATGAAAGAGGAAGCAATTAAGGCGGTCCTTTCAGGTGAATTCCAGAGATAAGTCTTTTAGATAAGGAAGGTCAGCAAAATGAGGCCTGCTCTTCTTGGAGATTTTATCTCCAAAATTCCAACATTTTCAGCAAATTTTACACAGAAACCACAAAAATTCACCTCATATCTTGATGGTTTTTGTTGCATAAATCCAAACCAGTTTGTGTATTTGCGCTGATATAACTTGACGTATAAACAACTCTCTCCTCCAGAAAAATGACGTGAAAGGCAAAAATCTAGCGAGCTCAATCCAAACTAAGCAAAGAGCACGTCATCAGGTCGGCGCCGAAAAATACAACAAGGTGGTTTCGGCTTATCAGAAGTTTTCCCTGCTCTAAGATCCGTGTTGGGACTGAGCAAAAGTGCATCCATCTCAGGGAAGTGTTGGGAATTCCCCGCAGGAATTAAAGTAAACATGCAGCGCAACGAGCCGAGACTCGTCCTCACGCCCTTACTGTCTGACATCAGTTTTTACAGGAAGTGAAAATGACTGAGATTTATTTATGCAAATACAACCACAAACCTGCTGACGGATTACAATAAACACGGCAGGATTATTGGAGTTATCTGCCTGCTTTTGCTTCGTTTGACTCCGGGAGCAACACAAACGCAAAGAAAGGCTTCATCCTGCCTGCATGTTGTCTCCACAGCCCGTCTGCGAGTAAATGTTTGATTACATAACCTCGCAGGCTCAGCAACAAACACCCCAATTAAGTAACTCTGCTTGGCTGTTCCCTCTTCAGGAGTCTCCACAGTGCACCTCCTCCATCCGTCCTCACTCCATCTTCCTCCATGATACTGCATCCTGAGCTAAAACCTAAAGGGATGCATTCCTAATCTTATCCATCCATGTCACTCCCAAGAACCTCAACATATTCGTTTCTGCCACTTCCAGTTCTTTCGCACGTCTTTTTGTCAATGCCACCGTCTCCAGACCATACACACTCTTTTAAATCTTTCCTTTGACCTTTGCTGACGCCATTTTGTCGCAAATCGCTCCACTTTTTTTTTTTCAACGAAGCGACAGGGTCCTGGAGAATCCTCATGCTCATGCTGAGACGCGCACGGTAGGGTACGTCATGGATAAGCTGATGTGCCTTTCTGTATCGTCTCAGGAGGATGCCGAAGATGTTTATGGCATTGGATTTATGATGGCAGGGTTTCTGCTTTTTGGCACCGTCAGATACCGATGTTATCGGTTGTTAAAGAAGACGGCGGCAGCAGTCCTGGCCATGGTAAAGCTGCCGACCTTATGTGAAGGTTTGGTTCGTGCTTCGAGCTCTCAGACTCGGCTGATTATGAGCTCAACCGTAAGATGGACGCAATTATGAGAATCATAGGCCACTTGCGGCTTCTGGGACTCGCCAGCATGTTGGGGGCGACCTTAGAGGAAGCCAATAAGCACGTACCAGTGGAATGCCCACAAATCTGGCCATTTTGGATCTCGAAAGTACCAGCAGAACTCAAGGCTGATGAGAAACAACAGTCTGCCTGAAAAAATGAACAACTGTGGCTTATCTGAATCCGACTGCCCCGTTCGGCCTTGAAGCAGGCCGACTTCTTAGATTTCTCCTGGCATGTGTGTAAACTAAGAAGGCTCTGCTCTATCCGTCCCCTGCGCAACCAATAATTTCTGTGAACTCTTATCAGAGCTGTACCGGCTGACACCAACATCTTATCAGGACTATGGTGCTATCTGGAAGTGCTTCATGGACAAACCTCACCGTCTTGTCTTCAGTTGTAATGTGTCTATAAATGTGCCTGCTGGTAGAGGTTTTTTTTATGTCTTAAATTGTGTCCTGACAAGGACAAGGTGTGAAGAGATCTTTTTTTGTAATGCCACTATCCTTTACTCGTGGTCTTTCCCCTTTTCTATGTAAAGAATAAGAGGCCGCGCTCTTAGGAGCAGCAGCAACGTGCACTCCGTCCATCGTTTTCCTGTAAATCAAATGAAATATTCTGTTTGTTTTTTTTTTTTCTTTTATGAAAAGATTTAGTTTTAACTTGTCATCGTTGTGATAAATATACACCTAATGACGCAGCGCTCAGTCAGGCGTGAGGCTTCGTGTGTCAGTCAGTGAAACGATCTTATCTGAAGGTCACACTTCGACTCCAAAACAAAGATTATGACATGTCGGAGAGGAATTTTTATTAGCGTGTCTACAGCCCGTACGAGTTGTCCAGCCGTGGTCGTGGAGAGAGCAGGGTTCCTCTCTAACTTTATTTTACAGGAAACACAGAATTTAGTTTATGAAATTAGAAATTAAAGCCTGATGGTTGTTTGTGTTTCAACCTAGATGTGGTGTCCTTGAAATACTGTCTGAATAAAAAAAATTAACCCCACCGGCTAAAATCTGCTACAGTTTTGTTTTTATGTTCCACACCGAAGCCCAAAAACACATCCAAGCTGCTGTCAGGGCTTTGAAACCCCATTCCTATGAGTCCATAAATGAATAAAAATTAATTAAATATAATTTAAACCAGTCTTTTTTTTTTCCCCCTTCTGTTTGGGGAAAAAAAAAACGTGTATTGTTTAAAGTTAATTTAAAGCTTTCAAACTCATAAAATTTGCTCAAATCTTTTTTTTTTTGTTTGTTTAAATCAAAAACCTCTAAATTAGTTGTGACACTGTTTAGATGAAAGAACCAAGGTCAAGAGTAAGAACATGAATTAAAGTAACCTAAAAATAAAGTCTGAGCTGATTATGTTGTCTACTGGAGGAATCATAAACAAAGATAACCTCACATGTTGGAGGCCTTTATCAGGAAATGTTTGACATATTTGTTAAAAGATAAAATCTGTAAGTGAACTGGTTTAAATATAGAACTCACACATCTGTATCTTACTTGGCTTTTATTAGTCCTACAGTTCAGAATGATCTGTTTTCCACTGCTGCTTGTTTGTGTTTTTTTTTTTTTTTTACTTTTACATTTTAAGTTGTGTAAGAATCAAAAATAAACCAACTATAAGATACAACTTTAACTTTAAGATAAAGCAAAGACCCAAAGCAAAGCCAAATATGTGCATAGAAATAGAAAACTAGAAAGTTCCTGGAGAAACTTTGATGGCAACTGCCATGGGGCGGCCATTTTAAAATTTTGATTTAAAAGTATTAGGTGTTGGGGTTCGCTCTCAGCTACCACTATACCAAATTTCAACTTAAAATGGCAAAATATTGGTTAATTCAAGTCTTTTTTTTTTCTTTTAAGCTATGGAGACCATCTTGGATTTTTGATTTGGAATCAGTATGTGATGGGAACATAACCTCGCCAAATTTCAGCTCTATATGTGTAAAAATAGCTAGGTTAAAGCCATTTAAATTTAGCTTTGGTAGCCAGCTTGAATTTTTTAAAATTCATCATTTATTGTGCATTGCTCTCAGCTACCACCACACCAAATTTCAGCTTCATATCTCTATAAATGGCTGATTTACAGTATTTTTCTTTTGTAGCTTAGGTGGCAACTTGGATATTTGATTTGCAACCAGTCTATGAAAAATGACTAATAAAAATCTCATCTTGATTTGCACTTTACATCGCCATGGTAACTTGAAATGCCAATAAAAGTAATGGCACACATCACGGTGCCGAGCCGGTCGTTTTGATATAGCATTTGTGGGAGTACACATTGCGATTCGGGCCGCATTAAAGTTGACGGAAGAGTAAGATATAAAGTTAAGAAACCCTTGTCAGGTGAATAATAATAGGCAGTCCCCAATAAAGTTAAGAAACCCTTGTCAGGTGGATAATGATAGGCAGTCCCCAGTAAAGTTAAGAAACCCTTGTCAGGTGGATAATAATAGGCAGTCCCCAGTAAAGTTAAGAAACCCTTGTCAGGTGGATAATAATAGGCAGCCCCAATAAAGTTAAGAAACCCTTTTCAGGTGGATAATAATAGGCAGTCCCCAATAAAGTTAAGAAACCCTTGTCAGGTGGATAATAATAGGCAGTCCCCAGTAAAGTTAAGAAACCCTTGTCAGGTGGATAATAATAGGTGCTGCCTTATGCTAGGCAGGTCCCAATAATCAAACAAATGGGGAAATGATGGGATGATTTTGTACATGAACAGACAAGGTGAACAATATATAAAACGCATCTTATTGGATGGGTTTAAAGTGAAGGAAATGTTTTTCACCTCGTCTCACACTTTGTTTTTCTCCACCAGTCTGAATGGGATCTGATCCTACAGCTCAATATTTGTGCTTCATATTCATGATTCTGTGCGTATTTGGACAGAAAGTCTGTGTGAAATATTCAAGAATCTAACACGTGGGTGTCTTTAGCGTCAGGCTGACGGGCTGTGACACAGACGACGCTCTCTGAGCGCCTCCACCAGTGTGTGAAGTGGTCATGAGTGTTATTTCAGACCGTCTGACAGCTACGCCAACAAACGCAGGAAACCACGACGCCCCAGAATCAGGAAAGAAATGTGAGGGGTGTGAAAACGCGGCGTTGACCCCGGAGCAGCATCCACGTCAGACAGTGACTAACGGGAAACTGCTGACAGCGACTTGACAAGTCACTGCTTTACTCATTCTCCTGTCTGCAGCCTTGAGGAGTTTAGAGATAGAACCAGAACTCGGGACCATCTGCCGCCTCATGACACCCTTCGGGCTCAGGGTGGGCTGGCTCGGTGCAGAGAGGAATCCCAGGCATCTGAGCTGCAAACAAACAGCCTCGACAAAAAAAAAAAATAAAACCACGAATGCAGTCTCGTCTAGAAAACTCCATTAGCCTTCAGGAGCATCAGAACATCGGAGCGTTTTATTTTAGATTTTAAAGCCGATAATTCGTCGCCTTGTTCTTTCCGTCTTAGAAGCGGAGTTTTCGGTCCACTGCCCTTCAGAACTGAGCAAGCTTTGAGCAGCTAAATCTAAAACTCAATAACGGCTTGTTTGTCTATTAGATGAATCCAAACGTCATTATCAGAGTCATAAATATCTGCTTTGGACTGAAACCAAAGGATAATCTATCCTAAGCTTCATGCATTTAAGAGATTTGGCCAATTTCAAGGCCTTAACCGGTTTTATACAGTTGATTAAGATGAGAGTGCTTGTGAGCATCAGAGTGAGGAAATGTGTGTTGACATATTGTTGAGGCAATATTTCACATCATCACAGTGGTGTGTTTTGTTAATATTGTGCAGCCCTGCTTCCTGTTGAGCCCAATAAACACGTCTGATCCAGTGTGTTCACTTTTAATGTCTGTCGTGAGAGCAGCTGGGGCTCTGTGGAAAATATGTAAACGGTATCTTACCTGTTGTAGATCGCTCTTTGAATGACCTTGGTTCTGAGAAATAAAGTTTAACAGCTGGTCCAAGAGCAGAGTGGAGTACTGTTGAGATGAAACAAATCCAACCTTAAGAAATTCATGCTGGTTCATTCAATTGCTGTTTTTTTGTTTTTTTTTACTTTTACACTGTTGTTGATTTTTAACCGCACCGATATAATGTCAGAAAGATTACGACATTCCTGCTGGAAGTGCTACTGCTAGTTTCTTGTTATATTTGTGCTTGAAAACAACCGTAGAATGCTACGTACAAAACAAAATGCTAAATTTACATTGTTTATTTGACCTTTGTGATTTTTCACGATTGTAACGGGAGTTGTTTTAAGATGACGGCAAACAGCGGTGGTCTTTGCCCTGCTCAGACTAGCCATTAGCTCATCTTCCTGGTCACAAATGAACTTTTTCTCCAAACCGAGGTCATTCGATGAGTTACATAGAAAAAGAAATATATTAAATGCTCATAACCTTTACACAAAACCCAGGTCTCCCTTGCAAGAGATCTATGATCTCAATGGAATTTGCCTGGTTAAATAAGTTGATAAATAAAAATAAAACCTTTTATGTAAAAGGTTTAAACTATCAAACGCTGATATCTAATATAAAAAAACGAGCAAACGGTGATGGATGTTAACTGCTGTTTGGATTTCCACATATATTTTACGAAAAAGCCACATTATTCCACATATTTCTTCCAAAACTCAAGAATTATTTTTCTTTCCTCTTATTCTCTAAGGTCGCTGTAAAATCGATCAGAAAGGAGAAGATCAAGGACGAACAAGACCTGGTGCACATTCGCAGAGAAATCGAGATCATGTCTTCTCTGTGCCACCCGCACATCATCACTATATATGAAGGTACGAAGTCGAGAGAGAACAAAAACACATCGCACAGTCTGATTAAAATTTCAGTTTTAGTCACGCGAGTCTTTGTGGCCAAGACTTGCTGCTCGGTTACGCAAGCAGTAATGGTGTGCTTTACGGCGGCGGCTCTGTGAGATAACGTGCCGACCGTTGTGTCCTCCATCCCACCTGCTGGGATGGTCATTAATGTGTTGTTACACAATCAGCCTGCAGTTTTTAGGACAAAAATCTACAGCATATCTCGCTGCTAGTTTTAATTGAGAGTTTGTCTTTTTAGTTTTCGAGAACAAGGACAAAATCGTGATAGTGATGGAGTACGCCAGCCAAGGAGACCTGTACGACCACATCTGTGACAAGAAGCAGCTCTCTGACCGAGAAGCCAGGCACTTCTTCAGACAGATCGTGTCTGCGGTGCACTACTGCCATCAGGTACGTTTCTTTACATTTAAAGCAGTTTACTGAAGGCGGAGTTCAGTCTCTGTTTGTTAGCCCTGTCGGCTCTTCGACCGATGCTTCGTCTGCCGTGTCATGCCTGTGGGAGCGGAGCTGCGCCGGCTCGTTAGTGTTGTTTTTTATTTTTTTCTAGGGCACCGCCGCCTCCAGAGTTACATAACAAGCATCGGTTACTGTCGTCCTGCAGCTCCGAGCAGGGAGGCAGTGAGAACGATGCAGGGGGAAACGAAGAGTCGGTCTTTGCTGAGTTAGCGTCATGGCTGAAGGCCAACTATCCCAGCGCACTCACACACACGCATGGCCTCACAGTTTAATGAGGGTGTGAGTGCACAGACCCCCCCCCCCCCCCCTTCAGATTACAAAACACACAGTTGCTCCAGCGTAATTGCACTATATTTTAGGCTGTTCTGCACTTTGGACTTCATTTTAAAATGTGTGACAGATTTTATTGGGTGAATTGCTCTTGTCGAACGTCTTATACAACCTGTTTCAGTTTACTTTATGCCGCTCTGATATATTCTTAAATATTTAACTTTCCGTGCTTCTATAACACAAAGGAACATCTATATCCTATTTCAGACACTTGTAAGTTCAGCGGCAGAGTTCCTTAATGGTTTCACCTGAACAATAAGCAAATGTGTCGTGACCCAACCTGAGCGCCCTTACAGTTTGTAAGACGCTGACCTGCATTTTAGAAACTCATTTGAGACGAAGGTATGCCCCCCTGCAGAGCAGGGGACAATGAATCATTGCTCACGTACAAGAAGAAAATGTTCAGTTTGGAAAGAATGTGCTGCTTTGACCCAGTAAACATGAACCCCTTATGTCAGTGGTTTAGTGTAAACTGATATGTGGTGCTGTTTGTAAAGAAAATATGGACTAAACAAAAGTTGTTGTTTTTCCTCCCCCCCCTGCTAGAATGGAATAGTGCACAGGGACCTGAAACTGGAGAATATTTTACTAGATGCCAACGGCAATGTGAAGGTATGCACACTCACCCTGGGATGAGGTTACCAGTACAAAGGCTAAAATGGAAAAAACTAAACATTTTTAATTATTATTCAGTCTACATAAAAGTAAAGACAGATTTCAATACATTAAATTTTAAAGGTCAGCTTACAAAGCATTAATTGACGTTTCGCTCTTGCAGATCGCAGATTTTGGACTGTCCAACCTGTACCACGGTGACGAGTATCTGCAGACGTTTTGCGGCAGCCCCTTGTACGCCTCCCCGGAGATCGTCAATGGACGGCCGTACCGTGGACCGGAGGTGGACACCTGGTCCCTCGGCGTGCTGTTGTACACGTTGGTCCACGGCACCATGCCGTTTGACGGACACAACCACAAGATGCTGGTCCAACAGATCAGCACTGGAAACTACCGCAAACCCAGCAAGCCCTCAGGTGAGGAATTAAGGTTATTGGAGTGGGGCGGGGGGGGGGGGGGCAGTGGGTCAAAATCAAGGGATGTTTGGATACCACGAGCCAGGAGACAGATTTTAATTAAACTTTCAGAGGAATCTTTGGACGTACATCTACAACTGATTATCTTTTGGGGTCAACCCAATATAAGATGGCTGCCACAGATAATTGACCTTAGCTAACAGAAAATGGCTATACTTCAGTTAATTTAGCAGGTATTGAACTAAAATTGGGTGTGCTAGCAGCATCATCTCCAACACATACTTTGAGTGCTAACAGACTGCATGACATATTTTGTATAAAACTTTGGCATGTGCACGCATTGCAGTCCTTCAAGGAGTACTAGTTAATTTTTGTGTCTACAGTTTATTAGTCCTATGCTAAATTGATATTGCAATGATGATACCTTTTGATGTATTGTGCAGCCCTAATCAAAAGTATCCAAACTCTTTTCCACCAAATTGTATTTTGTTTTAAGCCCATTACCAACTTTTCTCCTCATTTCTTCTGTCAGATGCTTGTGGACTGATCCGCTGGATGCTTATGGTAAACCCTGATCGCAGGGCAACAATAGAGGAAGTCGCTGGACACTGGTGGCTCAACTGGGGCTACCAGCAGTCCCTGCTGTGTGAGAGGAAGACTAGTGCGGTAGAGCAGACCCCATCACTGGTGTCTCCATTGATGTCCAATTCCTCAGGGCTGGCTGGGGTTGCCAGTTGGCTGCGTCGGACATCCAGACCTCTACTGGAGAATGGCTCCAAGATGCGCTGCCTGCTCCGCCCCCAGGTGGCTGGAGGGGACGTGGTGCGACAGCGCTCGCTGCGAAGGTCCCACAAGGAGAAAAATGTCTCCCAGACGGTTAATGAAGGAAGCGCAGACTCTCGACCCTACAAGAGTATTCTGAAGAGACGTAACAGCGTGAAACAGAAGGTGGTGAGCGAAAGCCCCGCTGTAGGTTCAGTGGGTCCACCGAATGTTCTGTGCACGTCTGCTTCACCTCGCACTCCTTCTGCTGCTTCGCTGCCTCGCAAAGGCATTTTGAAGAAGCCTGCGGAGCAAGAGTCGGGGTATTACTCATCTTCACCTGAAAACAGTGACTCAGCCTTGGCCTCTCAAACAAAACCCCGTCCTTCAGCACCAACCTATAGGCAAGGAATCCTTAAGCTTAACGGAAAGTTTTCGTCAGGCAGGCTACAGGAGTTTGGTTCTCTGGACCAGCTGGCAGCTTCTTTACCTCGAGAAGGGACCAGGTCGAGACCAAGCGTGGCCATCAGCGAAGACAGCATTCTGTCCTCAGAGTCCTTCGATCAACTGGATCTGCCAGACCACGTGAGACCTCCTGCACAAGTGGACAAACCGGCCAAAGCTAGCATGAGAGGCAGCGTCTCTGCAGACAACCTGTTGGACATAGCTGAAGACGGGACTCTGAGGCCATGGGAGTGTTACGGGTCCCGAGGAGTGGCTGACAGCGCCTTTTCTATCAGCGACTGTGATAATGTCACAGAAACCTACAAACAGGCTGTGGGAATACGTGGATCTGCACCAAGATAGGGACCACAAATTACGAAAAAGACAAAGACTCGTAATTTCCTTCCAAGTTTTTACACTGATGAACACTTAACAGCCAAAGTGTATCACTTGAAAGTACTGGCACTCTTTGACTTTTTGGCTAACTTGAAGAATTAGGTAGTACCAAAAAGTGAAGAGACATGTTCAGATTGTATTTTAGATGGTTGTTTTTGACAATAAATAGACATAACTAGACTGATTTTAGTTTTTAGTGACTAAACTAAAATTTTAAATAATTTCAAGCTGTACCTGGGAAGCAGAAGTTAGCCAGTTAATTTTTGGTATTGAGTTTAAGAAGAAATCCACATTTGAGCCAACGCAGTGGTTTGGAGAACGTACAAGTCAAACTTTTGGACTGGTTTTTGATTTTGGTTCATTTTGACATAAATATACCTGTAAAATACAATTAGTTTACAATACAAGGTTCAAAACTCGGTAGGATTTTAGCTTTGTGATCAATATACTAAAAAAACAGGCTCATTATGAGGATTTCTTCTCTTTGAACTCATTTAACTATTTCACTGTGTAATAGAGATATTTCAGACACCAAAGATTAAATTTGCTAATGTTGCTTGATATTTTTGTATTTTTATTTTTTTTTTGTAAAGCACCAGCAAAAAGTGCCAAGATGATGTTTGTTTAATGGTAATTTAATCTTTGTAGGTATTGTTTTGTTTTTGTTTTTTACTTGAAATGACTCATTTAATTTTGGATAATGACTTGAAAAACAACCATGACCCTTTGACGGGCGCAACAAGTCGAACCTGTTTTTACCGACAGGCCTTCTTATTTAAACAAATGTACACACACTGGTCGCCTTTGACTCATTTCATGTGGGCGATTTCCCTGAAAGGGCGGTGCACGTTCAATGTCTGAGCTAATCCCCGTTTGTTTATGAACATTTGAAATCCGTTTTGAAGATCAGTCACGTTGTCTTCAAAGCTGGGTTTAAATTTAAAAAGTCACTTAAACTAAAACATTACAAATTGGAATCTGACAAAAAGGTAAATCTGGCTGTTTTTACATATAACATGGAATATATGCACTACTTGTTTATTGTTTTGGTTGTTAAATGTGCCTTACACTGCAGGTTTAGGCTAGTAAGCTTTGGTAAAACAATAAAGCTGGTTATAAGTTGCACATGCATTACTGCTCAAAAACTGGAAGGTAATATTTTAATCTGGTTTGGTTTTGGCACGATGAGGCTCATCAAGAATTGAACGCCTTCACGTGTGCAAAATCTTTTTTTTTTCAACCTGAAAATATTTTAGAAACTGGAAAATGACAGAATGTACTGAGAACCAACTCGTTTTACTGATCATTTAATATTTAAGTGTCTCTCAGGAACAAACGTACAGAGCTGGAAAGACGCGTTCGGGGAAGAATGTAATTAATGGACATTTGGACATGAAATCACAGTTTTATCTTTCACCTCATTGAAGGTAAAGGTTTGTGACTTGTGTTCATGCATTTGATGTCTGCCTTGTTTGCCAAAGTTACAGGTTTATCATGTGTTTGTCTGATCTTCTGTCCTGGGATGAGAAAATCAATAAAAAGTAAAATATCAAAGAACTCATGTGTTTAACAGGATTTATTTGGGGTCAGTTCCGTTCAAAAACTTTCAGAAACTCCTGTTCAAATGTTTCAGTACTAAAAGTACATTTTCAGAAATTCAGAATGCATATATAAATAAATCAGTGCAGTAAAATGTGCAAACATTAAGCGCAATTCATTATAAAAATGGATGGTGGTTCATATACTAAAGAAACATTTTTAAAGCTGCTTTGGCAATGCCCTAAAGACAAAGTGGCAGCAACAAAACCTTTTTTAAACGCCAACAGATTTTTAAAGCTCATCGTCTAACAAGTCATCTACAAAGAACAGGCGTCTTATGTTTTGTCTCTTGGCTGCAAATATATGAATCATTTGAGTTATTTCGCAGCACGGAGGAGTGTTTCAGCTGGACTTCCTGTAAGCGGTGTCAGTACGACATCCTGGACGTCTGTGGGGGTGTAGCTGATCCCTGAACTGACCTGCCAACGCCGTCCTGGAGACACGAGGGCAGGTTGAGCTCCAAGACACTTCCCAGCAGCTGATAGCAGCACAGGATGGAGCTCTGTTCAAGGCCAGGTTAAACAAACAAATGTTCATCAGTGCAGACAAAGCTGCATTTAAAGTCATAAAAAAGGGATTTAATATGAGCATGGAAGCTTATTTCAACAATATACTTAAATGTGTTTTAATTAGAATAAGGATGTTTATATATATATATATATATATATATTTTAAAAAGCTCAAAAACACAAATCATTGTTGACAGCGTAAAGTCAAAGTGATACCAGCGGCTGTTAGTTAAACATTACCAGATCAGCAGCCAGACGGTTGGATAAAGCTTCCATGAATGACTCTGGAGAGACGTCGCTGTCCATCATCTTCAGTCTTTGCATGGCAGCGCTCACACAGGCACATGTAAGGGTAGACGGCAGGAAGCCTAAAAACCTGCAGTCTGAAGGGAAGGAAGGGAGGTTTTCTTTGGTTGGTGTTTCCTAATCAGGATAATTAATTTACACAAAATACTGCAAGTCTAAACTACATGGGAGCATTGTAGACACACCCTGAAGGACAAATACTCTGAGGAAGACCCCTCCGCTAACTTGTTCATCTGATATCTTAATTGCTGCAGGCGGGAGAAATTGTGAAACAATCCCCTTCTGTTGAGTTGACACCTTCTTGAATGGGTAAAAAATGTTCAGATCCGGCATTTGTCGGATATTTATGGCTTGTAACATTAGATTTTGTCTGAACTAGCAACCCCTGATGGTATCCCTGTGACCTGGTGCCTCTGGCTGCATCACAGAGATTTGTGGGAAATGATCCATGTGAATGGTCGGACGCAGGTCTTTCAGAGGAACAATGCAGGATTGCACAAACTCAGCTATCCATCTCCAAAACAAAGTGCTGACACATGGTGACATAAGCTACGGCCGCTGCGTGCGCCATTTGTTCACCGCTTGGAAAATCATTCAATGCCCATTTACAACAACAACAAAAAACCATGCAATTCATAATTCAGTTACACAAAATAAAACGGCTTCTTTTATTACGTAATTTGTTTCCAGTCTGACTGAACAGAAATCAATCGACACTTGTGTTGCTTCTTGTTTGAGAAAGCCACATCATGTGTAGGTAACACAGTTATGTAACTTACCCGTGGCTGCCAGAGCCACGTAGGAGTTGACATGCCGGCGGATGTTCTGAAGGTGGGGGGCCCGAACGAAAGGGAGAGCATGAAGAATTGGCTCCAGGAAGTCAGAGGGTACAACGGAGGCCAGACACCAATCTAACCTGGACACCACTGCCACCTCCCACTGCTGAAACACACACATTCCTCTAAAGCAATCCACCATCAAAACAACGCTGCAGGAACACATTATTGGCCCTCGCTGATACACAGGAAGAACACTCTTATTTCTTCTTCCTGGGAAGTAACTGAAAGCTCTTTTGTCCCGCACACCTATGCATTTGTCATGGAATAAATCCAGGGAACTGTTGGGAAAATAAGCTGAATTATTGTATGTTTTTGACCACAAAGCATGTCGAGGTACACAGATCTTTACGTTTTGGTACATTAGAATGTATAAAATCCTCACTGAGGTGTTTTCTATCATACATTATGAACAGTTGCAACTCAAAATACACACAGAGCCCTAAAACGACACTTAATACACAAGATAATAACAGATCATTTAGCTTTAAATATTTGCCTAACCTAAAAGCCCATCTGATTGTAATGTTTTCAATCTTGTTCTTGTGGTATACTTATTGTTCATTTTGTAAATTATGTACCTATTAAGAGTGAAATAGATGATAAAGCGGCGTATGCATGAATGGCATAATTCAAACTCAAAAGCAGCTCAGGGGTGCATTCTTAAATATTAGATTTTTTTTAGGGGTATGACTCAAGAGTTGTGTTAAAAATCATCATATGAGGTTTCCAAAATATCACAGTTTTCCACTTCAACACTGGATGATGTCTTTTCATTATTTTATATACGGGTACTTTCATGGCTGCTACTGTATGTGGTGCAACTTGTTTTTTAACTTACTTTGTGGTGCTGTAATCCATACCTGACAGACTGGGGGTGCTTGTGCAACAGAAAAGGAGAGATTTAAACCAATTTAAGTTGATGTTTAGTTTATATATTTACCAGGATGTCTGAGACTGACACAGAGTTGTCTGTGTAGACAGACAGCTTGCTGGCAGTCATGGGGACGGTCTCTCTCATTTTGGAGGCCAGGAACATGCAAACTGCACCTAACAGCTGCAGGTGCATCTTCTCAATGGGGAAGCGGCTCAGGTAACAATCCAGGTAATGCACCGCCTGGGGAAACACCTCCTCCTCACATAGCTGCTCCTCGCACACCTGTCAGACACATTTATTTCAAAACATCTTATTAAAATGGCATGAATAAAAAAAAAAAAAAGTAAAAGGTTCATACCTCAAACATCCACACTGTGAGTAGTTTCCTCATGTACGGCAGGATGTCTGTCTGCACTCTGCTGAAGATGGAGGGGGAGACCGGGTTGCTTTCCTCCAGGGCCCTCAGGTTGCGCAGCACTCGGAGGTCACGGGTCACCGCGGGGGCGCTCCCCGCTCGGAGGACCGTACCCAGCTCCAATAAACCCGCAGCTTTCTTCTCAGACTCCACTTTAAAGCTGCCCATGTTTACGTGAACCCGTCTCACAGGGTTAGACACAACAACATCGAGGATAATAACTACGTTAGCTAGTTTCGTTAAGTTTTTTTCAGCTAACGTTAGCTGGCTGTGCTAGCAGGCCCGTTGCTAGGTAACAGCCACACCCGGAAGTAAGGTCAAAGTATCAACTCAATATTTTTAAACATTATTAACGCACAAGAAAAACATAACGCCTCCACTTTATTTGCAACTTTTGAGACACTGTTATTGACTATTTTTAATTATTTAAATTAATTATTATTAATTGTTTTTATAATTCTGTTTAATTTCATTGTAACTATTCTGTTAAGTTAAATTGTTGATCATTTGAATTTAGGCGCATTTATTCCACGTTTCTTTTTTTGAGTTTCCTGGACAACTAGCTGCAGCACCAGACCTGCTTTTATAAATGTTTGCTTGGATTGTACCATGTTTTATGACAAAATACAAGTGGGTTTTTTTCCCCTTCAATTAGCTAGTATTGACATCATATGGGCTATTTCTATTCCTCTCATTTATTTAACATAATCAGTGACTTACAGTTGTAAAAGTGTAATTTAACTGTATTTATAATCAGATGATCCTTTTAAGTTATTCAAAATTCAGTATGCACTTTGCTGCAGCGATGCAAACCACTGATGAAATCAAAGCTTTTACTGCAGCGTTCAACTTTGTCTAAACATTTGCCTGTAAACGAAAAAAAATCAATCATTGATTTTTATAATTTGACTTTTATTCTGAATTGCCGCTTCAAAATGACAACTCTTACACAAATGAGCGTTTGTGCTTCCAGGCCTAGAGACTTGCGTTATGAAATTACAGCTACTGATGAACATTTCACATGTGCAAACAAGTCCAGGAAGAAGACAAAAAACAGCTTTCAGACTTTGCAAAGATCCAGGGATTAGAAATATTTATTTAACAGTCTTTTAATTTGAGCAAACGGCACAAATTGCCACACCGGACAGAATCAGTCCATTTCAAATGTAACGGGGAGCCCAATTTCAATATCTCGCGACTCCGAGTTTTGTAGCTCTCTGCGGATCTCTGACGAAATCTGAGTGTGTGTTTGTATCTTGAGCAGCTCCAGCAGCGCAGTCTTCTGTTCAGAGGCCAGGTCAGCCTTGTAGCGCTGGGCCAGGGTGAGCAGACTCTGATGCCACAGCACGGGAAGAACGCGTTTTTCACTGCGGAAAGACAGGAAGTGGGCCACCAAGGCATCCAGAACACGGAAAGGCAGGGCGTACTTCTTGTCGAGCAGGAGCCGCAGGAAAATGCTGTTGGCACCGTTATACTCCATCTCTGCCAACTTCAGCATTGCCGCGCTGAAAGACAAGAACGACTGCACTGGTTATATAACGTTAAACATGCTTTCACTCGTGCCAGCCACACACTGGAGAGATCAAACTGGGACACACTGACCTCAGAGTACAGGTGTGTTGATATGAGGAGGACTTACCTGGAGTGCAGCACCGGGATGGAGCATTTAGTTAGTATGCTCCCGATGATGATGGCTTCCCTCAGAGTACATGTTCCAGACTCGCATAAAGGAATCAGGATACCTGTTTAACAATACAAGAATATTCAATTACTCCAGTCAGTTATTGCTGAACTTCTATGTAGAAAAGCTAGTGAAAATAATATAAAACTTAAAGCAGAAGTCATGTTACCAGGTTTTGAAGATTCTCAAGCTACATCCATTTTATTTTATATTTTTAATTGATGCCGTTTTGTGAAAATCTGTGATTTCCTAGTAGCTGTAAAAGCAGCTTAGTCAATTATGCGTGCCAAGGTGGATCAACAATAACAGCAACAGGGGACTCCGTAATCGGAGCTGCGTGTTTGTTGTGTGTCGAGGGTGTAGTGATTGCGTCAGAGTTGGTAAGAAAATGTGTGTTTTTAGAATGCGAGCTTGAAATATGAGGCTGAAAGCCCCAAAACAGACCGTACTTTATTTCACAAAGGCTGAAAGAAAAACAGTAAAGGAAATAAAAGAAGTGGAAAGAACTTGTAGTAGGCGTGTAGCTTTATTGAGACTTGGTGAAATCAATAAGTGGCATAAAGTGCATTGTTTTTTTTATTTAAAAACAGCCGTGCTAGGAATTTAATTTAAATTGATACAAAACGCATTGTCCCATCACTACACAACACTTTGGATGAAGACGAGTTGTTGATTGGTGCTGTTCTGAACTTTAATGAATTCAAAAATAACGTCTACAGAAACATTTCTGTACAACAGCCACCATTTAAATGCATTCAAGGAATCCTAGGCCTTTAATTCATTCTGTTTGTCCATATTATTGTATTTAGGCGCGACAGTGCCCCCTTGTGTTTCATGACTGTAATGTTTGTTGTTTCTAATGTAGGTCATGCGCTGTTTGGGGATCAAAGTCCCTTCTTCAAACTGCTGTGACTTGTAAACAAAGAATCAACTTGATTAAAGGAAAACAGGATTTTTACCAGTCAGTTGTAGCTATCTGTAAGATGATCTGACCCCATTTAGTCCGACTATGATGCAGTCAGAACTAATGGTGTCACATCGGCTAATCCTCCGTCAGCATCCTCAGAATAAAATGTATAAATCTGTTACACAAATCAGAACTGTGTCAGATCCCATGGAGCCTGACGTCTCTGCTTTGCAACACAAGCTGACAAATTCTCTCATTCACTCACTTCACCCACTTCTTTCTCCCCTCCAAAGGTCACGTGAAACCGGATCTTAGTTTGCCAGACATTTAGTGGAAGTTTAATGACACTGTCTGTAAAACCAAACATGATGGAGGCTGTTTACAAGCCTGACAGCTGTATGGAAAAGTTGGAGCACGTCAATAAAGGCAGCGATGGGCATTAAAACACAAAACACAAAACACTTCATGGGTATTAGCTCAAAAGTCTTGATGCCTTTCACAGAGCATTTAAGGAGGCATTAAGAAAAGACTTTCTTTAAAGATAATCTCCTTATTGACAACTTGACATTTGCATCCACAGTGCACTAAAGTTTGATGAAACCCTCTTCAAGAAATATTTAACCGTAGTTTTCCTCAGACCTCCCGATGTTAGTTCAGTTTATACACCACCACTTGTCTCAGCTAAACCTTTCTGTAACTCCTGAGGAGCCATACACAGATTTTGATTTACATTTGTGTTCAACAAACACATCAACACCCCTCGATTATTTTATCTATCATAAAAGCAAAACATATCAAGTCAAACTTGAAAATAAAGGAAAACAAATTCCCCACTTTTCTTCTACTCCGTCAAAGATGTGTCGAGGTCCAAGGAGTCAGGTTACAGGATCTATTGGAAGGTCCTACCCTGATGTCGTTTAGTCAATTAAACAAAAAACACAAAGGTTCAAATGGGGACTTTTTCCAGTAATTACAGGTTAGAAATTCTGGTTTGTCAAGACATGTCGTACTCAGAGCGACAACTCTTTTTGACCAAATTGGTTATTAGTACATTTTACAAGACTCTTACATGTCTCAATGCAGGGAAACTCACTTGAAGGAATTGTGGGAAAAGGAACTGAACTGTAATCTTACTGATGACGAATGGAACAGTGCTTAGAGAAATGCAAAACTTTAATAAATGTCTGTAATACAGAGGTGCTTGAAAGTTTGTGAACCCTTTAGAATGTTCTATATTTCTGTATAAATGACCTAAAACAACAGATTTTCACACATCCTAAAAGTAGATAAAAAGAATCCAGATACTGAAAGTAGGGATGGGGCCGATCCGATCCAGTATCGGCCTCCGATACCAGCATAATTTACATATTGGATGTTTCCGATCCAACCTGCAGAGATTTCCGATCCATGATGCAAGTTGGCTTCAAACTATGGAATGGATTTCCTGAACGGCGGCGTGTCTCATGAACCCAGAGTAATAAGACCCGCCTCACATTCAAGAAATCCATTTCATAGTTTGCAGCCAGCTACAACGTGAGGACTGAGTTAGCAGCACTGTAGCTAACAGCTAACCAACTTTTCATCTAAACATGTCCGCCGTGTGGAAGTATTTTACACTAGAAACGCCAAAAAACAAGACAGCAACGTGCAGCCATAGCGCCACATTAAACCGCGGTAAAGTTAGCTTTACGTTGGACATTCGGGCTCCGTGGCTTCAGCGGTCTACTCCTCTCGCTGAACCCGTAGCAGGCAGCCAGACCCCGGCCAGCCATGTTCAATCTGCCCCGTTCAGTCTGCCCGTCTTCGAGGAAGGTCAGAATGAGTGCAAATGAACCAAAATCAGACTGCCTGCTGCAGATTGAACAAGAAGAAGACATCGCTGAATCCCCGGAGCTCGAATGTTTACAAAGTTGTTGCTAAACTTCATCGTAATTAATGATCAACCACCATCAGTGGTAGAAAACAAAGGATTTTGCAGCTTGATACTTGCAGTCAAGATATAGTTTACCCTCCAGGAGATATTTATCAGTACAACAGTAAACAATCATAAAAAAACATGATTTGAAAATTACAAGAAAATTATATATATATATATATATATATATATATATATATATATAAACATTTTAAAAAACTGCTAAAGTGATGTAAAATACTAAAAATCATATCTGTGTTGGTTTACACCACGAACTTAGCAGATGTTTAAATCCATTAAATTTTTTTATTTTATTTAATTAATTTATTCATTCGTTTAAGACAAAATAAAGAAAACAAATTCATCAAAAAGAAAATATTGAATGAAAAGAGTGCAGAAAGAAGAAAAAAAAATCTTATCTCCACCTTATTTAAAAAATATACAAAATAACTTTAAACAAACAATCACTTAATCGCTTTAATATCCACTTTAAAGCTAGGAATTAAAAAAACAAACACATTTTGTGTTAGCAGAATTTAATTCTAACTTTGAAACTTATCCAACATTAATAAAACTTACCTCAAGTTGCCTTTTTGGACATGCATGCATAGAGTTGTACAAATTGTACTTGAGAGGAGATTAATACAGCCTCATATAAAATCAATGATGATGATATCGGAACTGGATCGGTATCGCCCGATATCCAGATTTGAGTATCGGTATCGGATTGGAAGTTTAAAAATGTGGATCGGTGCATCCCTAACTGAAAGCAAAGCTTCAGACACTTTTGCCGCTCACAAATATGTAATATTGGATCATTTTCTATCAATAAATACATGATCAAGTATAATATGTTTGTCTCAATTGTTTAACTGGGTTTTCTTTATCTACTTTTAGGACTTATGTGAAAATCTGATGACGCTCATATTTATGCAGAAATATAGAAAATTAAAAGTCTTCACAAACTTTCACACACCAATGTAGAGTCAACGCCACTCAACTGATGATTCTTCACAGGGCTCAAATCTCGCCTTATCAAAGGCAAAAATTCAAACCTACTTCCTCGTGACTCGATGAGACTAACTTGTATAATAAAGGTTGAATGAAAATTTAAAAAAGCATCTCCACAGTGCTTGAAATGTAAGTCTGAGACGAGCACTCTCACACGCTGCTTTTGGTCTTGTATTAAAGTGAAACAATTCTGGCAGATCATTGGCAGAGAAACAAACAAAATTATGTCTGTTAATTTAAATAATAGCTCCTTTTATTTGTTACTTGAAATCACTGATCCTATTATCAGTGACAAATAGAAAAGAAAGCTCTACAGAATGCTAAATTTCTGTGCTAGAAAATGCCTCCTTCTAAGCTGGAGAACTGAAAGAATCCCCGCCAAGACACCATGGCAGAAGGTTATTCTCAACCACGTTGCTCTTGAATATTTGACATGCTGACTGCTCTATAAAAATGTTTTTATTCAAACATGGGAACCCTTTTTTTCCATATCTTGGGATTAATAATTACACGATTCTTACAAGAGACTTTGTATCACAGTACTGTTAAGGTATACAACTTCAAATTGAACAATACTCATTCTAAGTGCTGTTTTCTTCTAGTTTTCTATTGTTTATGTGCATGCAGCTAACAAGTGACTGGAACTGCCAAATGTGTTTATGGGCCAAAGGGAAGGGGATGGAAGGGAATGTTGTTTGCTTTAATAAACATATAAAAATAAGTTGTGCGCAAAATAAACTTGTCCTTAGTTAAATAAAAGATGTCTAGGAAAGTTTGTAGCTGTTGCAAAACATTGTTATTTTTCTTTGTATAAGACTTCGCTATCAGGTCAGACATCAACTCAGATGCATTCAACGACAATCTCTAAAAATAAAAACATTTGATTTAATTGTAATGAGTGAGACCCACCTTTAAACCAGGCTCCTGGTTTGAACAAAGCCTTCTTCAGGGCACTGTACAGATGAAAGTTTAGTCGCTTGTACTCCGCGATGTCGTCCCGCACTCGAGGCAGCAGCACCAGGTTGAAGAACCTCTGAGCCATTCGCTCTTTCAGGTTGGAGGAGAAGATTCTGCAACAACAACACAGAAAAAAAATCATGTCACAAATTTTCAATTTACAAGTTTTTTTACATTAAAAAAAAAACTGCAAAACGTAGTTCAGACCTAAACCAATTTTTGCACCACTAGATTATGATAGTGGCTGTTGTTTTTAATCACCAACAAAAGTATATATTTTTTAACTTTAGACAGCTTTTACACAAGTTTCCAAATTAAGACTTTAATTGTGTTGAAGTTTTAGTACAGTGAACTTGTTAAATACTAACATCAGAAAGTGTTTTAAGAATCTGTAGTACCTGGGACGACTCTGGAACTATTAAACCACAGAAACAACAGAGAACTCACCTTGTTGCCTGGTACATGGCAGCAGCGGACCAGGTTTCAGGATTGGTCAGATACAGAACCTGTTCCCAGTTTGAGAGCGCTGGGATTATTTTAAAAGCCTTGGGCAGTTTACCGCTGCGATACTTTGACAAAACCTAAAAGAAAAATTATGAATATAGTTTACGTTGTTCCCCATTTACACCTTTTGTTTCAAAAACACTTGATGCAGCTAAGAAAAAACAACCAACACAGATTGTTAATTTTTTCTTCTTCTTCATATTTTCATTCTTTAAAACACATATTTTCTTTGGTGTCTTGTATTTATTGTGATTCCTATTAAAGCTGAGACGTTTGTCCTTTAATTTGTTATTTTAGCCAGTTATAACTGTTGTACATGTGTTTGTGAGAGGCACATTTTCTGACACCTTACACTCACCTTACTGACACCCCTGTACACCTCAATTATTCTCGGGTCCAACTGGGGCATTGGGCACCCTGACACCTCAGACATCACCGTCCCTACTTCAGTCTGCTTCTCTGTGATCTTCTCCATGATGATGTCAGCTAAGGTCCGTCTGTGTCGATCACAAGGGGGAAACACAGATTAGCATTGAATCATGAAACTCATGTCACCCTGAAAATCTGAATCTAACCTCATTGGAGGATTCTTATTCATGAACATCTCAATGGCCTTCTCATCATCGGGATCTACGATGACTTCTGCATCGCCGTCACCAGCGCCTGCTTCTCCCAGAGCCGGCCATTCTTCATCCGAGTCTGCGTCCTGAGAGTCGGGACCTAAATTGCGATTATAAAACAAAGACAGTCACAATTAACAGTCAGAAATATATACAGCAACCTTCCTTTTCAAGTCAATAATTGTCTAGAAAAGATCAATCGTTCAAACAAGCTTAACTTAGTGGGAATAACACTTAGTGGGCACTTCAAAAACTTTTTCCATTAGAAAATATACCCCAAATCATTTCAGTCACTGATTTAGGTAAAATCCAAAAGTTATTGTACTATTAATGACCAACATTGTGAAATATTAAGTTGTATTCCTAATTTGAACAAACTGGTTTCTAGGGAAGCTACCCAGCCATTCCTGACTTCTTTCAAAAATCTGTCAATTTAAGGTATGAAATTGTTGCGTTTGGACCAGGGCCACACTTGACCCTATTACTACTCTTAACAACTTCACAAAATAATATCCAACAAAATACAGGGTAAATGAAAAAAAAAAAATTAAAGCCTCCAACTTTACCGAGAACAGTGACTGGTGTCTTCTTCTCAGGCACCAGGCCATACTCCGTCTGCAGTTCTTCTTGTTGAATTCTGGCCTGAAGTAGGATCTTCCTCGACAGACGCTCGTCCACGTACTTGTCCTCGCTTTCTGCCCGGTTGTCTCGACCCTTCATTCGGCCCCGGGCTCGGATCGTGTCCGCCTGGAGGATCTGGTCGGCCAGCGGCACCGCTGCTCCTCCGCCGCTGCTCTTCTCTCCTCCGACACCTTTGGATTTTTTCACTTTCGGCATCGCTGTAGCGTGACTAGAGGAGATTGACAATAATGTCGATGTTTTACGTTAGCATTAGCAGTCTAAAGACCGACTGTAAACAGTGTTGATCCGCACGTGCGTGTGTCCATAGCAGAGGAAGTGACGAAAACCACGCAACGTCCAGTTTGGTTAAAGTCCCCCAAAATAAAATAAATAAATACAGTAAAGTTTTTATATAGTATTATATTCTCATATATTCTTTCAATTGTTTAAAATTTCTTTTTTTTAATCTTAATTATCTTTCATCAGACAGACCGGAAGTTAATATGTTGACCCGGAAGTACTAAAATTCCAAAGGCTATCGCAAGTAAATAAATTAAAAAATTATGGGGGTTACTTGGTAAGCTAATTTATTAATGTTTTTAGATAGAGTTACACTTTCAGCAGCGTTTGAAACGCTGTTTTATCATATTTATTAATTGTACGTGTTTTTGCCGATTATTCGCGCTGCATATGTTTAAAGAAATAATACACTGGAGATCATTTTAAAACCCTTAATAATGAGTGAGTGGTAGATTTAGCATTTTCTGAGCATTCTCTCATCGATGTTTTGTGTCGTGCAGTGTATGCCAGGTGCCTGTGGCGGAGGGGAAGAGTGTGCAGCAGACGGTGGACATTCTGCACAAAAAGTTGGAGCAGCTCGGAGCTGTGAAGCACGGCAGCTTCTGTGTGGACTGTGAGACATACCAGTCTACAGGAAATGCTGCTGGTAATGTTCAGTTATTTATCTTAAGGCACAATCCGCACCCCAAGTCAAATCAAGTCAATTTATTGTCATTACCATCACATGTGGTACATGAGGTGTAACAAAATTATGTGTATATGTACAAAGGGTTCCAGTTACATCCAACAATAGCAAAATATAAAGTGTAAAAAGACAGTAGAAAGAACTGGAAGTGGCAGAAATGAAGATCCTGAGGTTCTCCTTAGGAGTGACAAGGCTGGATAAGATTAGGAATGAAATAATCAGAGGTACAGCACAGGTGGAACAACTGGGACATAAAGTTATTAATTTAGAGAGTTAATTTAAAGTTTGTAAATTAGAGAGACCAGACTGAGATGGTTTGGACATGTCCAGAGGAGGGACAGTGTGTATATTGGTAGAAGGATGTTAGAAATCTAGCTGCCAGGAAAAAGACAAAGAGGAAGGCCAAAAAGAAGATACATGGATGCAGTTATAGAGGACATGGAGGTAGTTGGAGTGAGGACAGAGATTGCAGAGGACGACTCCTGAAGAGGAAAGAACAAAAGAAGAAGAAAAAAGTATAAAAAGAAACAGTAAATAAGGATATAAGATATACACTAAATACTAATATTGTAAAAAAATATATATCATGACAACAGCAGCCCGTTGCAATTCAAGAAAAAAGAGACAGGGAATAAATAAATAAATAAATAAAGGTGTTTCACATTAGAAGGACACCTCATCATTGCTCACTAGTCCCTTGATTTTCAAGATGTTGGCTGTTTTTTATTACAAAGGTAACGTGGGACACAGAGGCTGATAGGCTGAGTCATTAGCTCTACCAAAACTTATAAACATTTATTTATATAGGTTAGTCTCATAACTTTAAGTGATGCATAACAATAAAACAAAAACTATTTGTACATGCAACAAGTTTACAAAGACACAATTGTCCAGATTTTTCAGCATAATGCTTTTTTTTTTTTTAAAGGAGGACATATTGGAAACAATAAAAACATTTATTTTTGCTGTGAGCCACAACAACATTTATACCACAATAAACTAAACACAACTGAAACATCTAACTATTTTTGAGGATTTTTTTCTGCCTTATGATGGGACTTGTGACCTGGCCAGGGTGTCCCCCACCTCATGCACAGTGACTGCTGGGTATGGGCACCAGTGATCCCTGCGACCCAAAACGGAAGAAATGGGTAAAGATAATAGATGGATGGAGGGATGAAAGAACTGAGCTCTGTTGATTTGATCAAACATAAAACTTTCACATTGTATTGAGGTTTGTGTGACCCGTAAAACAAAAAGTCATTGTCATCTCATTTTCTTTTATTGATCAATTGATTAACTTTTTTAGCAGGGTTCAGTAAGATATCCTTCTGTGGCTTAGAAAGTTTGACTACATTTCTTGTGTTTTTTTTTGTTTGAAATGCAGGTTTTTTTCACGAGTCGTGTTTTTACAGCCTCAACAACCGATGGATAACTTTTCGCTGTAGGAAAGACACTAAATTAAACTTTTTTTTTTAATAAAGGTTTTGCTTTTTTTTTTTTAAAGTCACTTATTTTTTAAATTCAGTTAATCTGCAACATTTGCTCACATACTTGTTTTATCTAGAATAGTTTGTCTCGGTCATTTCAGGCTTTAATTTGCTAACTTTATTTGAGGCATTTTAATAATTTTTTTTATTTTAACCTTTATCATAACTGTGTATTTGTACTTTAACAGTTTAAATGATCTCACTGTGGAGTACTTCATCTGTCATATTTGTGTTACAGGTCAGTCCTCCAAGCTCCTGTATGTGATGCACAACTCAGAACTTCCCCTCAGCTGCTTGGCTCTGTTTGAAGGAGGACCCTGTCTGATAGCAGACGCAAACTTTGACGTCCTCATGGTGAAGCTAAAAAGTCATTTCCAGAACGCCAAGGGACACAAGGTGGAGTGTCGGGGTTCGAGGTATCGCTACTGTGACTTTCTTATCAAAGTTGGCACAGTCGCCATGAGTTCCAGTGTCAGAGGGATCTCGGTGGAGGTGCGTACACACACCGTTTGGTTCTGTTAGTGAAGCAGGAGGTGAATTTTCCTCGCTGTGACAGTTTTTTTTTTTAACTCTCGGTGTGTTTCGTTCAGGTGGAGTACTGTCCTTGCGTGGTTCCAGGGGACGGCTGGAACCTCATGAAGGAGTTCATGCAGTCTTTTCTCTGCAACAACGTCCCCGAACTTCCAACTGTGTTCGCAGCCAAACCCGAGGGTCTTTTTGCTCCGGCGGACTGCGTCGACACCATGAGTCAGTACTTAGAGCTGTTCAACAAACTTCGGAAACTTCAAATCACAGGAACCAACGTGCGATGAGTCGGCAGTACAAAACATTTTTTAAATATTAGTTTTGATGTTAATTCTGGTCCTGTGGATCTGCATGATGCGTCTATTTCCACAGATTTAACTTGACATTATCTTGACGTCATGAATGCATTTGTATTAAAGAGACTTGGTAGGAAAAAAAATCTAAAGTTTTTGCCTATATATATATATTTTTTATAATCATTCTACAACTGTTTATCAGCAGATGTGATTTGTTTAAGAAGCAAAAGTTTCATTAATTTTAGTTCTGGACAACGGTACACACAATACTACAAGATTTTTTTTTTTACTTTTCTGGAAAAACAAAGATGTGGCTAACAACAATAAGCACATTGCCACATAAATAAAAACAACAGCTGAAAAAAAAAAAATAGCCTTTTATATTATTCAACACATTTGTTGTCTCTCGTGCACCACCTGTCAGGTACAACAAAAAAGTCAAGGTAAAAATCAAAACTTTGTTATTTTTAGGACCATCTGTTGCACATGTAAATCTTTCAAACTTTAAATTTTTTACATGTTTAAAAAGCTTGTAAAATTATGAAAGGCATAATAAGAAGACTAATAATCCCATCAAAGTATGAGTTTTAACAGTAGTTTAAAAAAATGTATTTGCCGTCTTGAGTTGACGGAATCAATATTAAAATCAGAGTCAGAGAGTCAGAGTCAGAGTTTCTTTATTGTCATTCGCACCTCATGTGGTACATGTGGTGGAGCGAAATTATGTACACGGGGTCCCAGTTACATCCAACAATAAAATGTCTAAGAAAAACAGTAATAACATCTAAGATATGAACTAAGAAAAACATCAACTAAATATACACAAAGCACTCATAACATAAAACATTGAACATCAGCACAAACATGAACATGAGTCTGTGAGCAGATGTGCACGCATGAACCCATCAACATTGAAACAGATCAGCAGCAACATGATATGGTTTTTCACAGTGATTATTCTAGTTAGAGATTCATGAGTCTAACAGCCTCAGGGTAGAAGCTGTTCCTCAGTCTAGTGGTTCTACACTTAATGCTCCTTAACCTCCTTCCTGAGGGGAGTGGGGCAAAAAGTGTGTGTGCTGGGTGGGTGGGGTCCTTCATGATGCAGGTGGCCCTCTTCCTGCATCTGGAGGTGTAGATGTCTGTGATGGTGGGGAGACTGATTCCAACAGATTTCTGTGCAGCCTTCACCACTCTCTGCAAAGCTTTTCTTTCTAAATAAAGCCTTTCTTTCTTTATAAAATGGTTTTGTCGAATCTTTTATAGTAAGGGCGTTTTAATGTACAAGCTTTAAATAATGTAAATTATGAATCAAAATGTGTGCAACAATCTGGAATAGAGCTCTTTGAAATTTGGTTGAAGTTTGTGGAAAACCATAGACATAATTGGCAAAACAAACAAAAAAAATAAATAGAGAAATAAAAATGGGCATAAGTCCCGCTCAGCCGTTTGCAGTTGTAGTTGACAAAAATCTCACAGTAAAACATTTCAAGTTCAACTTGGTCACAGGAAGTTGGAGTTTTCTCATTCAACCTTTATTTATACAGGTTAGTCTCATTGAGTCCTGAAGACTCATTTACAAGAGAGACCTGTTTTAAACAAAGAACACAGACAGCAATAAACATTCATATAAAAGCCTATGAAAAGAAAAGTAAATAAAAGAAGTGATATAAAACACAATAAAAAATATGGTACATTATAAAACGGTGTAAAATACTACTACTGCAGGTAATGATTTCTTGGGAGTGCACGCTGTAGCTGCACTGATGAAGTGACATGTAGGAGAAGATGTATGATGGCAACAGACCAAGAAGTGATTTAAAGATGAAAATGTACCAGAGAGAGTCTGCGTGAAGTTAATGATGACCAGTTAACCAGTGAATACAGGGTGCAGTGATGGGTATGGTAGTTACAGCCAGTTATGAATTTTAGCGCACCGTGATAGGCAGCATCCAACATCTGCAGGGTGCTTGTAGGAGTATTCAGGTAAATGTCACCGTAATCAATGGAGGGGAGGAATGTAGCAGTCACAAGGCCTTTCCTAGCATTCAGAGTTAGACGAGATCTATTTCTGAAAAAGAAACAGTTTTACTTTCAATTTCTTTATCAAGTTTTCAACATGAGGCTTAAAAGAGAGCTGTGCATCGACCAAGATTCCCAAGTATTTGTAAGAATCGACCAACTCAATAGGGACACCATTCGTAGATGGGGTAGAAGAAAGGACTGCTGATACAGACTTCCTCTTTGAAAACAACATCCCTTTGGTTTTATCAGCATTTAGCACCAGTGTGAGACAGAACAAATCTGACTAGATGATGTAAGACTGTAAAAGCTGGAAAATCTTAGCAACTGTTTTAGCTCGACAGTAAACTACCGTGTCATCGGCGTAGAAATGTAAGGATGTGTCAGGAATGATCTGGCCTGCATCTAGATTGTGAAGAGGGTGGGTCCTAAGACTGAGCCTTGTGGTACTAACCATTGTTGCCATCTTGTTTTAATTGCCATCTTATTTTAATTTGTAAAAAAAAACTTGTATGCCTTTTATGTTTGTCTATTATTGTTGCTCTTGTCCACCGTTGTCATCATTCTTTGTTGAAATCAGGTCTCTCTTGTCAACGTTGTTGTGTTCATGCGTGCTCATCTGCTTACACGGACTCGTGTTCAGGTTTGTGCTGATGTTGGACGTAATGTTTTTATGCTATTAGTGCTTAGTGTATATTTAGTTGATGTTTTTCTTAGTTCATATCTTAGATGTTATCATTGTTTTTCTTTTACATTTTATTGTTGGATGTAACTGGGACCCTGTGTATCTAATTTCGCTCCACCACATGCACCACATGAGGTGCGAATGACAATAAAGAATCTCTGACTCTAAATGAGTCCTTGTGGCTCATGGGATTAACCTGTCTAAATAAAGGTTGAATGAAAATTGTTGACAGTTAAATAGCTGGAAGAAGTGACCATAGTTCTTGCTCATTAGGTATAAATCCAGGTCATCTGGACGGTTTCTTTTGTTGCTGAGACGTTTCGTCCTTCATCTAAAGGACTTCTTCAGTTTGAGGAGCCCACCAAACCAAACTGAATCCCACTAGCTCACTCCCAGAGTGGAACAAACCAGATGCCAGCTGGAAGAAGTACCATTATGTTGGAACACAAAAAAGTTTACAAGTCTGAACTGGTTCTTACAGGTTTTATTATTTTTTTGCGGATCATTTTTTTTAATTTATTTATACAGATAGTCTCATTGAGCCACGAGAACTCATTTTCAAGAGAGACCTGTTTAGGGAGCCAATGGTGGGGGTTAAGGGCCTTGCTCAGGGGCCCAGGGTGGGGTGGGTGTTTCACCTTTTCCACCCACATTTTTTTTAGGTTCACGGTAGCGGGAGGTGAACCTGCGACTTTCCGATCACAGGCCCTCCCCCAATCATGTATTGGGTTCAGGTATTTCTAAGATCTGACTTACATTTATTCGCACACAACTTTTCTGTCTGCCTCCCTAGCTGTCAGGGAGTGACAGACGTTACGGGTTACCATGGTTACCACGTTAAACTTTTGGTGCACTTTAAACATCAAAAATCTTATATTATTATCAAGTTTGTTTAGAGTTTTTGGTGTCCTTTAAAATGTCTTCAGATTTTCTAATAACCAAACTTTTTAAAACATTTATAGAACAGCTTGGCGCCACTCACCAGGTTTTTTTTGTTTTGTAAGAAACCCAACAACAATGGCTCTTATCCCTCTTTTATCATTTCACCCCCCACCATCTGACTGGTTTAAAGGTGGGCACCAGGCTCAGAGGCCGGCGGGTGGTCGTCCCCTCACCCCCCAGGTCCGCAGCCTGGCCTCGGTTATTGTTCCATGTGGCCTCGGTGGGTGGACGGACTGACTGGTCCAGCCTGCCGCCTGTTGTTCAGCCGCTGAGCCAATGAGAGCCCGGCAGCCGCTCGGTCCCGGTCCAATGAGAGCAGCGGGGTCTGGGCTCCGACAGAGAGTTGGGTTGTTCAATCTGCGAGGAGGACAACAAGCCGCAGCTCGAGTCGGAGCGTACGGGATGGATGGATAGAGGATGAACGGAGGCGATGGTAATATCACCTTAGCTTCTTCCATATCAAGATGCGGGAACTGAGCGCGGCCCGGCGCCATTGTAGCCGGCTCCGCGTGCCGAATGTCACCGTGGAGTTTTTTTTTTTTTTTTTTAATGGTTAGCGGCGCAGTTCGCTCGCGAGCTAAGCGGTTAGTTAGCGAACAACAACAACCATTAGGTTAACTTCGATTGTCTGTGGGGGGAAAGCGTTAGCGCTGGAGCTAACGCAAGTTGTTACCGAGCTAACGGAACAAGTAGTAGCTCGTTCGAGCTAAACAAGCGAGCGTTTCTTTTTAAACAAAGTGCGCTTTAGGTTAGACACCGCAAAAAGGGGGCTAAGTAGCGCTAACCCCGGGAGCAGAGCCGCTGTGTTAGCTAACGGTTAGCGGCGTTAGCTGACTTACTGCCTCGACCCAACAAAGTTGGTGGAGGTTCCTGGAGAGTGGCTCTGGGTTCTTTGTTCTGGCTGAACATGGTGATGGTGGGGGAGCTTAGCACGGGGTGAGGAGCCAGCCTGTCTGAGCCACACGACCACTTGAAAACACGCAGGGACTGGAGGTAAAAGACGATAAAGATTAAATATCAGACTGGGACGGTGAGGGTGCAGCAGCACGACATGTCAGGATTAGAATCAGCCGACAAGGAACCAGTTGCACCGACCCGAGAGAGCACATCACAGTTTAGAGCGGAAAATAAATGAAAATAAATCAGAAAATACGGAATTTAAATGGTTTATTAGTGGACATGGCAGTGGTGACAGAAGTACAGAAGAGCTTGAGTAAAAGTACCAATAAAGCAATGTAAAAAGAAACCGCATTCCTAGTAAAATTGTGGCATGCACAAGTACAAGTGCCTGGCCAAAAAAAAAAAAAAAAAGGTCACATACTAATATTTCGTTGGACCGCCTTTAGCTTTGATTACGGCATGCATTCTCTGGCATTGTTTCGATAAGCTTCTGCAATGTCACAAGATCTATTTCCATCCAGTGGTGCATTAATTTTTCACCAAGATCTTGCATTGATGACTAGGCATGATGGGTGCATCACTTCACCTGCCTCTCTTCTTACCCTGATGCGCCCATCACTCTGGAACAGGGTCAATCTGGACTCATCAGACCACATGACCTTCTTCCATTGATCCAGAGTCCGATCTTTATGCTCCCTAGCAAATTGAAGCCTTTTTTCCAAGTTGGCCTCACTGATTAATGGTTTTCTTAATGCTACACAGCTGTTCAGTCCCAATCCCTTGAGTTCACTTCACGATGTGCGTGTGGACATGTTCTTACTTTCACTATTAAACATAGCCCTGAGTGCTACTGTTGTTTTTCTTCAATTTGATTTCACCAAAAGTGTAAGTGATTGCCGATCACGATCATTCAGGATTTTTTTCCGGCCACATTTCTCCCTCGAAGACGAGGCGTCCCCACTATCCTTCCAGTTTTTAATAAAGCTGGACAGTTCTTAACCCAATTGTAGTAGTTTCTGCAATCTCCTTACATGTTTTCTCTGCTTCATGCCAATGATTTGACCCTTCTCAAACAGAATGACATATTTTCCACGACCACACAATGTGTCTTACGACATTGTTGTTTAAGAAATGAGAAGCAACTCATTGCACCAGTTGGGGTTAAATAACTTGTTGCCAGCTGAAAGATAATCACCCAGCAGTAATTATCCAATAGGAGGTTCGTACCTATTTGCTTAGTTAAATCCAGGTGGCGACTTTTTTGGGGGGCCAGGCAGTGTATTTGTAGCACCAGGTCTGTTTAGATAAATGCATCCATAAGATGTTTAAATTATTAACACTGAAAATGCTGTGTATTCAAGAGTACCTGTGAAGGTTAAATAGGAATTGTCTGCATTGTTTCCACTATTTTCTCTCTTTTTTTTTTTTTTTTGTAAGTTTAGGTAATGTAGTAGGACTTTTTGTAAAGAGATTGTGTGATGCAAAAAGTTTTATGATGAAAATTTGCACTTTTGACAATTCATGACAGTTTTGATGCGCTGATTTGAGTTTTAGCTGTCACTAGTCATTGAATCTTCATTTTAACTTTTGTCAAAAAGTGTCCTTGTACACTGTTTGGTTGACTTTTAGACTGCCTTGTTCTTGTTGAAGTTTACTGAACATATGTAATCATGCAAGGGCTTTGTTTGTGTTTTGTCTCATTCTTTAGCTGATTGGTCTTGAACCACTTTACTTCCTGTTTCTTAGACCCGTCCTGTTGGTGCAGAAGCTGAGCTCACATCTGCAGATGATGTGATGTTTTGACCCCAACCAGATCGAGCGAAATACTTGTACAGTTAGTATATATTTTTTAAACTCCATATACCATGAAAAAAATATTGGTCTCTTTAGATCTTTTAACTTGCTTTGTGTTGTTTTGTTTTTTTTCTTCCCCTCAGAATGAGTTGCTGCTCGGCTGCAGGACGTGTGTCCTTTCGCTGAGGCCACATGTGTATCTGGAGAGATGGACCGCTGTAAGCACGTGGGTCGCCTCCGTCTGGGCCAGGACCATTCCATACTCAATCCACAAAAATGGCACTGTGTGGACTGCAGCACCACAGATTCGGTGTGGGCCTGCCTCAAGTGCTCCCACGTGGCCTGTGGACGGTTCATGGAAGAGCACTCGCTCAAACATTTTCAGGAGTCCCACCACCCGCTGGCCATGGAGGTGCGAGAGCTGGATGTCTTCTGCTTCGCCTGTGGAGACTATGTGCTCAATGACAATGTGGAGGGTGACCTCAAGCTCCTCAGAGGGGCCCTCTCTACTGTTCGGAACCCAGGCAGGCGCTCACTACGCTCTTCAGCTTGGGGAGAAGGTGGGCAGCAGCCCGCCATGCAGCTGGCCTTGCGCCACAGGAGGAAAACGCTCCTGAGGAAGATGTTTCAGACGTGGCTCGGCAAACATCAAGAGCTTCAAAATGAGCGCAAAGAGAAACTGGAGGAAGCCAGGAGACAAAAGAAGGAGGTAAAAAGAAGGCTTATGGAGGAACTTGTCAGTGTTCCTCCCAGAAAGAGTGCCAGGCTTCTTACTCAGGCGCCACGTTCAACCATCACACTCATTCCTCGCAAATTTCGCGACCCACCAGAACGCCTACCTCCTCCTGCTCCTTCCAGGAAGCCTTCGATTCTCACCCTGCCCCGCAAGGCTCCTCAGAATGGCAGAGCCGCTAAACTGAGGCGATACTACTCTACGCACGCTGTTACGCGGCGGAGACTCGCTCCAGGTGTCACCGGTCTGCGCAACTTGGGGAACACGTGCTACATGAACTCTATATTGCAGGTGCTGAGCCATCTGCAGAAATTCAGGGAGTGTTTTCTCACTTTGGACCTGTGTGAGACTGAGGAGCTGCTGGCCAAAACTAATCACTCCCAGGGGGTGAAGGGCATGACAGGAGGGGTTGTCAGTAGTGCAAACACACCCCTGTCAGAGTTCCCTCTGGGACAAATGGGGAAGGCTGGGTGTTTGAATTTGCCCGTTGACAGAAAAGAAAGTGTCCCTCCGTCCCCACAGGCTGCAGAATTGGTCCAGCCCAAGGAGTCTCGCTGCTCCACTCGCCAGCAAATGTCTCTGTGCCATGAGTTACATACACTTTTCAGGGTCATGTGGTCAGGCCGGTGGTCTTTGGTCTCTCCCTTCGCCATGCTGAACTCTGTGTGGAACCTCATCCCGGCTTTCCGCGGTTACGACCAGCAAGATGCCCAGGAGTTCCTGTGTGAGCTGCTGGACAAGGTGCAGCAGGAGCTGGACACGGAGGGCTCCAAACGGCGGATAGTCATCCCCATCACAAAGAGGAAGCTGTCCAAGCAAGTGCTAAAGGTTCTGAACACCATCTTTCACGGCCAGCTCCTCAGCCAGGTGAGATGCTGGTCTTGTCAACCCAAACCCAAATAATACTCATTACATCTGCAGCTCTTTTGATGAAAAAGTCAATTTTATTAATATTTTGTTATGTAGATGGGATTGTTTTTTGATATTTATGTTTTCAGATTATTTTTCTTTACTTCTGTAACATTGAAATGTAAAGAACGCCTCTTTAAAAACGAGGTTATTAAGGAGAACCCAAATAAATCAAATGATTCCTGTTTTTATCATCTTTCCAAAAAAAAGGCATGAAGGTGTAGATCAATGCTTAAAGGTCAAGGTGTCTTTATTGTCATTCACATCACGTGTGGTACATGAGGTGGAACGACACTATGTACACAGGGTCCCAGTTACATCAAACAAAAATACAAATTGTAAAGAAAAACAGTAATAGGCTCTAAGTTATGAACTAAGAAAGAATACACTAAGCACTAATAGTACAAAACAATGTGCCAAAAAACAGCAGCACGAACATGAGTCTGTGTGAGCCAATAAGGACGAATGAGCAACATGAGATAAATCGGCAGCCTGAGATCAGCAGCATGGATAGTCAGCATCACTTATCAAGTGCCATACAATGATTTTTCACAGTGATAATCCTGACTAGGGATGAGTCTAACAGCCTCAGGGTAGAAGCTGTTCCTCAGCCTAGTGGTTCTACACTTAATGCTCCTCAACCTTCTGCCTGAGGGGAGCGGGGCAAAAAGTGTGTGTGCTGGGTGAGTGGGGTCCTTCGTGAGGCAGGTAGCCCTCTTCCTGTTAATGTGATAAAAGTTGTAAACAATATAATATCTTACCTTTTCATAAGGCAGGTTTTTGAGCGGCTGCAGTTTGGAGAAATGATTTTCCTTAATGTGTTAAACCGCACCTCGTTGACTGTTGATATTGAATATTTTAGCAATAACGCAATCACTTTATTATTAGGTCACAAACTCATTAGTTGTGTTCTTATTCACTTTTCACTGTCAAAATCTCCCTGCAGCTTGTTTTAAAAGGAAAAAAAAATACTCGATTGACATTTCCACAATACTGTCTTCAGTGATTTCTCTCCATTTTCAAATATATAACAAGAATTGTTTATTTCTTTTCTTTTTTTTTTTTATCTTTATTTCTTAGGTGACATGTTTGTCGTGTAAGCACAAGTCCAACACAGTAGAGCCATTCTGGGATTTATCCTTGGAGTTTCCGGAGCGATACCACAGTACGAACAAAAGCTCAGGCTCCACTACTTACCAGCGGAGCTGTACCCTTGTGGAGATGCTGTCCAAGTTTACAGAGATGGAGGCTCTTGAAGGCAACATCTACGCCTGCAACCACTGCAACAGTGAGAACAAACCAGCAACCTTGTTTGTACTGCATTACCTGTTGACATTTGATCTTTAAATCTGTTCTTGTAGTAAGAACAACCGTTTGTTTTAGTCAGTTTCATCTCAGAGCTTTCTCATTGACCTCAAAAAGATTATGCAATCATTGATCTTTAACTCGCTTGTTTGATGAAACATTTATGTGCTTTTACTTTGATGCCTCACTATGCATAAACAAGTAGTTCAATAAAAATGTTGAGAGAAAATGTTATGATCAAAGTCAAACTCTTTAGAAGAAAAGCCAAAGATTTAAAATTTTTTTAAATACATTTTTTCCAGATTGAAAAATGTTTTTTACCAAAACCTAACGCATTTAGAAGTTGTTTTTTTTTTTAATAAAACGATCTTACGAGGGTTAATAGCATGTTCATATATTCTAAATGATTCAGTGTCAGAGTAAAGGTGGTCTCACTGGGATTTGGCAAACAATATTTACGGTGGTGCTTTAAAGTTTGTGAAGCCTTTAGAATTTTCTATACGTTTGAATAAATGACCTAAAAGAACAGATTTTCACACAAGTCCTAAAAATGGATAAAGAGAACCCAGTTAAGCAAATGAGACAAACTATTATACTTGGTCATTTATTTATTTAGGAAATTGTCCAATATTACATATTTGTGAGAAGAAAAAGTCAGAATCAGAATAAACTTTATTATTGTTGCACCGAGATACGAGAACATGTACGTACAGTCCTAAAGATGGACGGGGTGCACAAAGCTGCTACTATGAAAGTGCGGCCCTCTTATTCTTATTCAGAATAATATTTTGCTTAGCTGAGAAAAGGGAAGAAATCATGAGAAGAGACGGTATAAAAAAAAAAAAGATCTCTCACACCGTGTCCTAGACAGGGCACAATTTGAGACATCAAAAAACCTACCACAGCAAAGCAACATAAACAGACGTGATACATGTACATATAGGCCGGTGAAGACATTGAATTTTTAAGGGAAAGTCGTAGCATAGTCCAGAGCCGCCCCCCCAGCCATTGTCTAGATAAGAGGTGTTATTTATCATCAGCTCGGTTGAGGTTCCATCACATGTCCACAGCCTTGGGGAAGGGAGGGGTGAGGAGACAGACAAAGCAACTTTGTTTTTTTGTTTTTTTTAAACATGCCAGGAGGAGTTGAGATAAGTCCGCCGTCAAGGCCACAGTTTTGAGTCAGGCAGAACTAGTGAACTGCTGTTTCTGCCTTTTAAAGTCTCGCTGGTATATATTCCTCTGATGGAAACTCCAAACAGCGGAATTGATTCCTTAAAGTCAAGCTCACAGCTTCTCCAAGATTATTCCCACCTTCATGTGTGCTGCTAGAGAGTCCACAGTCCTGATAACAGCTGCTCCAGTTCTCTGACACAACTGCACATAATTCAGTCTGAGCGCTGTCAAGCTTCGACACATCGACACAAATTTGTAGACAATCCAGAATTCACCAGCCAAACAGCAAAAATAAAAATAAAACAGTTGTCAAAAAATATGTGAACCTCTATCTAGTATCAGCAGTTCATTTGAAGGTGAAATTAAAGTCAGGTGTTTTCAATCAATGTGATGATGATCAGGTGTGAGTGGGCACCTTGTTTGATTTAAAGAACAGGGATCTATCAAAGTCTGCTCTTCACAATGTTTTGTGGAGGTGGATCATGGCAGGAACAAAGGAGATTTCTGAGGACCTCAGAAAAAAGTTGATGCTCATCAGGCTGGAAAAGGTTACAACACCATCTGTAAAGAGTTTGGACTCCATCAATCTACAGTCAGACACATTGTGTACAAATGGAGGAAATTCAAGACCATCTTTACTCTCCCCAGGAGTGGTGGACTAACAAAGATCACTCCAAGAGCAAGGACCCCAGGCTAACTTCTAAGCAACTGAAGGCCTCTCTCACATTGACTAATATTGATGTTCATGAGTCCACCATCAGGAGAACACTGAACAACAATGGTGGTCATGGCGGGGTTGAGAGGAGAAAGACACTGCTCTCCAAAAACAACATTGCTGTTCGTCTGCAGTTTGCTAAAGATCACGTGGACAAGCCAGAAGGATGATGATGGAAGAATGTTTTGTGGACGGATAAGACCAAAATAGAAATTTTTGTTTAGATAAAAAGTGTTATGTTTGGAGAAAGGAAAACTCTCCATTCCTGCATAAGAACCTTATCCCATCTGTGAAACGTGGTGGTGGTAGTATCATGGTTTGGGCCTGTTTTGTTGCATCTGGGCCAGAACAGCTTGCCATCATTGATGGAACAACAAATTCTGAATTATATCAGAGAATTCTTAAGGAAAATGTCACGACATCTGTCCATGAACTGAATTGCAAGAGAAGGTGGGTCATGCAGCAACACAGTGACCCTAAGCACACAAGTTGTTCTACCAAAGAACGGTTAAAGAAAAATAAAGTTCATGTTTTGGATTGGTCAAGTCAAAGTCCTGACCTTAATCCAATCCAGATGTTGTGGAAGGACCTGAAGCAGCAGTTAATGTGAGGAAACCCACCAACATCCAGAGCTGAAGATGTTCTGTACGGAGGAATGGGCAGTTACCAGAAACGTTTGGTTGCAGTTGTTGCTGCACAGGGGGGGTCACACCAGATACTGAAGCAAAGGTTCACATACTTTTGCCACTCACAAACATGTAATATTGGATCATTTTCCTCAGTAAATAAATGACCAAGTATAATATTTTGTCTCATTTGTTTAACGGGGTTCTCTTTATCTACTTTTAGGACTTGTGTGAAAATCTGATGATGGCTCATATTTATGCAGAAATGGTAGAAAATTCTAAAGACTTGACAAACATTGAAGCACTGCTGTACGAGTAGGCAGTCCAGTCACTGGAGCTGGATAAACCCGTGATGAATCAGTATCTACAGAAATCTCACGAAAGACGACCTTTTTGATTTTAATTTCTTTAAACTGACCAGAAGCTTCACCTTTTGACTGAAACAAGCCCCTCATGAGTAACGTACGTTCTTTTTTTCTACTGAGGATTTATTTACCATCTGCTGTATCTTTGTTTCAGAAAGAAGAAGGAAATCATCCCACAAACCCTTGGTTCTGTCGGAAGCATGTAAGCAGCTTCTGATCTACCGTTTACCTCAGGTTCTTCGGCTGCACCTCAAACGCTTCAGGCAAGAATGCTGTTACGTTTTTTATCAAACTACTGACAAATCTAAAACGCACTGCAAGCTTTGCTCTTGTTCTTTGAAGCTACAATCGACTCGCTCGAGCACAGAACTTTTAATATTTTTATCTCGAGGTTTGTGAAGCCAAACTCTTAATACATCATCCCCCTGTTGTTCAGCAGATGGTCGGGCCGGAACCACAGAGAGAAAATTGGCGTCCACGTGGCCTTTGACCAGGTTCTGAACATCAAACCGTACTGCTGCACAGACTCTGGTCACTCCGTCCACAGAGGAGGCTACACCTACGATCTGTCTGCTGTGGTTATGCATCATGGGAAAGGCTTCGGCTCAGGGCACTACACCGCATACTGCTACAACACCGAAGGAGGTGAGGGACTCGTTTCACCTCCTTAACATGAGACCGTGGTTGATTTTTATTGTGCTGAACGTTAATATCACCCTTGTCCTCCTCAGGTTTCTGGGTCCACTGTAATGACTCTGAGATGAAGGTTTGCAGCGTGGAGGAAGTGTGCAACACTCAGGCCTACATTCTCTTCTATACCCAGAGGTCTGCTTAGGTACCTCGCTCGCTGTGATGTTGACTCATGGCTGCATTTATGAAAATGTTGTCAGATCTTTTCCCGGATGTCACTTTATAAAGAAAAATGGCGACGATTGCAGAGGGAGAACCGTAGTTATTGTCGAGGAGTAAATTGGAAGCTGGGTTGTGTTTGACATTTAAACAAAACCTTTTCATAAATGAGGCTTCAGGTATCCCATTTAGTGGTACCAGGGTTTGTTTTATGTTTGTTTGTTTTTTTGTTCATGGCCTGAAGACTGTGGGAGCAGGTCCATCTCTGTCCTGCTGAACGCCAAGTTGTGTCCATGTTTTCAAACCACAATCAGGTTTTTTGCCGAGGCAGCATTTTATGTTCAAAGGCAACACGGATTCTGCAGTTTGAATTAGAGCCTGACCGATATGGACATTTTTGGCTATCGCCAATACCAATATTTTTGGGGGTTTGTAGTTGCTGTAATGTTGATAACCGATATAATGACAGAAAATTTTTTAGCTTTGTCCACCCCCAAGAATCCAAGTAAACTACTTCAAACCTGTTACAAAGATAAGAACATGTTAATATTTTACCTTTTTTTTTAAATACTTTTATTGTCAGAAGTACAGTTCTTACAAACAAACTACAAAAGAACATTAATAGTGCAACATTCGTTTTACTGATGAACTATGAGTCCTTCTTTAAAGGGCCATTATGCTCTTATAATACTTTCAAAGTCAATCATGGTTACCTCTAGAACAAAACTGCACAAATTACTAGGGGTGCACCGATAAATCGACCGGCCAATTTATCAGCCCCGATTTCCTTAATTTTCGGAAATCGACCGATACTTGCATGAAAAACCGATTTTTTTTTTTGTTTGTTTGTTTGTTTTAACAAAAATTGTGTGAACTTCATTTATAATTCAGAGCACTAACTCATGGCCAGATAAAACAAGTTTGTATTGTTTCTAGGATATTGTTCAAGGGTGTGTTTTTCAATAAAATAAGACTGGAAAATTGAAGGTGCATTGTGATCTTATAACACCTGACAGTGTTGCTTATAAAATAAAATCGGTATCGGCCGAAATCGGAATCAGCAGATCAGACTTTTTAAAAATCTGTGATTGGCCAGAAAACTGCAATCGGTGCACCCCTACAAATTACAACCTTCTCCAAGAACAAGCTTGTTGAAGTAGTCCCACCATGAAAGCTTCTTTTGACATTTGTACAAATAAAATAATAAAATGAGTAAGACCATATAAAAAATAACAAATCTGCCTAGTTTGGAAATTTTGAAAGTTAGACATTTTGGATTTTACTTGTTTACATGAATTAGACTTAATTAGGCTTTATTAGACTAATATTAATTCAAATGTTGACTCGGTAAGTAAGCTCTAGCCCTTTCACACACATAGCCTGAGCAACCCCTGTATTCACACACACACGACACTAATGTTTGGGGGTGACTGCATGATTTGTGTCCATACTAGGAGATGTCTGTGATTTGGAGGGGTGAGTGGAGCGGGGCAGCTGTTAGCAACCATGAAGCTAAGCAAATCAGATCCACGCTATACGTAGTCCCACTCTAGGTTTACAAGTGATCATTAAAACAGTCTTCCTAACCTGCGTTCACATTTTCTATCCTCCATCATTCACCATAAAGTTAGCAAGTGTGTTACAAAATCATAAATTAAACAAAGAAACGCCCATCCCTGTTCATTATAGTTTAAACAGTCAGTCCTGTAAGGTGAAGGCCTAATTATTGACTGCAGCAGTGGAGTTTTTTTTTATTTATTTTGTATTTTTTTGCAGAGACGTAAAGATTTCAAACAAACAATGCATTTCATTGAGGATAACAAAAATAATGTTATTAACTAATATATTTTACCTCTACGTTAGAGTAACTGTTCTGGATAAAGTTTTACAAGCCAATAGCCTATGCTAGGTTATCTAAACGTTAGCTTGCTAACTTGAGAGGCACATAGTTAATGACAAGCGAGTTGGAGGATTGAAGATAATTTATTATCGTTGATTTGTTTTACAGATCAGTTAAAACAAACTTGCCAAGTTCTGTTCAGCAAAATATGCCCCACAGCTGCTCCCTGCTTCGGCTGCTCTGAAAGTGAAACCTAAGGGCCATGACTTGAAAGTAGTCTTCATGCGCCCTCTGCTGGATACAATGTACAATTACAGTTGGTTTCCAGTATTTTAGGGGTGAAAATTAGAATGCTTAGTGTTTCTCCTAGATAACTTGCCTGGGCGGGGCCTCATCTGTGATTTTTGTCGACGGGGTGAGAAGACAGAGACACATCTGAGCTGCGTGCTGAAGTGTGAGCTCTGCCTTTAGTTTTTTAGCTAGCACGCAATGTGCTGCTAGCTTAGCGCTACGTCAGTGCCGATGGGTTGGGGGGAGGCGTGAGGTTCTGTTCATGGTGCAGGGGACCCCACTTATATAATGGTAGGGGAAACACTGGCTTATATCCGAGAATAATGGGACCATTATCACCAATGCGATAGGTCACCAAAGGCCTATATCGGCCCTACGATATATCGGTCGGGCTCTAGTTTGGAATATATTGACGTTCCATCTCGGCGCTTGATATTCAAAATGTCCACAAGAAAACTGATTGTGAGACTTCAGACTCCGTGCTGCTTTACGTTCAGATTTTTTATTCTTGGGACACGTCAGATATTCACATCGTTCCTCTCCTCCAACGTACTGCTGTGACTGGATACTGTGTCTTAGGCTCTCAGTGAACATTTTTCTGTTTATTAAAAAAAAAAAACTGTAGTCATTTATACTTTAATTCCATGAAAAAGAGACGAAAAGTCTGCGGTTCAGGCGATTGGTAACGTGTGACGGGGAGGCTGCAGTTTCTGTCCAGGGGCTCCTGGTCCTGCTGTATGTTCGGCTCCTTGAAATCAGCAGCTGGTCCTGCGGTGGTGACGGTTCACTCCTCTCTGACCTGCAGGAGAGGAGAAAATCAAAGAATGTTTTTTTTGGGGGGGGGGTGGGAAACTTGGAGCACCCATTTTTAAGTTGAGCACCTGAAAGCAATATATTGTACGTCTCTCACGTTGACGGGAAATTAGGATCAAATCAGGAATTCTTCTGCTTGTTATACGATGTTCTTTTCTACTCTGCTGTTTTTATCAAGGTCTTTAGAATTTGCTAGGTGATCAAGAATACTGTTGTGTTTGATACGAGTCAAATGCAAAACACATTTTGTGAACTCTGTGAAAGTCGGAACAATCTAATGACGATGAATGTCTTACTTTATAGAGGTCAGCTGTGGCCATGAGGCTCTGACGCCATCGAGTTCTGTCTTGTACTGTAAGAATACCTGTCATAAATGTATTGTTCGTTTAGGTTTTGCCTGACAGTAATTATTAAAAAGACAACAAACAAATTTGACTATTTTCTGATTTTATTTTTAAGTGATTTAATCTAAAACCCAAATCTGTGCTGTGAGATGCTGCAAAAAATGTGAGTAATCTCTTAGTAACTGTTCTATACATCAAAGTTCATGCTCAATAATCCAGAACAAAGATAAGTCAGTTCATCTGAACGGTTTCTTTTTTTGTTGTGGAGACGTTTCGGCTTTCATCCAAAGGACTTCATCAGTCCGAGGAGCCACAACAAACTCGATCCTACAAGCAGCACACTCGCATAGTGGGCCAACCAGTTTTCTGGTGTTAAGATGGTTTCTTGGGCCCGCCCTCTCCCCCATTGACTAAAGCTGTGATTTCTGACCTGAGCCCCCAACCCGCCAAGATTATGTGCTTGTTGGGTGGTCAGGGTCGGTCTCTGGCTTTTGATGCAGTTTTATGAATCATACAGCAGCACAAATAAAACTAAAATTGTGTTAATCTGCTTGTAGAGGAGGAAGCAGTAAGTTTATATGTTGAGGATGAGAAAGAGAAAATAGTGCGGAAGTTAATCAGACTGAAAAGTGAGCGTAGCGCTGGCTCATGTAGCCCCGCCCACCCTTTGCTCTTATCACACACGAGGACCCACAACAAGTGACATAAAGGAGCTGGAAAGTTTTAAACAAAAAAGCTAAAAACCTGTAGAGCTCTACAAAATCCTGCGCAGTGAAACTGGTGATGTGTGTCAGGTCATGTGCACGCTCAGGTCTGACCGGCCGGTTGAAAGAGGTAAAATAAAAACTTCATCTTTAGAGTTGATTTTTTTTAGGCTATTTGTTTTGTAAGTTAATCCATTTGGTGAAACAAGAAACCTTATCTTCCTTTCTTTGAAATACATTTTTTAAAGTATCATGTCAATATGATTTGCTTACAAAAGCAGTAAAAGCTTAATTAAAAAAAAATCTCTTTTTTTTCGGGTTCGGGCCTGTAATTACAATTAATTAGTCTGGTCGGTCTCGGGGAAAAAATGCCTACGGACTAAGGTCGGGTCGGATTTTTCAGTCCCGAATGCAACTCTACCATCAACTCTTCTGAGGCAGAGTGGTTCAAAACATCAAAGTTCATGCTCAGTAATCCAGGTAAAAAAATCCAACAAAGTTCAGTCAGGTCAGGTCTTATTATCAGCAAACTGTTTGCGAGTGTGCTGCTTGTTGGACTGAGTTTGTTGTGGCTCCTCAGACTGATGAAGTCCTTTGGATGAACGACGAAACATCTCAACAAAAAAACTATCCAGATGACCTGACTTAACTCTGTTGGACTGACTGTTCTAGATTGCATTTTTAGTATTCACATTCAGCTTCTGAGCTTCTTGAGTGAATAAGAAACCTAAACAAGTGCCTCTAAAGTTTAGCTGCCACCACTTGGTTTAAATTGTCCAGTGAACTAACAGTTCAGATCCTTTTGAAGTGGAGCATTGTGGAAAGGTTAATATCTTACCTGTTGTAGGTAGCTCTTTCAACGACCTCAGTTTGGAGAACAATGCTGTGCCCTTGTTGCGAGTCAGAACCCCAGGATGATTGGCTGTTGGGCTCAGATCAGTGTGACCACCAACGCAGGTCGAGTTCTGTTCATTCAAACACAGTTGGTGCTAATATCTCAGTATTTCAGCCAGTGTGTGTGACTGAAATACTGAGAAACAAACCCAACACAGGTAAAAATAAAGTGTATATTACTGCAGCCATCACAGCTGTTAATGCACAATATACTCCATACTGGATTTGGAGTTTGGCCCTGGTCAGGAATATGACTTTCCAAGACAGAATTCTGACTTTTATTATTATTATTATTAAATCTGTAAATTCAGATGTCTAAGTATAAATGGAACTAAGTGCAAACAGGTGCTCGGTCTATGGTTAGTCACACAAGGTAAAACTGGGAGACAAAGATAACATTCAAAATACTGGATGTCGGTGTGGCTCTGGCCAGTCAACGGCCTGCAGTCTGCTGCTGTGAAATCATGCACTCGTTTTGTTTGGAACCTCAGCCGGCCAGTCCTAAAAACCAAGACGGATCACCCAGTGGAACGCCTCTGAACCCATGCCGGGTCGACTCAAGTAAAGCCCATGGATAAAGAGCTGTAGAGCATTTTGACAGCTTGCTGAAATGACAGACAATAGTTGGTTACCATATTTACTTGGGGCACCATTCTACAGTCTTTAACAAATGGCAGCAGCTATTTGTTTTACTTCTCTGGTACTTTTTGCAAGATTTCTGCTAGAACAATCGTGTACTGTGAAACTGATGTGAAGGATTACTGCATAGCGTTCATATGAACCATAGTGAAATACCGTACTTTTCGCTGTATAAGTCACACCTTTTTGAATAAATTAGCATATCCTGCAACTTATTCAGCGAAACAACTTAATTATGTTTTTTTTTCTCCCCATATTTATAAACCAAGTTTTGGCTGAAATTTCATTCATTCTGACATGGAAAATATAGATTGAACACTACAATTTTCAACGCTAGAGGGCCCTCGACCTGTATGGCAAGCCAAGTGTCTCATTAATAAGTAAAAGTGACTATTATTGAGACACTTGGCTTGCCATACAGGCAACCTTTGTCTTGCTCTGGAACTCCTGGAGCAAACATCAAATCAGCTGCATTTCACCACGCTGCCCAGGCGAAATGCAGCTGATTTGACCATTAAAGTGCATTTATTAAGGAAAAGTTCAACTGAGACACCTTTACTATAATTTCGAGCAAACAAACAATTGTTTTTAAGTGTTAATCTTGTTAAATTCTTGTTAAAGGCTTCCTGTGCACGATTCGCGACCGCCATTGGCAGCCAATCGATTTTTGGCACAACACCGGCCCACGTTTTCAAGTTGTCAGCAGTGGCGCATAATAGACGAGACTTATACAACAAAGCAACGTATTTATGTTTTTTTTTCCATTTTATTAGACATATTTGGACTGATGCGACTTATACGGCAGTGCGACATGTAAGGTGGAACGTACGGTAGTTGAAAGTTTTTTTTAAGACAGCTGTAATCCACTTTGGTTTTGGGCCCATTCAGACCAGCCGTTAGCTCATCAATCAGAAGTAAAGCCTGTTTCTCTAAACAAAGTGAATTATTAATCATTATTAACCTTTCCACGGGCTCTTTAAAGCATCTGTTTTGGTCAGCTTTATGAACTACTCATATTATAAAACAATTTGTAGCAAAGTGCCCTGGATTCATAAAAACAGAAGTTGAGATTTAACAAAAAAAAAAACTGCTTTTCTGGCTCTTTTTAGCTGCAAACATTTAATGGATGTGGTCCAGTTTGTCTTTATTTTAATCTGGTCATTCAAATAAAGTCTTCATTCTATTTCATCTAAAAGTTTCTCTTGTCGTTAACGAATGCTTCAAGGATGATAAAGACACAATCCAAGTTGGTCTAATATATGAAATAATTTATTTATTCTTTAATAAAACGGCAACAACTGTTTTTGCAAACTGGATGTGAACTTGGACATGCCGATGTGTTTGTGACTTCTACAGAGGTGATTCTGAAACGCTTGCGGACAAAACAAACAAGTTATTTCATTAGTTACTGTGAGTTTTTATACATTTGTAACTGTTCACCTAACTATAATAAAAATAAATAAATTTATAAAAGGCTAAAAGTGCACCAGAACAGGATGCGATGAAAAGCAGGAATGAAGTAAGAGATACGACAGATCACTTTTTTTTTTTTCCGATTACAAAACATCTGGAGACTTTTGCTTTGTCATTAATGAAATGTTACCTCATGCCAGCTGGATGCATCCCTGTGCACATATGAGGACATGCATGAGCACATGACATTCATGGAAAAAAAACACTTTTCTGCTTGAATAAGCTATAGCTTCAACATGAAGATAATAGCAAGCCCGATTAGTGTTCTACAGTCGTCCGAAGTTGTTTCAGTATCATAAATAATTAGAAAAACAAGGATTTGTTGCAAGAACCTCCTTTTTTTGGTGACAGCGACGCCGTTGATGATTTGTCCTCCACAGCAGATTTGGATGAGATGAAATTATTATTATTTTTTGTTTATAGTCAAGCAGGGAAGTTCAGCTGTTTTGCTGTGGAAATACATTTTTGTCCATTTTTAACCCCAAAAAGGGAACATGTGCATTACCCCCCACCCCCATCAGGTTTTACTCTGCTTCAGTTTGGTCCTTCAGTGCTGATGACACTGGTCTGGTCCCTCACATGAATCTGTCTTTAACTGGGCAGTACCCACGGCTCCAAAAAGGCCCATTGCTTCCACAGGATGAACAGAAGCAGGGTCAGCAGCACGGTGGCCCCGACCCGGGCTCGGGTCTTCATCAGCGGGGTTATAAAGTTGGCCAGGGTGGAGACAAAGACCAGGAGCACGGCCATGAGGGCCAGAATGACGTTGATGAGTTTCCCCAGGAGAGCTCGAGCGTTGGCGTTCTCCACTCCCTCCAGCTGAACCACCTGCTGCTGCTGCTGCTGAAGCTCCAGTTTGGTGATGCGGGTCAAACACGACTCCACGGCCTCCTGCGGGCCCAAAGAACCCACACAAGGAGAAATCACGAGGTGACATTTAATCTGCACCACAGATTCTGTTCAAGGAGCTCATACCTGAAATTCTATTCTTTGACTAACACATTCTTGTGTCCAAGAACATTTTTTGCATCTAAATGACTTTTATTATATTTATTTTTTGTAAAATGACTTGTTTCAAAAACCAAAATAACAAAGTGACTCATTGCTAAAACCATTCAAGAAAACAACACTTTTTTATTATATATATTATATATTATATATATAAATAGAGTATACCGAGTTTTTAACAAATCAGCCTCTGAATCTGAAAAGTGAAGCCAATTCAGAGCGCTTCGTCTCCAATGGACCTTTCAAAAAGTAAATATTTCTAATGAATTCAGTCCTTACATTTATTCATTAATGAATTATTTTAATTTTATTTGAAATGTTTTTAAATTTGGTTCTCTGATAGTTCCTTTGAAAGTATACAATATTTTAAAAGTTTATCAGGGTTTAAAGTGTATCTGAAGCCAAACATGTCTTATAATCCTGTCTGTAGTCTACAGTGTTGGACATTTAGTTATTATCCACTGCTATTTGTATCTTTATGTTTATTTTATGTTTTCCTGTCCACTGTGCTTGTTTGTTTCTATTGAACAGCACTTTGATTGGCCTTGTTGCTGTTTTACGTGCTCTATAAATAAATTGGTATGGTATAATCTGTTATCTGTCTTTTATGTCAGTAAGGTAGTCAATCTTTTCCATAAAGACAGTTCTTCTGGTGTTTGTCAATTTGTGTTCAAGTCTCTGTTTAATCAAATCTGGTGTTTTTATGTGTGTATTACTTGAACACCAGTTTCAAACCCAACAACAAACAAGGTTATGTTGAGTGCAATTAGTACAATTAATTGGTGTCAATCCCACAATCCCTGCACCAATTCCAACTCACTGGAATACACAATATGTAATAATCCAGAGCATTGCATCGTTTTGTTGTGTTTAAGAGCTTCTCATTCACCGAGGAACATTTAAAGTGGGCTTTTCAGTTGACGTTTTTCACTGGAACTTTGGTCAATGTTTGAATCACAGAAAATAACAGTATATAAAGTTAACACGCCTTGATCAGTTCGTCTATTATTAAATGTTTCACTTCCCATTTAAATTCAGAAGATTTTGGCTCACCAGAGGAAATAGATCGGCAAAACAGAGCCTCATCGGTCAAACTTCAAAGAACAAGACATTATTTACGGTATAAATCTAACTCATCCTTACCTGAATGTCCCTCGCTCTCTCATAGGACTGGTAGGCGACTTTCTCCTCCATGCTGGCGAGCTCTTGTTTCAAATTGGTCATCTCGTTCTGGTGCAGCTCAGTCAGGTCGTTCAGCTGCTCTTCGAGTCTCTCGTATCTGAACAGATTGCACAACACACAAACATGGGAAGATTCAAGTTTGATTCCCTTCGCTATAAAACACTGTTCCAAAGTTATTTTTGTCTTCAAAGCTGAAATTCTCAGTAAATGACGTTGGTTGAGCACAATTAGTATGTTTAATTGGTGTTAATCCCACATTCCCCGTGCCAGTCTCAACTCACTGGAATGCATAATATGAAATAATCCAGAGCTGAAAATAGTTTTCTGATAAATGCTAAAATCTATGCTGAGATTTGCATCATCTTGATGCTGAAAACCACAGAAAGAGTCAGGATCTATGAAAGCCACGTAGGTTCTGACCTTTCAGGATGTATTAAAAATTCTGACCAATGACAGGTGCATGATGGGTAAAGTCGTACCTGTATCTCTCCTCCTGCAAACACTGCGTCATGTAGGAGTAGTCACTCTGCAGCTGGCCCTTCATGTCCTCGATGGCGTCCTCCATGTGCGTTTGGCTGGCTTTGATCTCCTGCAGGCCCTCCAGCAGGGCATCCCAAGAATTAGGCATGTGATGGTGGTGGTGGTGGTGCCCATCCAGTCGGGGGCTCCCCATCGTCGGCCCCAACATGCCACCTCCTCCGCCGGCCCCACCTGAATTACTGCCCACTCCGGAGCCAGACGTTGCGCTGGAGCACTCGTCGTCACTGCCGTACTTGGGGCTGGACACCAAAGTGGCGCTCCCGCTCAGAGCTCGAGGCGTAGGGGTGTCCTCAGAATGGCCCCCAACTCCGTCCTCAAGTGTGTCCTTTAGGTGAGCGATGTTATCGGCGCTGCCGAACTTGTTTCGGATCAGGCTGGCGAACTCTCTCGGCTTTGAGACCACGGCTGTGTGAGTGAGGGCCGACACTCCACCTTTGACCCCTTCAACCACCCCGCCTCCAAAGCCACTTATCCCAGCACGAACATTTGCCCCCACATCCTTTAATCCTTGCTGCATGTCTCGCAGGACATCCTTGGGTTGCCGGGCCGGTCCATTCTGTGGAGAGGTGAGAGGATTGACAGGGCAGAGAAATTGTGGATCTTTAAAAGATAGATTTTACTGACATATCTGTAGGAAGATAGATGAGTGAAACATGCTCTGCTGAGAGACAGGTGAGACACTCGATCATCCACTGGTACAACAAGGTGTTTGGAGAATCATCACCCTATACCTGGACACAGCTGTCCCCTTTTAGTTACAAATTGCACCCTTCACAATACAGCTCCTCTTAATGGCACTGTACTCACCTGCTCTATCTCCTTTAGCTTCTTGTGATAGTGTTCTAGTTTCTTGTGCAAGTGTGCAATGGTCTGAGCAGACTTCTGGTTCTTCTTCTCGAACACCTGCTTGATTCTAGACGCTTGCTGTTTGTCTGCGTTGTGAGCCAACTTCAGGTACTCTGCCACATTGTCGTCCCGGGCCTCTTGCTCCACACGGATTTGCTCTGTGACCTTCAAGATCTTCTGCTGCAGGTGCTCCAGAGCTGCGCGCGTCCGCTGCGGCTCACTGGCCCCTGAACCCTCTGCTCCTGCAACCCCAGCCACTGCTGCCGCCGCCGCCCCTGCTCCATCCGAACTGATGTTGCTGTCAGAGCCGCCATGGCTGGTGGTTGAAGGTAGGCCTAGAGTTGCCACCTCACTCTTGTCCAGCTGTGGGGACAAACAGATGATCAGGGACACGGCTCAAGAAGAGGAGTTAATGCACGAACTAAAGTCAACTTAAGAAAAAGAAGAAAATGGACTACATCTTAGATGTGTTGTGCAAAACATTCAAACTACACCTGGTTTCTTCATTTGTTCTTTTCGAGCAACCAGACCTTCTTCTAAGTGATCTTAATCAATACGCCTTCAAACTTTTAAAAGTATTTTAAGGTTTGGGGTTTTTTCTTTGGACTTTTGAGCGCTTTTTCACTCTTTTTCTGTTTAGTTCTTGCACCTGACAGCATAGCCAACAGTGTGTGCTTAGAAAATGAGAAAATGCAACAAGCGGACAAAAGAAAAAATATAAAGTTTTGTCAAGTTTCCTGCCAGGCAGCACGGTGGCGCAACTGGTAGAGCTGCTGCCTCTCAGTGAGCAGGTCCCTGGTTCAAACCCCGGTCCAGGGGCCTTTCTGGGTGGAATTTGCATGTTCTCGCCGTGCATGCGTGGGTTTTCTCCGGGTACTCCAGTTTCCTCCCACAGACCAAAAACATGCATGTTAGGCTGATTGGTAACTCTAAATTGTCTCTAGGTGTGAGTGAGAGCGTGAATGGTTGTTTGTCTCGTTTGTCTCTATGTGGCCCTGTGATGGACTTGCGACCCGTCCAGGGTGTACCCCGCCCCTCGCACAGTGATTGCTGGACATGGGCACCAGTGACCCCCGTGACCCAAAAATGGAATAAGCGGGTAAAGATAATGGATGGATGAAGTTTCCTGCCAATAGCTCTTTGGGAATCACCTGTTAGAACTAAAGTACTATTTTTTGTCCATCAATTTAAGTTAGCTTCGGTGTTTTACAGAACTTCAGCGACAAAGTTAACAACTAGATAGTTAGTAGCAAGTTGTAGCCAGTGATTTGTGCCTCACCTGTCATCTGACAAGTAAAATACTAACAATGATAAGAGAAAATACATTTGACCACTTGACTGTTCTATAAAAGTGTTTTATAAAACTGTTTTCTGAATTATTTCAACACTTCAATGGACAAAATCGTAGAATTTGCACATTGCCTGTTCAAACGCATGGAAGAAATGCGCTGGGTGAGGCAGTGTAGTGCTGTGGCTCACCTCTGGTGGCGCTGTGTCATTTACAATACAGTATATGAAGTAGGCGGTTAGCGCATGGCCAATGCTGTCTCTCTTTATATCGCCAACATACGTGTTTGGTTACACGTGCTACACATGCTCATGTTCTACAGTCCATCTAATATATTGGATGAATGTCTGACATATTTATTCTTTCCTATCAGTCATAATTGCATGTTGAAAATACACAGAAAGTACCGTGTCGCACCGATAGGGGGCAGTGCTGCCCCATAGGGACAATGAAGCAGGTGCAGTCACTGTGTGTTCTTCAGAGGGGCAGGGCGGGGGTGTGTAACAAATCAGTACACTCATTTAATAATAATAATAATAATAATGTTACATTTATTTAGATAAAATGGAAGAACGTATCTCAAAACTAAAGGATTTTTCTAAACTCAATTTTCAGCCGAAACAGAAGTAGAGACTCCTTGGCGATAATCTCCATTGAAGCAGCCATACTTTTAAAAATGATGGCAAACTGTGACGAGTTTCAACAGAGTAACAGTGATATTCGTGGAGGAGGATAGGCTCATGGACTTCATCTTAAAATGAACGGTAATACATGTTTTATTTATTTAAAAAGAGAGGACACCCCGCCAAAAAAAAAGTTTGCCCTTACATTAAATGTTTAGTTTTTCCTCCTATCATTGTTGAAAGTGTGGAGTTGATTGAAACATAATTAGATGTCTTTTAAAATGGGGGGGGGGGAGAGACTGAATTGAAATATACGCTTCTATTTTGGGTTCGTATGAGCATCTGATTCCAAACTAGTCAGTACCTCACCTGTCACAAACCTCACCGGACATCACTGCTAGTAGCAAGTTATTATTACTGGTAGGCCTACTAGCTAACTAGTGAATAGCAAAGTACTAGCTATTAACTAACTAACAAGTAACTTGCAAAAAATATTAACATTTTACTAGCTAGCTAGTAGCAGTTACTTGTTAGCTAATAGCGTGTTTTTCCTATAGCTGGTATCTTCCTAAATAACTAACTAGTATTTAAGAAGTTACTAACCCACAATCTAATTTCAGATTGTTGTAGATTGTCCCTGCTGCTACCCTTGGGTCAAAATTACTCTGAAGACCTCAATATTACTTATTTTTATATATGAAAGTTTCTGTTCAAAGCCCTGAGATGACTTCTGTTGTGACTTGGTGCTATATAAATAAACTGAAATTAAGTAAATTGTAAATGACGCGAGGTCATTTTGACCCAAGGGCAGCAGGAGGGCTTAACTGTCTATTGTGTGTCAACACAACATTAAGTTCATTGTTTGAATTTAGGAGGCTTTTTTGATGAGTGCTGTAATTTCTTTTCAATATGTGTTAAGAATAGAAATTCACAAGATTATACTAATTATTCCAGTGATGCTGAATACACACACACACACATATATATATATATATCCATCCATCCATCCATCCATCCATCCATTTTCTTCCGCTTATCCGGGGTCGGGTCGCGGGGGTAGCAGCCTAAGTAGGGAGGCCCAGACTTCCCTCTCCCCAGCCACTTGGGCCAGCTCTTCCGGGGGAATCCCGAGGCGTTCCCAGGCCAGCCGAGAAACATAGTCCCTCCAGCGTGTCCTGGGTCTTCCTCTGGGCCTCCTTCCGGTGGGACGTGTCCGGAACACCTCACCAGGGAGGCGTCCAGAAGGCATCCTAAACAGATGCCCAAGCCACCCCAACTGGCTCCTCTCGACATGGAGAAGCAGCGGCTCTACTCCGAGTCCCTCCCGGATGATCGAGCTTCTCACCCTCTCTCTAAGGGAGAGCCCAGACACCCTGCGGAGAAAACTCATTTCGGCCGCTTGTATCCGAGATTTCATTCTTTCGGTCACAACCCAAAGCTCGTGACCATAGATGAGGGTGGGAACGTAGATCGATTGGTAAATTGAGAGCTTCGCCTTTTGACTCAGCTCTCTCTTCACCACGACAGACCTGTACAGCGCCCGCTTCACTGCAGACGCTGCACCTATCCGCCTATCGATCTCACGCTCCATTTTTCCCTCATTCGTGAACAAGACCCCAAGATACTTGAACTCCTCCACTTGGGG